GCAGTGTTGGCAATGGATCGCTAACAGACTTGTATAGTGTTTTGCTACTGAGGCTACCCTTTGTGCTAATTGTGTTTCCCTTGCTTGTCCTTGAGCTGTTCTGTTCAATTACTTCATTTGTTCAGCATCTATTGAATGCCTGTCTTGTAACAGGTACAGACCTGCGGGGACCAAGCCTGGCCCAGTGCAGTGTGATGCCCACAGTGCTCATGTTGTAGCAGGTGCTCTGAGGACTCAGAAGGCACGACCCCAGTGCTGGTCAAGTTCAGGCGTTGCCAGACAGTAAACACTTCAGACTTTGTGGGTCATATTTTTTTTAGCCCTTTAAAAAGGTAAAGATCATTCTTAATCCAGGACCTTTACCAAAAACTGGCTGCGGACCAGATGTGGCCACGTCTGAAGGACCTAGCTGAGTGGAAGGACCTGGAGAAGGTCAGTGGACAAGGGGAAGCAGGAAGGGCCTTCCAGACAGGACACATCTGTGCCGAGGCGCAGGTGTGAGAGGCTGGGCTCAGTGAACTGAATGTTTTTGTCAAGGTGAGAGTACAGGATGGGTTGTGCAGAGGTGGTGAAGTTGATATTACAGACGAGATCAATATAGTTTGTGCTCTAATTCAGAGAAGGTTTATGGGGCAGGAGTTACAAAGCTCAGCAAAGGGGTATTGCAGCTACACACTTTAGGAGTCATTAAGGAAACAGCTGCCCAATGTTGCCTCACTGGAAAAGTGGCGAGCAAAGTTCAGAGGGTGCGATTTAATTATACACTTGATCTTAGTCAAAAGGCTGAGAAGCGATGCAATATAATTATATAATTAGTAGTGTCCCAGTGCACGAATTCGTGCACATTGAAAGGAAATTAATTGGAATAAATATTTTAATATCGCTATTCGCACTTTCTCTACCAAATTCACGATCGGCAATGACAGATTGAAACACATGCATGCGATTGATGCCAGTGAGAGCTTTATATGTATCGAACATGTGCTAGTCAACTTAGCCTTTTTTTTTTTTTTAAATATATTTTATTGTTTTTGTACAGAGAGGAAGGGAGAGAGATAGAGAGCTAGAAACATCAATGAGAGAGAGTCATCGATCAGCTGCCTCTTGCACACCCCCCACTGGGGATATGCCCGCAACCAAGGTACATGCCCTTGACCGGAATCGAACCCGGGTCCCTTCAGTCCCTAAGCCGACGCTCTATCCATTGAGCCAAACCGGTTTCGGCCAACTTAGCCTTTTAATATAAAATAAACTTGCTTAATTAGACCTGCTTTCTGAAGTAGCTAAACTTTTTTCAGTCCAGTGAAGCACCCCAACTTCTCTTTCATGTAATTATTAGCAACACAGCAGTAAATATCAACATGAAGTAGATTATTATTGTAGATCATGCAGGGAGAACAAAGGGTAAAATATTTAACTGCAGCAGTGTGCAGTGAGAAAACCTGAAGTCATTTTCAAGTCCATCATTTCTTCTTTTCAGTCAGGTTAAGTTTCTAAACTTTCTAAATCTCTGTTTTCTGGCTAATGAAAATAAAATAGGATTCTACCGAATCTCCTATCTACCTTCTCCAGGACTTCTGTGAGGATCAAATGAGATGAGGCATGGGAGCTTCACAGATATTTGGTTAAAGTGTAAAATGTTTGCACCTGCTATAAAGCAAGTCGTGTTCCTGGGCTGAAGAAACTCCTAGAAGGCTAGTTGCTAGGGAGAGGAAGCCGGGCGTTGCTACATGATGTCATTACCTGGTGCCCACAGTGACCATTTCCAGGCTGGGCTGGGCTGGGCTGGGCTGGGCTGGGCTGGCTTGGCTTTGGGCTGCATTTTGTGCCACGGGGTCTTGGCAGCGTTGGCTGCGATTTGGTGGGTGTCGCTCTGGGGTGGTGGCAGGGCCTGTGTCCCACTTGGGAGAAGCCAAGTGTTGCTTTGTGGGCACCAGGTCCGTGGTAATGGCCAGTGTGTTTCATGGCAGCTCCTGCATTGTCTGCTTCCTGGTGGTCAGTGCGCATCATAGTTACTGGTTGGACAGATGGACACTTAGCCTTTTATATGTATGGCTTGTACAAATAAATGAAGAAAGCCTTAATTAAGAGTGCAGCTGATAATGGGAGAGAGGCATGTGAGGCCTGCTCTGAGTTCATCTCCAGGCTCTGAGCTGGTAAGTGCAGCAGCAGGGCCGAGAGGGAGTCCAGGGTACGTCCAGCATGGCTCCCAGATTGCCCCTTGGGTGATACATTCATAAAACTTTTTTTGCTCTTATGCAAATGCTAGTGATTAAACAAAAGCTTTGAGGAGAAACATTTACTCCTATGTCCATGAACCCCAGAAATCTTAAGAGAATTGTGTGAGCATGTGAGCTGTTGCCCTGGGGAGAGACTCAGGGGCTTCCATCAGATGATTGCAGGGGCCCACCCCCCAGGGGAGCCAGTCCTTGTGAGATGGTGGACACCTGTCAGCAATATGGGGCCTGTGCAAAGGCTAGCCATCCAGGTTGCAGGAATCTCACTTTAAATGTGAGATCCCCAAACTGCCACGTCAAACTCAAACAGATGCAGCTGCCTCGGAAATTGAACCATCGCAACCAGCAATTAAACTGTTTCCCCTGGCCTCCCTCACCTCCAGTCAAAACAAGACACGTTTTGGAAAATGGAGGCCGGCCAGGTGTCTGGGACTCTAGTTGGCATGAAGTGTTTTCAGCACAATTTTACACTCGACAAAGCTAAAGCTTATATTATTAGGCATTCATAATAGCCACATGGCTGCCTGAGATGGACAGGTGTCAATGTCAAGTGTAGGATATGCTAACACAAAAATGAATGCAGTTCCTTCTCTCGAGTTAGACGTGTGTGAGCAGTGAGCTGTAGAACAAGACTTAAACGGTGTTGTCCCGGCGAGCCCTCAGGTGGCACGGGCAGGAGCGGCGGGGCGCCCGGCACAGGAGTAAGCAGCAGGACGCCTCTGCTTTGTGTGGAGTCTTGTAGCGACTGCTGAGATGGCCCTCTCCTTGCTCTTCGGTCAGCGAGGGAGAGCAGCCAGTCCGGGGATGGAGATGGCCCAGGGCAGTGGGGTGGATAGCTCAGTTCCCCATTTCTTAGTTCTTTTATACTTGCACCTATGGCTTATTTTCCCGTAGTTTCTGATCGCCTGTTAGCCAGTTCCCCATAAAGTCGGTCGCACAGACTCCTCTGTTCACATTGTATTTCTGGGAGACCTTTCCTAGAGGTCTCGGCTCTCTTTTTGCCAAGCTGCATGCTCCTGTGCCGTTAACTGCGTTGTCCGGCTATTCCTGTGTTCTTCCATGGCTTTCCCCAGAGCCGGCTTTGTGTTTGTTATCTCATCCTTGTATTTCTTGGCCGCCTTCTTGTTTGAGTACTGGTAAGTGCATCATCACCCAGCCGCGGTGCCGTGCCTTGGGCTAGGTGCAGACAGCCCCACACCCTGCTCTGGACCGCCCGCCCCAGCCGGGCCTCAGTCCCACTCCTGGAGCCGTTCACAGCCTCCCCCCTCCCCCTCCCCCTGGGGATTCCCTGTCCTTAGCGCCTCTCCCGTGGAGCTCCTGTTTTCTGCCCTGTGTCTTCCTCCTGTTTGTTTCTGCTCGTCACATTTTGGTGGAGACTTTCTCCAGTGGCTTTTGGAGATGGGACGCTTGGAGGTAAAATGGTAGAGACAAATGAATGATTGAACCGAGATTGATAGTTTGTGTAGTTTCTCTTGCCACTTTCTTCCTTCCTCTCCCTCCCACCTCTTTCCTGTCTCCTTCCTGCTCCCCTCTGACATGGGTGGGGGACCTGGAGAGTTCACTGTGCTACCGGGATGAGCTCCGCCTCCTGTGTATGGCGGGGCTGGGTGCCTCAGTCCAGACGCTGCTTTTCCCGGGCCTGACCCTCAGCCTCTGTCCAGTGAGGAGCCTAACGGGGAGGCGTGGTGTGAGTCCTCGCTGAGGCTCAGCCTCTTCCCCAGCTCTGTCCGCAGGCGCGGCCCCGGGAGCCCCCTGGGCGCCGCTGGACCCTGCCGCCGTTCTCCGTGTGCCATTCTGGTGCGGGGCCTGCTTTCCTGGCCTGTAGGGTCATTTACGTGCTTCCAATCTTTGTATAATTGGTTTCCTCCAAGTTTTTTCTCCTGCTTTTAAAAAATATATATTTTATTGATTTTTTTACAGAGAGGAAGGGAGAGGGGTAGAGAGTTAGAAACATCGATGAGAGAGAAACTTTGATTAGCTGTCTCCTGCACATCCCCCTCTCCCCCCGCCCCCATGTGCCCGAAACCAAGGTACATGGCTTTGACTGGAATCGAACCTGGGACCCTTTAGTCAGCAGGACTCCAGCCACTGAGCCAAACTGGTTACGGCTCCTTTTTTTTTTTTCTATTTGTTTTGATCTCTCTCTTCCATGTTAGAATTAGAATTAAGCTTTTCTTATAATTTCCAAAATTTTTGTTCCTTTTTTCCTTTCAGTTCTCCCTGTGCCATTTTAAAATAATTTTTAAAAATACCTCTTTAGGCCGGGACTGGTTTGGCTCAGTGGATAGAGCGTCAGCCTGCGGACTGAAAGGTCCCGGGTTCGATTCTGGTCAAGGGCATGTACCTGAGTTGTGGGCACATCCCCAGTAGGGGGTGTGCAAGAGGCAGCTGATCGATGTTTCTCTCTCATCGATGTTTCTAACTCTCTATCCCTCTCTCTTTCTCTCGGTGAAAAATCAATAAAATATATTAAAAAAAATACCTCTTTAGTATAATTTTAGTGGGAGGGGGTGGAATAGATGTGTATATTCTGTTGCCATATTAAATTGTGATCATTGATATGTTTCAGTAGTGTGATCATTGATATGTTTCATGTATTTTCTTAGCTAGGATGTAGATTTGAAGACAGGAACTTGCCGTCAGATTTTCACCCCTCACTCCCTGACTAGAGGGAGGTGCAGGGAAGCTGGCTGAGGGGGGACCACAGCAGCCTCTGAGAGCCCGGGCTGAAGGTGGTCTCTTACATGCAGCCTCTCTTGGCAGGTTCCCTCGGCTATGGAAAGAGGAGAGAGACGCTAGGGTGTGTCCGCACTGCCACTGACTCCTCCACAGAGCTGCGGGGCCTCTGACCGTGAGTATGTTCTCTTGCTACGCTGTGCCTTGGTTTTTTGTTTTATTTGACTTTCCTTTCACCTGCCCTGGGTGACGGTGACACACAGCAGAAACCAACCAAAGGCACTGATTTTGCAGGACAGGTGGGGAGGAAGTGCGCAGTGAGCTGTGTGGTGCCTTCTGTGTGTACACACTTCATACGGGTTTCCTGAGATAGGCAGCATTACAATGACGGGGACAGTGCTGCTAGTCACTGTGGCAGCGCGCTTTAGAATAGTGCCAGCGCATGGCAGATACGTTCAGTCACACGGCTCACTGCGTCCTCACAGTAACCTGCCGTAGGGTCCCTTTTCCCGTTTCATACTTGCGTAACAAAAACACAGAGGGTTCAAGGTTACTAAGTTAGTAACGCCAAGCTCAATGCACACTCCATGTGGCTTCCGCCTGTGTGCTCGCTACTAATCCCCATGCTGTGGGCCTGGGATGCAGATGTGGGCTTCGCTTAGGAACTCTTCACTGACCCCCAAGCCCAGCTCTCTCCTCAGACAGCGTGTAGTTCTGGGCCCTCTGCCCGGTGGGGAAGACGTGGTGAGACATGTGCAGTGTGCTTAGCACTCACACCCAGTAGCAACGGCGATTCCGTGGAGTCTTCCCATTCTCCTGGAGGAAAGCAGCCCAGAGAGATGGGCTGTTTTGTATTTGTCATTTGGACTTGTCCTTGCTCACAGGTGGGAAGTGTAGAGTTGAGATTCTGTCCTAGTTTGTCTGAACCAGACTGCTCTTTCCCGTGAGTTAGTGGCAAACTGAGGACCGATCGTTGATAGAAGGTTCGTAAATCTCACTGGGGGTGTTTACCAATATATTGGTATGGTAAAAGCCTCATGAACTTGGACTTCATGGGCCCAGAATTCATAGTCTTTATAATTTATGTTGAACTTGACTTTGGCAGTGTCTTTGTCTTAGATGTCCGAGGGGCAGGGCCCTGGATTGTTTCTTTCATTTCCTTTTTAGGGTCAGTTCACTTTCCTCTGTTCTTTCTCTCCCACACCTACTTCTGTTTCTCCAGAGACTAAGTAGGAGGGACAGGAAATTATGTCACGCAGTTCCAGTTTCCTAGCGAGCCTGGAAGCATGGCTCCTGTTCTTCCAGTCCCCTGCTCGGTCCTGGCTGCGAGAGGGGCCGCTCGGTGTGCTGGGCCAGGTGTGACGGTGGTGCAGGGAGGAGGGCACAGCCCAGCTACTTGCTTCCCTGCGGAACTCCCTCCTAGCTCATAGAAGGTGTCTCTGTTCAGCGGTGTGTTTGTGTATTTGGGTAAGTCTGTTTCTGAGAGTCTTTGAGGGCAAAGATTGTATTTCATCTCCGCATCTTTTCTGCTTAAGCCACAATTAGTTTCCATTTAATGCTGAACAAAGGACTGTTTAATGGTTACCACAAAATAAGTTCTCTTTTCTTAATAGAGCCGAACAATTTCTTCACATCCTTGCCAACACTAGTTATTTTCTGTTTTGTTTTTTACATCGTGATCATCTGAATAACTGAGGTTGGTTTTAACATCATAAACATTTTGAGTAGAATTAGAAAAGTGACTGCCCACATTCCTTGCTAAGTTGGAATAGTATCTGTCAAACCAGTAAGACAAAACCAAAGTGTGGGGGAGGGCAGCTGACAAAGAAGACTGGCTACTGTGGAGCTGTGTTCGGAAGAGAAGTTATTTATGTCTCTGCCTATCACCCGAGCAGGGATGGATCCACACTAGATGCTGCTGCTGTTTCTGGAAAACAGTACGGCGCAGATTGTAGATACAGTTTGCTCTTCTAAGCCACCAAAGGAATGGTTAAATGTAGTGTGATTTTCCCCTCTTCGTGGCTGAGAAATGTAGGTGGTAGAAGGGACTCCCACTCACCACCAGGGGCCCTCCTGACACCAGCACATTCCTGCCAGCGCTGGGATAGCCGGCCTCACAGCCATTTCTCCAGGCCGCCCAGAGGTCCCCTGCTTCCGGGCATCCAATACAGGGGTGCAGTCCTCTGATGCCGCGCTATTGATGACTAAGGTGAGCAATCACACCAAGGACACATTGGATTTATATGGTAAAAAAGAAAACGGATGAAATGCTCAAGTTAGGTGTGTACATGCATGTTCAATACAATAAAGTATTATTTGAGCAGTGTCAACATTAAAGTCAATAACTACTTGGCTCTCTCTGATGTTTGTGTTATTTTGATCAAAAACAAAGCCCCTCTATTTTGTGACATATATCGTTAGGTTGAAATGTTTGCAGCGTTTCTTGGCACGCAGTGTCATCATGTCCCTCCCAGTACATTTGAAAAACTAGCGGGGCATCTGACAGCTTTCAGGGGCTGTTGTTTTTTCCTCTTAAAATTGCTGACAAGTTTCTAAGCCTGGAATTTACTTTGATCTCCTGTATGGCGAAACAATTAGAGATAGCCACTAATTAGTGTCTGTGAAAGTGGCCCAGTGATTTTCAACCTTTTTCATCTCATGGCACACATACACTAATTACTGACATTCTGGAACACACCAAAACATGTATCACATTTTTTGCCGACCAGACAAAAACAAAGTATAATTTTGATTCATTCACCCGGACAGCTATTATTTTGACTGCTGTCACTTTTTAATTTGACAATCCACGGGGAAAGAGGTCCGTGCCCCTGACCAAACAGTCAGGTCCTACACGATTAAAACCTTCTCGCAGCGCCCGCCCGGGGAAAGCCTCTGCTCTGGTTCGGGATTGTTTAGCGGGAGAACACGTTCAGAATTCCCTGCCTTTTGGGTGTCCATACCTCAGTGCGGCTTCCTGCCGTGCCGTGCCTGTTTCCTGTGCGTTTCGATGCACTTCTCTGCCACCAGCTCCGAGTCCAGCAGGTACTGCGATGCTTTGTCTTTGTTTGTGCTGGGGCGGGATTGCTGTCACCAGGGAACTGAACCGTGAGGCAGGGTTTGGTGATGTGGGTGTTGCGTAGGCCCCCTGAGAGCATGCTCTTCCTGTGGCGTGTCTCCTTCCTTTCTTTGCCCTGTGGTCCCCCCTGGCTCCGTCACTCTCCATAGGCCGAACAGGGCCTTCTTCCTGACTCACTCTGCAGACCTGGCAGCACGCGAGGTAGGCGACATGTCGGTGGTGGGATAAGTGTGTGGTCTGGTCTGGCTGGGGTCCGAGTGCTGGAGCCTGTCCTAGCTCTGCCACTGATCAGTTAGCTGTCGTGGTGGGTATGCACTTCGTTACTCTGCTCCTCCTTCCCTTTGCCTGCCACGTGGGTCACAGCATCATGGACCTCGGCTGCTGGGAGTGCCAATTGAGAAAGTGGAGCTGGCTGCTCGAGTTAGAGGCTTCCCAGCTTTGCTCCTTAGAAGCTCTGTGACCTTGAAGAAGTTGCTTAGCTCTCTGTGCTTCAGCTCTTCATCTTCGAATCGTGGTAATAGAATCTACCTTGTGGGATTGGCTGTGAATAACTGAATGAGTCAGTATTTTGAAAATACTTAGAACAGGGCTTGGCATGTAGTGAACATGAGCTGGGGTCGTCATCTTGTCCCTGTCATGTATCGGCATTGCTCTTGGGGTGGCTATTTTACTACTTTGTGACACGTAGTTGCTGTTCAGTAAGTGATAGCTGTGTCATCATCCTCGTTGTAAGCATGGACAAACTGAGGGTCGGGATAGTAAATATTCACTCAGTATTTCTCCCGCTGGATCTTGGGGGCCGTGCTGTCAGGGTTCTGGAACTAATAATTCCTGTGGATACTGAAGGAGGACTGCACTTAAGTTTTGGAGGAGTCAAAGTTATATGTGGATTTTCTTTTTAAAAATATATATTTTATTGAAATTTTATAGAGAGGAAGAGAGAGAGATAGTCAGAAACATCAAGGAGAGAGAAACATCAATCAGCTGCCTCCTGCACACCTCCCGCTGGCGATGTTGCCTGCAACCAAGGCACATGCCCTTGACCGGAATCAAACCTGGGACCTTTCAGTCCTCAGGCTGATGCTCTATCCACTGAGCCAAACTGGTTAGGGCTTTGGATTATTATTATTATTATTTTTAGAGAAAGTGGAAGGGAGGGAGGGAGGGAGTTAGAGAAACATTTTTGTGTGTGTGTGTGTGAGAGAGAAACACCTTTGTGAGATAGACATCAACTGATTGCCTCTTGCATACACCGTGACTAAGGCTGGGGATCGAATCTGCAACTCAGGTATGTGCCCTTGACCAGGAATCAAACCCATGACCCTTTGGTGCACAGGCTGATGCTCTAACCATTGGGAAGACTGGCCAGGGCTCTGGATGGATTTTTGATTCTGCAGGGTTGGTATCCCTAACCGCGTGCTGTTCAAGGTTCTGCTTTGCGTCAGGAGACAGAGACGTCAGGATGTCTGAGTATCTTTCTTGTAAAGAAAAGTCTTTCAATTAAAACCTGTTAAGTAGGACTTAGCAGAGTTGCTTTTAAATATACTGATACTATAAAGAATTTGTTTTTAAAACTATAGAATTTTGCCGTAGCTGGTTAGGCTAGTGGATAGAGCTTCAACCTGTGGCTGAAGGGTCCTGGGTTCGATTCCAGTCCAGGGCACTTACCTTGGTTGCAGGCTTCTTCCCAGTCCGGACATGTTGTCAATGTGTCTCTCTCATATCGATGTTTCTCTCTGTCTCTCTCCCTCCCATTCTCTCTAAAAATCAATGGAAAAATACCCTTGAGTGAGGATTTTTTTAAAAAAAATTATAGAACTTTTAATGAATTATGACCTTTATAAATTAGTATATAGAATTCATAAGTCAGAAAGCATGAAGGACTGCTTACTTTTTTTGTTTATGTTGCATTATCTGTAGGCTATTCCAGTTTTTTTCAAGATGCCCCTGGCTGGGGAATTTAAAAACATAAGTTCTTAATATTTAGCAAGAAGAATATACGAGTGATGATACACCACCAGGCTGCCTGGTGCCTGCGGCATTGTTCAGCCCTTTGTCCGCGGGCAAGTTGCTCGACCTTTCTGAACCTCAGTTTCTTCTTCTCAGCGATGGGGGTGGTCTTATATATATTATAAAAGCACTGGCACAGGTGAGCCGCTTTGTACTGTGGTGGTGGCACCTGTTTTCTGTTCCCTCCCCCATCCCCCCACCTCTCTCTCTCTCTCTCACTCACTCACTCACTCACCATCTGATCTGCTCTTTTTCCTTAGTGACTTGATTGGTTCTTAATGTTTCCATAGCTGCTGCTTCCCTGGGTCTGCTTCCTGGCCTGGAGGGATTTGTGTTTCCTTATCTGAGGTCTTTCTAGGCACTAGGCCTTATAGTTTGGAGGTGATGTCTGGACGTCACCAAAGCTGGGGGGGGGGGGGGGAGAAAGCTGCCATTCACTGGTTACTTCGACGTCAGGGACCTGGCTTTGTCTCTTCCTTACTCTCCACACGCACTTCCTGCATCCTGTAAAGCTCCATGTCTGCCCATCTGCCTCCACCCAGCCTCCACCAGCCTCCCTCCGTCACCGCTCGCTCGCTTGCGCCCGCCCCGCCCCCCCCCCCCCCCCCCGCCCCAGGTGGTGCTAGCTCATGTCCCTCCTGAGGGGGGTGTGAGACCCCTGGCTTCCTGGGTTACGAGTGGGCTCGGTGACCTCTTCCTGGTTGTGGGACCCTGCCTTCACAGATGTGCTGAGAAGATGTGAAAATGAGATCGAACAGCGTCCAGGGGGCTAGTAGAAGAGCTTCAGGTTTTGTCTTTGGAGAGTCCTAGCTCTGAGAGAGACTTCGGTTGGTGAGGGCTGTTTGTGCAGTCTCTCACTTCGTGGTTCAGAGGCAGCCCCGTGCTCTCTGGTCTGATCAGACATCAGACGTGCTGCTCCCAGGGCGGCAGCAGGCCTTTCTGTCCTGCTCTCCTCGGAAGTGGTGGGAGCTGGCGTGGTTCCATGTATCCGCATTGATCTGTCTGCTGTCTCTTCTGTTCTTTTTCTAGCCTGCTTGCCTGTGTTTTTCTGGAGCCCCTTTCTTCCCAGTGTTGCCTGGGGTCAGAGTTCAGCCTGGTGACTGATGTGTTTTCACTGGGGCACATACAAGGTCACTGAGCCTCGCTGCTATTAGGAGCCTGACTGTGAAGCCTGGAGACAGAGCCATCATCAAGAGCAGCGTCTTAGAAATGAGACAGACTGCCCGGGCATCACTGGACACAGATGTGCCTCTTGTTCTCAGCCTTTGCTCAGCTCATTTTCAGAAGTTTGTGAACGCATAAAGCCTCAGTCACGTTCACAGTTAAGTAAAGCGCTGGATTTTTTTGTTAGTTCGTGGGATTGGCTACTAACAAAATGACCTGTATATTTGGAAACCTATGCTCAGCTGGCAAGGGCTCCGGGAGCCTGGCCACCGTGACCCTTGGCTGCGTGGGGTGTCCGATCGCTGCATTCTGAGATGACCTGGGCTATCCCTCAGCTTGAACGCATGAGAAAGCAGTGTTTCATTTTAAAGATGTTGCTAGTGGCTTGTTTTCCGGGCTGCTTCTCCTGTGTGGGATTCTTACATTTTGAAGCTAAGAAAAGCGATCAGAGATTCCTCAAAGCTAATTCTAAAACAAGTTGGCACCCTCAAATTTCTGTTTCTGTGTATGTTTTCTAGATAGTTTAAAAAAATATATTTTATTGATTTTTTATGGAGGGGAAGGAAGAGGAATAGAGAATTAGAAACATCGATGAAAGAGAAACATAGATCAGCTGCCTCCTGCATACCCCCTACTGGAGATGTATGTGCCTGCAGCCAAGGTACATGCCCTTGACCGGAATCGAACCTGGGACCCTTGAGTCCGCAGGCCGACACCCTATCCACTGAGCTGAACTGGTCAGGGCTTTATACATTTATAAACTTACTGTGAAAGTATCAATTTGGAAACATTTTACCTAAAAAATATTTGGGTTCCTGAGAACAAATATTTATTTTACAGCCTGTTTTTTAAATGACAATAAAGATTTTGTTTTCAAAATGGTTTTTATTTTATCAAGTTAATTATTTTAACTATAAGGTCAGAATTAGGCTGGAAAATGTCCAAGGCATGACTTGGACGACAGCAGTGGTCTGAGGTGGCCTGTGCGGACATGCGCTCTGAGGGGTTTGACCCGCAGCTCACTCAGTGCTGGGCTCTGGCTTGTTGTGTCCACAGGCTGCTGGACGAGCTGACCAAGGCTGAGATTAGCATATTAATAAGGGGCTGGCTGCTGGCCCGCCTCCTCCCTCTTCCCTCCTCCCTCCTTCACCCCTCCCCTTCCCCTCCTCCCCTCCTCCTGCCCTGAATGAATCTAGGAACACAGACCCGTGGGGTCACGTTACTGGTTACTGGCTGGTTTCTTTCTGTTCCGTGGCCTAATCTGGCCAGGATGGTCTGTTTCAGATTGCGGAAGCAGGAGGAGGCTGTAACAGGCATTCTTCAGCGGCTGCGGGCTGCGCAGAAGCAGCGCCTCCCCAGAGTGCCTCCAGCTCTGAGAGAAGGAGCCCAGGGAAGCTGGTCTCCTGCGGATGGAAGCACACGCTGTGGGAGCCATGACCCGGGACTTTGTGTGCGGACTCCGGGCTTGGTCTTTGTAGCTCTGAGTTGATGTTGCTGGAACTGGCGGGCCGACAGGCCCTGAAACCAGCGGGGCCGGCTGTATGGAGAAGAGCGGCTGTAGCCCGTTCCCAGTGTGTTGGGCTAAAGGTACAAATAACCTAAAAATCGGTTCGGTTTACATTTATTTACATTCTCACTTTGCACTAAAACGGTAGATAAAGTTTTGTGGAATTTATTTCAAATAGATTTACAGTTAAATTGATGGGAAAATGGACGTTGATGTAGCATGGGTTTGTAGCTACTGCAGGGAACCAATTAGATAGCTTTTCAAATAGGAAAAGGACTTCTGTGGAAATGCATTTTAAGTGTGTCTTTTTTTTATATGTTCTGTCCTGTGTCTCTTGAAGTTGTATGTTTTATTTTGTATTTTAATCAAGACATCCATATCTGTTCTATGATGTGGAAATGTTAAAAGAATAATGAGACTAATTTTAACTTAAATAAGTCAGTAAAAAAAGGAGAGTAGCATGGATTTTCTTGTTTTAAAAGTTGGTTACCTTCACTCCCTGTAAAGATGGTATATTTATTTAACAACACTCCATGGTACTGTAAGGTGGGCTGATCATTAAGGGTCAGCAATACTCTGAATAGACAGCTTTCCATTCCACAGTTCTTAGGGCCTTTATTTACATAAAAATGTAAATAGAAAATGTAGCATTTTTATTATAATATTTGAGGCAATATTTGGGGGGCATGCTTAGAAGTTAAAAATGCCACAAGATTCATGCAGAAATAAGGCCAAAACCTTTAGCTGCTTTGCTTAAGGTAGGAGTGAATATTCAGCCCGGAGAGCAGGCCTCAGGGATAAGTTAGTGAGAGAATTCTATGGGAATGTTGGTAAGGCGGCTCCTGTGCGGGGAAGAGCGTGGTATCAGAGAGGCCACCGAAGGTGGCTCAGCACCCAGCCACAGCAGCCTGGTAAACGGCTTTCCTTTCCGAGGCCCGTTAACGTCTGGGAGTTCTTCTCTAGGCTCCCAGGCCGCTAACACATATGACATTGGAACGGTCATAGTATGGTGCTCTCTGAGCAAAGCACCTGTCACCTTGTTAATAGTTAGGTATCCAGAGAAAGGTTTTGCCGAATTAATTCAAGCTCTTGAATGTTAAAGGGCTTTGGGCTTGGGAACCAGGGCTGCCTGGCATTATTGAGTGTGGCCAGTAGTGAGTGTGCAGAGCAGAGCTCTGTGCCTGTGGAGCGCTTGGTCTTTTCCTAGACCTGCTGGGGCGCGTTTGCCTGGAGGCCCCCCACACCCCCCCATTGGGTGCGAGCACCTGTTGGTACTGGCCTTCAGAGGAAGGCTGGCCCCGCACTCACCGAGTCCGGGCTGGACCTCAGACCCACGGATCCAGCAGCAATGGGGTAGGAAATAAGACGCTACTAGGTTTTTACAAATTCAAAGTGACTTTAGAAATAGGAACTTTGAAGAGAGATTGCAGTTCATCCTAAAGCAGTTGAATTGAAGCAATCTATTTTTTAAAAAATATTTTTGCTGACAGAGCAAATGAATAGAGGCATTTTTGATTGAAATACAATTTAATAAGAGGTTGGGATGGGCAAGAGATGGCGCTCAACGTGTGTGGAGGACGGGAATAGGGACAGCTTCGGTCAGAGTCAGTCTCTGTGGGGCTGGAACAGGCTGTTTGGGAGGAATGGTCCTGCTTTTGGGTCATTCAGGAAGAAGACGCTGTTCCTGCCCCTGCTGGGAGCTGTGCGGTGCTCCTGCCCCAGGGAGCTGTGCGCCTTCTGCCCCAGGACAGGAAGGCAGGGAGCTCCTGGAGCTGGCTTCCTGCTGCTCAGTTGTGTGATGAAGGCAAAGGGGGTGGGGCTTAGGGCCTGGCTGCCTTGATGGTGTCAAGTATAGAAGCTTCTGCTTTAGGTAAATACAGAATGAAAAAGCTCAAATTTAAAGAAGATACAGATCTGTTTGCAGTTAGACATCCAAACCTCACTTTGATTTTATCAGTCACATTAACCTCAAAAAACAGCAGCGTCCCAATTTAGGAGGACCGGTAAAATACTTACTAGAACAGGCTAAAAATAGTGGGACAGACCTATATTGTGTGCTCGGAACTGAACCCGAAGGCATCCTCGGAACCCTCCGGGTCCCCTCGGTCATACAGTTGGCTGTACTGAGTGTGGTGGGAGGGAGCCCTTGTGGGCCCTGCCCTGGGAAGATCAGATTTTACCATGTTTGAAAGGACTTGTTATAACGAGTTCACCGCATCGCAGTGGCCTGGTCTTACAGAGTTGTAGTTCGGAGGGCTGAGGAAAAGGTCATGTGCACAGGTTGAGCCAGGACTGAATGCAGAAAGCCCTGTGATCAGTGGATAATGCATTCTGGTCCTCATCACTGGGGACTGAGTGAAATGAGGCACCCTCTCTCTTCTTGGCTTCTGGAATCCTGTAAGGAGGCTTGTGCCCAACCATGGCGGGAGCTAGAAACATCATTATCTGAGGAGCCTGGCCAAGAGCACAGGCAGTTCTCACACTTGGGGCTCTAGCTGATGGCTCTGTCTCTAGGTCATCAAGCCTCCCTCAGGTTCAGGGTTCCTGAGTTTAAAGACAGCCTCTGCCTTCAAAGCATGAGACCAAAAAAAAGCATGAGACAGCCAAGCTAACACAGCAGGCAGCAGGAAACTAAGAGCAGGAGACAGTCACATCTCAGTGCACGATCTCCAGAAGCCAGGAGAAGAGCAAAGACCAACAGGATTCTTTAAAGTACATGAGACCAAGGCCGTGGGAAATGGCAGAGCAGAAACCAGCTCAGTTTGGGAAGAATGGGGAGGTGGTGTGGAGATGCCTCACAGCCTGGCATGGAAAGATGAGTGGAGGAAAAGAGAAATTGGCATGGCAAATGCAGAAGGTCCAACATCCAAATAAATAGAGCCCAGAAAGAAGAGGGAGGAAGGCATCAAGGAAATGACGCAGGGGCCAAAGGAGGAGGGTTTCTGGATTGAAGGTTCCCGAGTTCGAAGCCCCCGAGGCTGCCTCAGGCTGCCTGCCCTCAGCTCTTACAACACGCAGTGCAGCTCGGGCCACCGCTGTAATTAAGTCACGTGCGTGTGTATCCTGAGTGGACCGAAAGCTCTGAAGGTAGGAGTTTATGCATACAGATATGTGTGTGTGTATAAAATTTACCATCCACTCCACACATTGGTCCCAGGCCTAGCTAGAAGCGGACTCTGTAAATGAGGGTAGGGTTCGTTCGGGAATGGGAGGGAGGGAGGTGCATCATTTGCCTACAGAGGCAGGAACGAGTGAATGAGTGAGAAGGTGGGTGGAGCGCTAATCAACTGCAGCTGGCTCTTGGCCTAGGACAGCAGAGCCAGTGACGCCTCTGATGCTAGGAGAGTGCTGTCACTCAGCCGGTGACAAGTTTTCAAAGCAAGATGGAAAACAGTACCCTGCACCATCACGTGGCCTCTGACAAGTCGCTGCTCTGTTCCCACCCTGGAAGCGGGATGTGAAGTTATTCTGAGGGTGAGGTGACTTCATCTCTAAGTAGGAATGGCCTGGGAATGCTGCACAGGTCAGGGAAATAGCCCGCGGGTGGGTGGCGCTGCGCTCAGTGGAGCCAGTGTCTGCATTCCAGGAAGGTGCTTGCCCTAGGCTGTTTGGATTTTGCAAAGTGCCCTGAGAGAGAGCGCAACACCTGCCCCCCAATCTTTGTCTCAAAGGTAAATAGACTTCTCCTTAGGACTGCAAAGACTCAGTTTCTCTATGGGGTTGTAGTTTTCCTTCAAAGGTTTCAAAGAGCCAGAATCAAAATGTCACTCATGTGTCCCCCACCCTCATCCCCCAGCCAGAAAGCAGATGGGGGTGGCCTGAGGTTTACTTCTCTTTCCACATCAGCTTCCCGAAGCGGCTCCCCGCCGCCCGCCCCTTTCATTCCAGGCATGAAGTGCCTCCTTCATTCTGGTGAGAGTTCAGGCACTTAGGCCTGTGATGTTCCTCACACTGGATTAATCTCTTACTTCCTGCCCGCCCCTCCTCCCGTCCCCTCCCCTCCCCTCCCCAGACAGTGTCTCCCTCTGTGCTCCTCATCTCAGCCAGGGCGGCCCTTGGAGACACGGAACTGGCAGACACCCTTAGCGAGCAGGCAGCGTCTGCCACCTGCGCTCAGGTGGCCTCCGGGGTCTGAGGCTCCTTCGGGTGGTGTGAGCCAGCTTTGCTGGGTTTTCCCAGCACGCCTTTCAGTCTTGACCAAGCTTTTCCTTCACCCTCACATGCAAGCTCTATCCTACTTTTAAAAAGCCGGTGGTTTCTGCTTTTAGGTTTGGTTTGGTTTTCTGTTGTGCAAGGTGACTGACTAAGCAGGAGGGCTTTGTTTTTCGCTAAAGCCTAGTAATGTGTAGTGACTACTCACTGAATTGTTATTTTGTGAACAGGGAACCTGTATCTCAGGTAAAAGTTTTCAAAAGTAGGCAGCAAAATTAACATACCCGGTGATTAAAAGGGGGTAATTTACATTGTTTATAGATAACAGTGGATTGTTGATAGAGTTGAAATAGGACTCCTGGCCTTTTAAGAGTTTGTATAATAAACATTATGCTACTGTGAATCAGGTCCTGCTTTGGGGGGGGTGGGGGGGGAGACAGTGTCTATCTTGCCGGCCTAGGCGCCCGCGGGGAAAGGCTATAAAACTTGTTAATGTAATCATTAGCGGTTCATTTCCATCAGTAGACTTCCAATATACATGGTGAACATCTTTTTTCTCTCTTACAGAATATGACAGGTACCTAGCATCTAGCAAAACAATGGCAGCTGCTTACCTGGACCCAAACTTGAATCACACAATGAATTCCAGTGCCAAGACGCACCTGGGTGCAGGTTCGGAGCGGTCCCCGGGAGCCATGGAGCGAGTGCTGAAAGTCTTTCATTATTTTGAAAGCAACAGTGAGCCGACCACGTGGGCCAGTATTATCCGGCACGGAGACGCGACTGATGTCAGGGTAAGCGCATTTCCAGGCCCAGGTGGGTGTTACAGCACTCACACACACACAGAACAGCGCTTCCTACCCACATACAGAGACGCTCCTCTTTCTCCAACGTGTGCCTGACCAGAATTTAGGTTGTTGTAAGATTTCTTAGGAAAATAACAACCGAATTAGATATTATTTATAGGATGCCATCGACTTGTTTTTCTCCCCTGGTTTTTTTTTTAATTCTTTAAAGGACACAAAAAACACAAAGCAGTTAAAACAGCCTCTGGCCGGGACCGGTTTGGCTCAGTGGATAGAGCGTTGGTCTGCGGACTGAAAGGTCCTGGGTTCGATTCCGGTCAAGGGCATGTACCTTGGTTGCGGGCACATCCCCAGTAGGGGGTGTGCAAGAGGCAGCTGGTCGATGTTTCTCTCTCATCGACGTTTCTAACTCTCTGTCCCTCTCAATTCCTCTCTGTGTAAAATCAATAAAATATATTAAAAAAAATAAAAATAAATAAAACAGCTTCTGATACTTAGGAAATAAGAAGTTATTTTGGAGGTATTTGTGTGATTCCAAAGAGGATAGTTTCTTAAAAGCTGTTGACTGGGCCCTGACTGGCTTGGCTCAGTGGATAGAGTGTCGGCCTGCGGATTGAAAGGTCCCAGGTTTGATTCTGGTCAAGGGCATGTACCTTGGTTGTGGGCACATCCCCAGGGGGAGGTGTGCAGGAGGCAGCTGATGGATGTTTCTCTCTCATCGATGTTTCTAACTCTATCCCTCTTCCTTCCTCTCTGTAAAAAATCAATTATATATATATAAAAAGCTGTTGACTGTCTACATACCAGACACGGGCCAGGCTCTGGAGATGGAAGAGTCCCTGCTCGTATAGCCCGCAGTCTGTGGGGAGATGCAGCGCAGCAGGTGCCCCTCCAGGCGTTCCCAGAGACGAGGAAGCTCAAGGGGGACCCCTGGGTGTGCGCCAGCCTGGGCAGGTGTCCTGTGGACGGTGGGTGAGAGTGGGTGAGCCTGTTTGGTCACTGCTGCTGCTCGCTGGGGCTCCTGTGGGTGCCCCTGAGTCCTGAGGACATGGAGAGCCTGGCCAGGGTCCTGAGGAAGGGCCCCCAGAGACACTGCGTTTCTCCTGTGGTGCTGATGGCCACCACAGGTGTCAGGAATGGTGTGTGCCCTGCACTTGCACGGTGTCTGGGCATGGAAGACAGACATGAACGTAGATGACTAGACAGACAGACAGGAGCTGCAGTCCCAGCAGGAGGAGGGATGGCTGCACACTGAGCTGCTGTGGCGGAGGAGCTGTGCTGCTCAGGGTGGCGGGTGTCACTGTGCACTTGGTTGTGAACTGGCAGAGCTGAGGGCACAGACAAAGGCGCCTTTGTGGGAATTTGAAAGAGGCGCCAGCCCGTCCGTGTAGCTCAGGGAGCTGTGTGTTGGCAAGGAGAAGCTGTAGAAGTCGTCTGTGAGAGAATTACTAGAAAAGATGTCCCTTCCTCTAGGCAGACCCCCACCCCGGAGCCTGGGCCCCATGGCTGGGCACCCTCTGGTGGGACACAGCCTGCACCGGCCTTCCTGGCAGCCCTGTCACCAATTCCTGGCCTTGAATCCAAAGCCAGATAGGGCATTTTATGCCTAGCTTGGTTCCACCACCCTTCCTGTCCTGTGAGAATTCTTTAGAAAGCTGTCTTTGACTCCTCCAGCCTGGTCCTTTGTTCCCTCCTTCTGTCTCCCCCGCCCCGCAACCTCCCGTCCCTCCACCTCTCCCTCCCTCCACCCCTCCCTCACACTCTCCTGTGCTGGACACAGAGCTTGTCCGGGACCGAGCAGTCTGACTGGGAGGTTGGCCACACGCGGGCACCAGGAGCGCAGCACACGGCCTGCCTCAGTGTGGGCACTCGGGGTCCTCGCCTGTGCTTGTGTGTGACGTTCCTGTCTCATGGAATAGTGTGGGACTTTTAAAATGTGGCTTACATCTTAGGTAAGTTATCTGATAGCTTCAGGCAATTGTAAGTTTTTAAAAACCAGTGATTTTCTTTCTTTTTTTTAAAATATATTTTTATTGATTTCAGAGAGAGAGAGAGAAACATCAATGATGTGAGAAACTCATTGATTGGCCGCCTCCTGCATGCCTCATACTGAGGATTGAGCCCACAACTCAGACATGTATGCTTGATCGGAATCGAACCCGGGACCCCTCAGTCCATAGGCCAACGCTCTGTCCACTTAGCCAAACCGGCTAGGGCCCAGTGACTTTCTATAATAGACATTTGTGTTATAGCAGCATCATTTAAAAATTTATTAATGACCTAAAACCATGGTTGGCAAACTGCGGTTTACAAGCCACATGCGGCTCTTTGGCCCCTTGAGTGTGGCTCTTCCACAAAACACCACGGCCTGGGCCAGTCTATTTTGAAGAAGTGGTGTTAGAAGAAGTTTAAGTTTAAAAAATGTGGCTCTCCAAAGAAATGTCAATCGTTGTACTGTTGATATTTGGCTCTGTTGGCTAATGAGTTTGCCGACCACTGGCCTAAAAGATGGGGAAAGTTTCAGGGACTGTGACTAGCACACCCTCACACAAGGGCAGTGGAGGGTTTTGTCATTCTCAGGTAAGTATCCCTGTGTGCCCGTGACTGCCACACGTGTGCCAGGCCTGCTCTTCCCTGTCACAGCCCTTCCCCTCGGACTTCCCGTGGCCGCTTTCCGAGAGACCTTCACCTTCTCTCCCATCCTGGGCTGCAGGTGTGAGAAGCACCAGAGTTGGGGCTCTTTAGTTTGCTGCATATTAGTCAGTGGAGTGCAAATAGAGTGGTTAGGCCCACCTTCCAATAACTTCCCACACGTCAGTGTGATCAGGAATACCATCTTAATTGTATGTTCCAGTCGTGTGTGTTTAAAAAAGGATCTGAGTTGCAGTGGTCTCCAGCAGTATGCTGTCCTTGTTCAGAAAGTGGAACGCCCTGGGGTCTGCTCCTCAGCACGAGCGGAGGGCGGCCGGTGCGAGGGCCGCAGACTCCTGTTAGCCAGCAGAGAAAGGGAAGAGCCTCTTTGTTTTAACTCCTCCCTGGTCATAAAAACGCTATTTGGGCCGAGACCGGTTTGGCTCAGTAGATAAAGCGTCGGCTTGGGGACTGAAGGGACCTGGGTTTGATTCCGGTCAAGGGCATGTACCTTGGTTGCGGGCATATCTCCAGTAGGGGGTGTGCAAGAGGCAGCTGATCGATGACTCTCATCGATGTTTCTAACTCTCTATCTCTCTCCCTTCCTCTCTGTATAAAAAAAATCAATAAAAATATATTAAAACAAACAAACAAACAAAACAAAACAAACACTATTTGGGGGGAAAGAGTCCCAGGTGAAATTCAGTGACTGACTTGCCTTGAAACGCCTTTACCAAAGACTCCTGATAAGAAATGAAGAGAAGTGACCATTGCATTCGCGTTTAGCATATAGCTGTGTGTGTAACGGCTGTTTTTGTGGGGGTGTTTTCAGGGCATCATTCAGAAGATAGTGGACAGCCACAAAGTGAAGCACGTGGCCTGCTACGGATTTCGGCTCAGCCACCTCCGGTCAGAGGAGGTGCACTGGCTGCACTTGGACATGGGCGTCTCCAGCGTGAGGGAGAAGTATGAGCTCGCACACCCGCCGGAGGAGTGGAAGTAAGACCACACCTGCTTCGTGTCACTCTTGCTGGCCTGTTTCTGTGTTCAGTCACGCACACGAGGGGGAACGTGTTAGCTTTCTGTTCACACTGGTGGTGCTTGCGACTCCTGAGCGAAGTTGGCTGGTAACTGTTAACCAGTGACCTGCCCCAACTTCCGTTCAGTCTGCCGTGGGCACCGCTGACTTCTTCCGCCATGGTGGTCTGTTGCTGCTCCCGCTTCCCTTGTCTGTGCCGCTCGTTTGGATTCCTCTGACAGCTCCGGCCCGGCCCCCGCGGCCTGTCTGCTCCTGTCTGCGGCACCGCTAGTGCGAAGTACTGGTTGCGCCCGGGAGGCCACCCCAGCGACCTCGTCACTGGGCTGCATCGCTGGCTCTGTGGCCGGGCTGGGGAATGGACGTTCACAGGGCATTACAGCAGGAGGGCCCGCCTAGTGCCTCGCGCTGAAGACACTGGCCGTGCAGGAGGCCTGGAGGAGTCCCCGCGGCGTGCTTTCCCTGGCTCTCCGGGCGATGGCAGTAGGAGGTCGTACGTCTCACATCACACTGGAGAGAGTGTGGCTTGTGAAGACAGGAACCTGTTCGTTGCCATGCAGGAATAGAGGAGATTGTGATGGAAGCAGACGGTCATGTGGCAGCAAGCTCCATATGAACATCGCATCAGTTCTACATTTTCAGAGAAAAACACGTTTAGATTCATAAACCTCTGGTTGAATTAAGTCTTGTGCCAGTTAGAGTTTATTAAAAAAAAAAATGACTTGAATTTTCAGATTTGTCAAGCAGCAGGAACTGAGCGAACAAAACATTATGTGATGACATAGTTTGGTTGGTTTACATCAATGGCTAGTGGAGGTTTGACTTCCAACTGTTTAGTCTGTTAACCAAATGAGTGTTTCAAAACTTAAGACTATCTTCCCCTGTATTGCTTAGTGGTTAGGGCATTGGCCATGCACCGAAGGGTCTTGGGTCCAATTCCCAGTCAAGGGCATGCACCTGGGTTGCAGGCTCTTATCACTGGCCCTGACATGTGGGAGGCAACCAATCGATGTATTTGTTTACATCGATGTTTCTCTGTATCCCTCCCTCCCTCCTTTCCACTCTCTAAAAACATAAATGGAAAGAAATATCCTCAGATGAGGATTAACAACAACAACAAAATTAAAAAACCAAACAAGTCAGAATGAGCTGCAGGGACATGCAACTGTGTGGATGGATCTTAGCCAGACACCACTGTGTGACAGACGTAAGTATCAGGACAACACACTGCTGCATCCACTTATTTTTGTGTGATTTTTACCTTCATTTTTTAAAAAAGTAAGTTCCAGAAGATGTCATGACATGACATGCTATTATAAAGTTAAAAGCAAAATAAACCTAAAACTGCCGTTGTGAAATACCCGCTGGGGAAGGCAACGTGGACATTTAGCTGAAGGGGCAGAGGGCAGGGGGCGCAGCCTTCCCTGACCCCGTGAGACCCCGAAGGAACTAGGCCTGAACTTCCTTCCGTCATGGGGTTCCTGGGAGGTGCCAGTTCAGTAGGTGGTACTGGTAGCACCTGAGTCATCCACAAACGTGTAAACTGCGATGCCACACTGAGTTTAGAGTGCAGCAAAAGGTGTTATGCAGTTTTGAGAGGTTTCTGTCAAACAGACTTAAACGTAAAAGTCTTAAATTCTGTTGTAATACTGAGTTCAACAAGAGATCTTAAAAGATTGACAGTAATAAGGCAGTACGCAGGAGCCGCTGGTACATTTGGAAGTGACACCTTTAAAAACTAGGATGGACTTCTGAATCTGCTGATTCATTAAACGTCACTGGTGCTCCTCACCAGACACTGACAGACAAGGACCATGCGTTTCTAGTCTGTGCTGGACAGCTGGTCTTTACCAGCCACGCTTACCAACCCAGTTTCGTCATTCATCAAGGACGTGCCAGCTAGAGTCACTGTGTCCTATTACAGTAAACAAACATCCGTGTGACCAGAATGAACAGGTTAGAGATGCCAGGGAGAGAGGAGAGTGTGGAGCCAGGACACCCCGTGCTGCTGGTCGGAGTGTCAGCTTTTACCTCTGCCTATTCACCGTGTGGTGATGGCAGATAAAGCTACAGTGTGTATTATCACCCAGGAGTGCAGCTCCGGTGGCCACGCAGCAGAAATGTGTACAAGTGCTCCCCAGAATTGGTGCAGGAGCCTTCATTTTGGGAGACACACACACACACACGGGGGCCGGGGGTGGGGGGTGGAGAGAGAACAAGAGAGAATGAGAATGAGAGAGAATTCTGGTGAAAACCATTTGTTTCAACCATTCTTGAAGCTTGGCTTCCTGAGCAAACAGATTACCTTTTTTATGCTCAGAGAAGAAAAAAATGAGCATTTGGCGTTATTCCGAATAGTCAAAAACTGGAACCAGCTCAAGTGGCCATCAGCAGTTATGGGCTGAATAGTTGTGTGTGTCACACTTTTTAGCTTTGAGCAAACTTCAGGTGCTACATGTGGGCAAATCTCACAAACATGGTGGTGAGTGAAGGAAGCCAGGCACAAAGGCTGTTCTATGAGCCCATGGGGTGAAGTCAGCCATGTGGGGTGTGCTCGGGCGCGGCCCCGGCCCCGGCCGTGGTGGACGGTGGCTAAGGGCTGGAGAGGCCCGCTCTGCAGACTCGTGGAGCTGAAGACATGCGCACACTTCTGTGCCGAAAATAAAACATTTATAGATTAATCGATTATATCTTATATTTTAAATATTTCAGATGCCGTAATTGGCAATGCCATACACACCATCATAATGAAACTGTAGCGATGAATTGAGGAAATTATTGATTTCTAATTGTTCCATTTTGTGAATTATTTTTTAGATATGAATTGAGAATTCGTTATTTGCCAAAAGGATTTCTAAACCAGTTTACTGAAGACAAGCCAACTTTGAACTTCTTCTATCAACAGGTGATTTAATATATTTTTTTTCTCTATTTCTCTGAATTTTATTTATTACCTAGCTTTATTTTAAGAATTAGATGAAATCTAATATTTGGGAGAATATAAATTTGTCACTCTTAGCTAGTAAGAACTTAGGAACTTTGGACACTTGGTGCATTTTTGTATGCTTGGACAACTCTAAAAGATATCAGCACACTCAGCATGCATCTGAATTTGTTGTCAGAGATAACTGTGCCTGTACAACCTCAATAGCCATTTCTATACTACAGCCAGGATTGACTTTTTTATACCAAGAGAAGCTTGCTCTTTACACCTCACGGTATGAGTTAGGCAGTAAATACATGTGGCATAAATGAGCCAACACAATTTTATGACCGAATAAATGTTACTTGTTGGTATTAGTGAGCTGTGCCCCTCAAAATGTCTAATGAATATCAGAGACATTTGAACTACAGTTTTGCCACTAAGTGCACTTTTTATTTCTTCAACATTTTATTGAGAGGCTGTGTCTCAAAATGACAGCATCCGGATCCCGTGGGCATCTGCGTGAGGGGGTGTGCATGGACTCTGGGGCAGTGGTGCGTTTCCTTGTGTTTGTTGTGCTGTTGTTTTGTTGAACTTCACATCTGGGAATCTTGAGGGTCTATAGGGGGAATGGTGAACATCTCTGAAGGTTAACTCTTGTTCATTCTTTTATCAGGTTAGATAGGAAGGAACTAGGTTTAGATTCTCTCTACCACCATTTCCAGAGAAGCGGAGAGAGAGCTCATCTGTGCTCCACTGTCCCTGTGCCCCTCGCTCGGGGTGGTGTCGTGAGGAAACCTGTGGGTGGAGTGGTGGGTGTGGGTGGCTGACTTACTGGGCATCATTCTGTGGGCGCAGTTTCACTTAAAGATGTCCCAAATGGGACCCTGTGTGAGACAGGGTGAATGAGTCACTCGGTGTTTTTGACCCATTTTAGGATTTCTGAGAGAGATTAATCAGCACACTGTAAAAATAACTAGAACCTTGTTATAACTTACTCACTGTAGAGCAGGAGTCTATAAAATAAGTTTTGACACTAAAGCTAATGGTTCATTATAAAACCAGAAAACTATTATTACCCTGAAATAGTTTTCCCTTTGCCATATAGTATTTTATTCCTCTTTATCTCTCTGAACTTGTGCTTGTTAAAAGTGTGAATATTTGGTTGGTAACCTTTTGCAAGTAGTGGTGGCCATTGGTTGAAGGGCTACGGCACTGTTTAGTCAAGAAGTATTCGTATTGCCCGGCTGGCATGTCTCAGTGGTTGAGTATCAACCTATGAACCAGGAGGTCATGGTTCCATTCCTAGTCAGGCACACGCCCAGGTTGCAGGCTCCATCCCCAGCGTGGGGCGAGCAGGAGGCAGCTGATCAGCATTGAGGTTTCTGTTTCTCTCTCCCTCTCCCTTCCTCTCTGAAATCAATAAAAATACTCATATATACATACACACACACACACACGTCTGAAATGGTTAGCTCGTAGGATGCCTGGTCTGACATGAAGCTGTCATTGTTTTGTCTACAGATATTTTAAGATTTAAATGAGTATGTCTGTCCCATGGCTCACAACATTGAATGGAACACCATGACTTAACTGGGTGTAGAAGCTGACCTTGCTGGGGGGGCGTGCCTGGTGCGGGCACTCTGTTCTGTTGTCCAGTCTTACTTCTGGCTTCTGGGGCTGTGAGGAATTTGCCAGCTGACAGAGTTCAGAAGAGAGCAAAGTGAAACGCAAACTCTCCCATGGGGCCGAAGCATTGAGCTGACATATGGAATAAAGTATGGAGTAATTTAGGGGTAATACTTTCTGTTAGAACCCTAGCTAGTGTGGCTCAGTGGATAAAGTGTTGGCCTGTGGACTAAAGGGCCCCAGGTTTAATACTGGTCACGGGCATGTTCCTTGGTTGCAGGCTCTTCCCTGGCCAGGCCCTGGTTGGGGTGGTGCAGGGGCCAACCAGTTGATGTGTTTGTCTCACATCGATGTTTCCAGTCTTTTCCTCTCTCCTAGTCTCTAAAAAATCAATGGGGAAATACCCTCAGGTGAGGATTAACAAAACCAGAAACGTCCTGTTAGAGATGTGAGTGGGTTTTATATTGCACCCTTTGCTGCATTCTATTGCACAGTCAGATGAAAAACTCAAATATAACACATGAATTTGGTTTTGATGAATGAAATAAAGCAAATGATTACATTTTCCCACCTGGAAATAGTGTTTAAAAATCATGGGATCATTCTTGAAGACAGTCTGTGGTGATGGGTTTTCCTTGACGGGAACTGATACTGTGCTGTGGGGCGGAGGGTGTGCTCCTGGGGAGAGAGGAGCTCAGTTTGGAGGGGAGAGCATTTCCCTTCACTGAGGTTGCCACGGTGCTTCCAGCATCAGCATCCATGCAGTTGCTGAGCCCGTCATGGCCGCTGTAAGGAGGCGTATTGCCTGCTTCACCTGGCACGTCCTCCTGCTGAGAAGTGCTCTGCCAGTCGCGTGTACTCGTTGTGGGAAGGCATTTGTGACATTCTGTTAGCTTCTTCTCTTCACGTGAGATGGTGAGCATGTTTTATTATTTTGCAGATGGATCACAGGTGGTGGGTAGGTGGAAGCTCGTCAGTTACAGAGTTCACTGGGTTTTGAAATATGTAGATGTTCCTGGTCTTGCACGAAGGCCCAAAAATGCTGAAGTTTGAGTTAGGAAATAGGTCCACCGCGAATTTGTGGGAATGGAGGTCTCCCGTCCGGCTCTCCCTGCTGACAGCGGCTCTGGGTTACTGTGGTTCTGACGAAGCTTGTTGGTTCTTACTACAGTCCTGTGTGTGCGCTCATAGGTTACATCGGCTCTTCCTAGGAGGAGAGACTCCGGTTATATTTTTCCTATTTTTTATATTATTCATCTTCATATTCAGCATCGAGCATCATTATTGACACAGTATGTGGACAGCACGTAAAGGTAAACATCTATTGAGTGAATAAGTCTAAAATGTATTTTTTTAAGGCAGCATTGTTTCCCATTCCTTTCACCTGCAGGTGAAGAGTGATTACATGTTAGAGATTGCTGACCAAGTAGACCAGGACATCGCTTTGAAGTTGGGTTGTCTAGAAATACGGTAAGGCTCACTGTACATTGATGTTTTCATTCATCAGTGGTTTTTGTTATTTTGGAAAATTACTCAGATTTTTTTTTCTCATAAAGATTATCAATAAAATATCGAATAAAATGTAGCGACAACTTGCATGTCTGATGCGGTTGCCCTGTGGTGTGGGCCCCACCAGAGCGGGTGTGGCTCTGAGTGTGTGTGGGCCCTTGAGGGAAGGTGACGTTCAGAAGTAGGGGATGTGGCTGGTCCCTTACAGCTGGAATCTGCGCCTTTTTTCCAGAGAGTCAGACCTGCTTCCCCTTAAAGGGGAAATAGTCTGGGTTGCCCTAGCCGGGTGGCTCAGTTGTTGAGTGTTGTCCTGTGCACTGAAAGGTCGCTGGTTCGGTTCCCAGTCAGGGCACATACCCAGATTGCGAGTTCAGCCTCCAGTCAGGATGCGTGTGTGTGGGAGGAAACCAGTCAATGTTTCTCTCTTGTGCTTATGCTCTTCCTCTCCCTTTTTCTCTCTAAAAAATTAATAAAAACATTTTTAAAAAATAGTAAAAATTAAAAAAAAAAAAAGCAGTAGGTCTGGGTTACTCCATTGTGCTTCATTGGGATGTGGGGACATGCTGCAAATCAGATTCGTTTTGTATTCGAGTTTATCAGAATGTTTGTGGCTGAGCCACAGGTAGTTAAGTCCCTGCTACCTACAGTTTTTTATCATTGGACAACATACGTGTATAAAACTTCATGTCTTTCTGATTTTAGGCGATCGTACTGGGAGATGCGGGGCAATGCACTAGAGAAGAAGTCTAACTATGAAGTATTAGAGTAAGTATCACACGTTGGAAATGAGCCTTCTAGAAGCAAATATTCAGAACTAGCTCATTCTTCAAATTGTAGTTTTTATTAGTTTATCTTTACTTGAAAGTAAATATTATTTTAAAAATACTAGGAATTAATATAGAAGTTTCTAGAGGGTGTCGGGCTGGAGGGCAGGATTTGATATCTGAGATGGTTGTCCACCCCAAGTTTTGGAGAAGGAGTGTGTGCAGTTGAGGGGCTACTGATCGGGTAGCAGGCTAATCCAGGAGGGGAGACCAGCTTTTGTGAAGGCTCAGAAACCGTCACTTTGTTTCGGATAGAACACCTTGCTCTGAGGAGACAGTTGGGTTACTCTTAATATATATATATTTTTAAATATATTTTATTGAGTTTTTACAGATAGGAAGAGAGAGGGATAGAAAGCCAGAAACATCGATGAGAGAGAAACACCGATCAGCTGCCTCCTGCACACTGCCCACTGGGGATGTGCCCGAAACCAAGGTACATGCCCTTGACCAGAATCGAACCTGGGACCCTTCAGTCCTCAGGCCGACGCTCTATCCACTGAGCCATACTGGTTTCAGCACTCGTAATATTTTTATTCTAAAAATCACCAGATCCAACTTTAGAGAATGGGAAAAGCACTATCTAGAAATTAAATTTTCAGCCTGGAGTCACATCGGTGCTGCAGATTTGGAAAGATGAGAACTTAGAGAAGTAAACGGAAACCAGGGGCTTCATGAATGAACAGATAGATGAAACCTGGGAAAGTATGTTATAGAGCCAAGCAAGGTGGAGTGAATCCCAGTAAAGAGTGGTCAGGTTGTAGAGGCGAGGGGTAGGCTTTGGGTGTAGGATCAGCCACATGCCCTGGCCTGATTTCTCTATGATGCTGCTGACTTCCATGTGTTTTTAAAATATCTTATGTCCAGTTTATTTGTTTGCTTATGTGATCCTGAACAGAGACCTGTATTTCACTTTTCTCACTGATCCTTTTGCACATTCCCCCATCTGCCATTCCTTGCCGCGGCCAGGCTTTAGCTCATCTTCCCAGCACATGACTGCCACCTAGTGGCCAAAAGCCCTGGGCACTTGGTCCTCAGAGGAAAAAAGAAAGTCCCTTGCCCATCCACTTTCTTGGCTAGAGTGCTGGAGGCCCTTGGCACGGTGATTGATTTGTAGCTGACCTAAAGAAAGCTAGCGGTTCCAGCTTGTCACACTCTCAGCTTTGGCCTCAGGCAAACCCCTCAGTCTCTTGTTTCCTGGGTCAGCCTGAAGTGGTGAACCTTGACTGAGCCACGGTGTCCCTTAGTCAAAAAGTTCAGTTTAGCCGAAACCGGTTTGGCTCAGTGGTAGAGCGTTGGTCTGCGGACTGAAAGGTCCCAGTTTCGATTCCGGTCAAGGGCATGTACTTTGGTTGCGGGCACAACCCCGGTAGGGGATGTGCAAGAGGCAGCTGGTCGATGGTTCTCTCTCATCGACGTTTCTAGCTCTCTATCTCTCTCCCTTCCTCTCTGTAAGAAAAATCAATAAAAATATATTAAAATTAAAAAAAAAGTTTAGTTTAAAAAAGAACCCGCCTTTAGAATTAACTCACAGTTTAATTTTTAAAACTCCCATAGTATGTTCCCTTTTTTTAACCTAACCAGGCTCATCTGCAAATACAGCATGGATATTGGAAGAAGAGCAATTTATCTGTGCATTGCCATTCAAAGAGGCAATATTTAAAATGGGTTTCCAGTAAGTGTTAAAAGAACAGAAGGCTTTATACTTAAACCACATTGCATTGATGTCTTGTACGTCCGTGTAGATCAGCGGTCGCCAACCATTCGGACCTCGGTTGGCAGTTGCTTTTCTAGATGATTCCTGCCCCATTGGGGCCTTGCCGGTGAGCTGGAATGTTGTCCTTCCTTGCTGGATCGCATGTGCAGAGAAAAATAGGTCACGTTCCTGGGCTCTAGCAGTATGTCACTCTGTTGGTTGACTTGGTGTTGACTGTTACGAATCTTTTTCTATTTCAGGAAAGATGTTGGTTTGAAGCGGTTTTTCCCCCGGAGTTTACTGGATTCTGTCAAGGTAATTAGAGTTCTGAACCACAGTCAGACGGCCACTTACTCACACCCCCTGTGGTACTCGGTTTCCTCCCTCAGTGTGAGTTGTGATGTAGGTACAGCTTTCTGATCCTTACTCTTCAAGAGCGTCAGAAGCTGTCACAGCTGAGGGGACAGGAGACTCAGTAAGTGAGCACCTGACGGTCAAAGGGAGGAGTGCACAGTGTCCCCGGTGAACAGACAGTGACACGTGGGCACAGGGTAGTGCAGTGCCCAGGGCCGGACCAGGGCCACGGAAGGTGTCCACTCAGCTGGGCTGAGGAAGGCCGGGGGCTCTGGTGTCTGCTGGTTTGAGGAATTGCTCTCCAGTTTCTGTGTGTGCAGAGCACCTGTGATTTATCCATGGAATGCATGGTGGGATTTAACGTCTGTCACCATCACACAGCCGTTCCTAGGCCGGGGAGAGTGCTGGGGAGGCAGACCCAGCAGCCTGCGTTCCTACAGACGCCTGCTGTGCTGTGACCGTCCTCAGCAGGCATGCCCTGATTTCCCAGGCTGGGTCAGGAGTGGGCATTTCTAAGGTTCTGATGGGAGATGCCAAGTCCTTCAGAAAGGCTGCCCTGACTGCCCCCAGCAATGGGCATGTGAGCACTGCTGCTCCTCACCTGTGCCAGGTCCGTCACGGGCAGGGGCGGTTTTTAATGCTCGCTCTTTACATGTTCTAATGAACCAACATTACCTTACACATTTCTGTCTAAGATGTAGCTCGGGGCCACCGAACTGTACACTGGGAAGTGGTGAAGATGGTGTTTCTGTGTTTGTATTTTATTATAGCTATTTAAAAAGAAACAGCTCCAGCGAGTATGACATTGCAAAGCTGTGACATAGGGGCATTGAGTGGCACGGAAGACCGCTTCCTCGAAGTCAGCTGGTGTTGCGGGCTCTTGACTCACTCTGGACTCTGAGGAGTTTTGTGATTGTGTCGTGCAGGCCAAAACACTACGGAAGCTGATCCAGCAGACATTCAGACAGTTTGCCAACCTCAACCGCGAGGAGAGTATCCTGAAATTCTTCGAGATCCTCTCGCCCGTGTACAGATTCGACAAGGAGTGCTTCAAGTGCGCGCTCGGGGTAAGTGCTGCCGCTGACTGTTCCTTCCTGGATCGATGAGGTTATAAATACTTCATGTTATTGGGTTAGACAGATGGTGGCTAGCTAACTCAGCCAGCCTCCCATTGGCCCTTCATCGTGCCCCGGGCTCTGGATCTAAAATAGTTCTTTTCCTTCCGGTACCTCTGCCTTCACCTGTCTCACCTTCAAAAGTCAAGCTGGATTATTTCGGTGGAGCTGGCCATCGGCCCCGAGGAAGGCATCAGCTACCTCACAGACAAGGGCTGCAATGTAAGTCTGCTCCGGGGCGTCCCGGCCACTGCTGCACACGCCCCTCACGGGGGTTCCTGCCCGAAAGACACGTGTGACGTGGGGAGTGGCTGGCTGCAGGCTGAGGGCTGAGCTAAGGAGTGGGGTTCGCTGGGTCTGTGGCACTTGAACACTTGTGGGCTGAGGGAGGGAGAAGCCAGCGAAGGAGCTGTGAAAGCGCCGGGGCCGTGACAGGAACCTCACGGGTGCCCGTCCCCTGGGCCCAGAGGAGGGGTGCCTGGGGGCTGTGCTGCCCAGATGCCAGGCTAGGGGGTGTGGAGGACACCCAGGGGCATCTCTGAAGTCTCCTGTGCCTGAAAGCAAAGCTGTAAAGACGCTTTGCTGGGGGGGAAGCTGAGACTGAGTCCTTAGTGATACAGAATTCCAGCTCCACCCAGGGGTGTAACCCACGCTTTGGGGCGCACTTGGCAGGAGAAGCTTGTGATGTGCTTAAGAGCCAGAGGCCTCAGCCAGGCTGGTGGCTTTGGATAGCGGTGTAGGGATTGACGCACGCAGAGGAGTCCCTCTGGTGAAACACTGAGGGCCACCCGAGAGCATCCTTAACCTCCGAAGAAGCTAATTCCGCTGGGAAACTGAGCGCAGGCCCTGGGCCTGTCTGCACGGCAGGTCCCTGGGCTCCGCCCTGGAACTGGAGGTCTTGGCGACTCGTGCAGGCTCCAGATGTGCTGGGAGTGGGTGGGAAGGGGAGCAGAACATCCGCTCCAACCAGGCATTTCTCATGCCTCCATCTCCCCCTCACTCCCTGGGTGCGAGGAGCCAAGTCAAGGACTCCCTTCTGCTTCCTTCGCCTCTTTGTCTCCTTGCCTGGTACCTGCGTGGCTCGTGGCCAGCATCCGGGGCACTGCCCCTCCTTGGCCATCAGGAGCACAGAGAGCAGGCACTTCCCAGGCCCTGCAGTGAGCAGACGGTTCCGCGGCTCCACCACCGCTCAGAAAGAGGAGCCCCTGGTGCTGCTGGGCCCGTCCCTTCCCCCAGACACCCAGAGTCAGGGGAGGGCGTCCTCAGGAGAGCGGGACGGTGGGACTGAGAGCCTCCTGGGGTGCAGAGTCGTCTTGGATCTGTGGTCGGTCCACAGTGTGTGCCTTTTCTTCCCAAAGCCCACACATCTGGCCGACTTCACTCAAGTGCAGACCATTCAGTATTCCAACAGCGAAGACAAGGACAGGAAAGGGATGCTCCAGCTCAAGATCGCAGGCGCACCCGAGGTACAGAGGCTGGCTGTGTCTCGGGGAGATGGAAGCGGGGGTGGGGCGGAGGGGGGGCATTTTAGAAGCCATGGTGTTTTTTTTTTTTTTTTTTTTTTTTTCTGATCAAGCCTCAGTTTTATTCTCTGAAATGGCTGTATTTATACAGCAGAGACAAAGGGGGGCAAGGTTGCCTATGCAGGGGGGTCTTTGGTATGGCAACACAGGATTGACTAAACAAAGGGGGGCAGGGTTGCCTATGCAGGGGGGTCTTTCCCATGGTGTTTTTAGGGTGTGGTGTCTATCGGTCCTCAGCAGTGCTACATTACAAGTAATCGTGATTAAATGTCCCAAGAGTAGAACAGGACACAGATTTAAAAATCAATTGAGAGCATCATTGTGAGGATGATTGAAGATTAATGCGAATTACCAAGGCAATCAACTTTTTAAAATCGTATAAAACACACGTATTCTGTAAACTGTTGTTTCTCAGACCCCGGTGTCTGGCCCCAGAGCCTGGGATCTCCATCAGCGGGAGTGAGCCCTGGCCAGTGCTGCCGAAGGGAGCCTTTCTGAAGGTGGCCGGGAGCACCCACGTGCTGAGTCTGGCCAGCACGGGCACACACTGTGTGTGGAAGCATGTTAGGCGCTCCCCACTCCCCTGCGGTGCATGGTGCACGGCGCACGCCAGGCCCCGGGCAGCCTCCTGGGCGTGCTCCCCTGCAGTGCCTCCCACCTGTCCTCAGCCTCCGCCTGTGGGCATTTGAGGCTCTGGAAACGCATTGATTCTTAGCGTGCAGCCAAACGATAACAGTGGAACCTTGTCGCAGATGGAAACTTCCTGCAAATTTCTCTTTGCTTTCCCCCTAGTAACTAGGGGTGATGCAAGCAGGCAAGTTGTTCTCTACAAGGGGATTGCCAATACTATGTGAAGGAGCACAAGCCTGTTTTTGAAAGTCAAGTAAAGCTTTGATTGTCGCCTGGATGGCACTCAGTGGCAGGTTATTAGGAATGTTATCAATGCATATTTTCTGTTGGAAAGAGGGATGTCTACGCTTTTAGGCAAAACACGGCTGTACCTGCTTAAGGATAATGATATTTTACTCATTTCCTTTCATTTGGAAAAGCTAGGAAGGATGGTTGACAAAAATGTACTCCACGTTGGTGTAGTTTCTACAGTAAGCTCCACCTCAGCTTCCTGGTCATCTGCATGCTCCCTCCCGAGGGGAAATACTTTCACCTCCTTGTATTCTAGAAGGCGAGTCTCCGTGTGAGTGATGCTTCCGTTTTCGTCTGGGTCTGCCTTCTGTCACAGTCTAGGAATAGCGTCTTAAATATCACATTTCCTTTTTCCCTCAAACCTGATGGCAAGCCTGTCTCACTCCCACTCTCCTGCCTTCACGGCATCTAGAGGTCTGATGTCACTCGCAGCTGTCTCTCTGGTCGCGGGGAGAACAATAGCAGCTCTCTCTCGGTCTGTTCCCCTTAGCCTCTGACAGTGACAGCGCCGTCCCTGACCATTGCCGAGAACATGGCCGACCTGATCGATGGGTACTGCCGGCTGGTGAATGGAGCCGCCCAGTCCTTCATCATCCGACCCCAGAGAGGTGAGTGTCTGTGTCCGTTTGCGCGTTCCTGCCGAGTTGTGAGACGAGCTACACCGCAGCCTGGAGCCCTTTTCGATGACTGAACGTGGACGCAGACGAGTGACTCAGCCTCAGCCTGCATTGTGGTTTCCTAGGGAAGCGGCCCAGCTCCGCCCTCGCCTGGGTGTGATAGCTTAAAGGAAGCTGGTGGGTTGTGTTCTCTCGGTGACCTTAGTGTTTTAAATAAGCTTTTGGGATAATGTTCTGGGGTTTTTTTGTTTTTAATTTATCTTCTAACTCATGTAAATAAATCCTGAGGTAAAAGCAGCGATTAGGACGGATGATGACCCTGGCAGGGGGTTGTATTGCTTCAGAGATGGAGTGTGGGTTGTGCAAAGCAGTAGGAAGGGATGTGTCAGAGGCTTGGGCCTCTGAACGTCAAAGAAAGCTTTCCCAGCAGGACCGTCGCGTGGGGAGAGCAGCGGGAAACGGGGCTTTGGAAGTGGGTCGCCTGTGGCTCCAGTCTGAGCCTCTGCTGCCCTCTGTGGTGCCTCCTCTGGGCACCTCCTCTGAGCCCCAGTGTGGCCCGTCTTCTGTGGGCTTGGGAGGGTCAGCGCTCCCATATGGTGTAGGCCTGGGACTGCGCCTGTGCACACGTGTGCCGTGTCAGTTCTTGTGTCCCCTGGCTGCCATGGCTCCATGTGATCGGGACGCCCTCTGGGAACCCTGACTTTGAGATGGCTCATCTGGGAGAGACACGTAGCGCCGGCTTTAGAGCCTGGTAGGTGGCTCCACAGTTCGTCCCCGCAGGGCAGCCAGCTGTGTGGCAGGGGACACAGGATCCCCCGCACGCACCAGGTGGCAGGGTGGCTCCAGAGGAGAGTCTGCAAGGGCTGGGTGGGTGTGCCCACGTGAGTAGGCTGGGTTTATCGTGGAGAGTCTAGAAAAGTGTGAGGAGCCCTAGCCCAGTCGTCAGCAAACTCATCAGTCCACAGAGCCAAATATCAACAGCACAACGATTGAAATTTCTTTGGAGAGCCAAATTTTTAAACTTAAACTTCTTCTAACACCACTTCTTCAAAATAGACTCGCCCAGGCTGAGGTATTTTGTGGAAGAGCCACACTGAAGGGGCCAAAGAGCCGCATGTGGCTCTTGAGCTGCAGTTTGCCAACCACTGCCCTAGCCGATTTGGTTCAGTGGATAGAGTGTTGGCCTGCAGACTGAAGGGTCCCGGGTTCAATTCTGGTCAAAGGCACATGCCCAGGTTGTGGGCTTGATTCCCAGTAGGGGTTGCAAGAGGCAGCCAATCAGTGATTCTCATTGATGCTTCTATCTCTCTTTCCCTCTCCCTTGTTCTCTGAAATCAATAAAAATATGTTAAAACATGAAAACCATGAGGAGAACAGAGAGCCTTGGACCAGGAGTGAGAGGAGCAGTGTGTGTGCACGCGTGTGTAGCACAGGAATCATTTGGAACCTTTGTTGCTGCTAATAAGCTCATTTATCAAAAAGTAAAACTGTGGGAAGTCCAGGCCTTTGTTATGAGTGCTCCCTGGGACCATAAGGCACCTGGTCTTGGAGAGCCTCCTGGGAAGACACCTTGCATCGTTTGGTCACTGTCACACTTGAACTTCCTTTAAAGGGCTGTTGCTGAGATACAGCCCGATTTCCACGCATGCTCTTCCGAAAGGAATAGAAGGAACCTCACCATTGTCTTTCCTTTTCTCCCCAGAAGGTGAACGGGCTTTGCCATCGATACCAAAGTAAGTGCTGCTGTGTGCACGTGTGACCCCCTGGCTAGAGGCTAGAAACCACTGCTCCCTTACGGGCCTGCAAGCGTTTGTAGGTGGAAATGGAGGCCGTTGTGGTCAGTGATGTGTGAGGATGTGACGAGAAGCTGCAGTCCGATCAGTAGGGAGCTCAGGGACAGGCAGAGTGGCGAGCCTGGGGCCGGGTAAAAGGTCAGTCACCGCTGCTCCTTTAGGAACCTTTGCGGATGCGCTTCCTCCATTTCCTTGTGCAGCCAGACCTGTCACCTCTCAGGTCTCGCCCGCCTCCCTGCCTCTGGGAACCTCCCAGGAGCCCTGTCCGGAAGCAGCCTGTGTGCTTTCCCATAACATACCCGACTTCACGTAGCCCTTACACTTGGCACACCACCGCTTTGTTCGTCCACACCCCCTGACTTGGGTGAAGGCCAGGGTCGTGTTGTGTCCTAGCCCTGGGTGGTGTCTGGCACTCAGTGGGCACAGTAAGGGTGTGGGTGAATGGAGGGATGGGGGCGGGGCTTTCTCTTAGCTTTTAGACAGGGTGCTTCATAAACTCAATGATGTTTAATAAGTATTAATGTCCCATATCAGGCCAGGAACTAATGCTCCGAGTATCTTCAGTTGTGGACAGTCTTTAAGGATGACTGAGGATTAGCACACAGAAAGCATAAGTGTAGACGTAAATGTGAGTGGAGAAGGTGCCAGGTTAGAAACGGTCAGATACTAGAGAACCTGAATAAATAAAGCAAAGCTGAAGTCTTAGAGCAGCAGTCCCTGTTGTTGGCATCGAACAGGAAGTGTAAGAAGGTGACTTTCAACAACAGACAGCAGACCCTGGGGAAGGGGTTCTGGGTCTGAGCAGCAGGGAACGGGAGAAGGTAGAGAATTTCATAAATGGAGCTCAACTCTATGGCTTTGTGCTGAAAGCATTCCTCACCCAGGTTCACAGTTTCATAGGGACTGTTTCTGGGTCTCAGAACCGATGTGCTGGTTAAGTGTCAGCTTTTCCTAGTTGCTGTTCCGTATACCGGGCAGAGTTGTACTCAGGACTTCCATAGCCAAAGCCTGCATGTCGGGGAAAAGCTTCCTTTGTAAAAAGATCAAAGTGACTTTGACTTCTAAAGATATAGGGTTTCTTTATTCTGTGTTTTTCAAACACTTTTAACTGAGCTCTACTTTCATTTTTGTAAATGTCACTAAGACCTTCGGCCAGCATTTTGTTTTATGTGGATAGATATATAAACCACTAACGTGGCGCCATCTCCTGCCACCAGTAGCCAGATACGTGAGCTCACCTTTTCCAGCCTGTGGGTGCCTGTGCTCTGGGCGTGGGGGCCATCCTGAGCGGGGTTTCAGACTGTTAGAGAGCACACCCAGCTCCAGCTCAGAGAGCCTGCAGTGCCACCGTCATTTCTGGCCTCTGAGAGGTTAGGGCAGCTCGGTGAGTTAGGGTTTAGGTAGTAGAATCCAGTTTTGTCCAAAGTCCGTCCTCTGAAACGTGAGTCTCCTCGGGAACCGGCCTGGTCCCCCGCTGCCCAGTGTGGTTTGAAAGCGTGACGCCGCTGGTCCAAGCACGCACTCACGGCGTCCCCTCTCTGTTGCAGGCTGGCCAACAGTGAGAAGCAGGGTGTGCGGACACATGCAGTCTCCGTGTCAGGTAAGGGGCTCGGCCCGGAAGCCTGCGGCCAGCTGCGCAGGCTCCGCTCTGCAATGCGGTAGGAGGGTGGCAGGTTCGCTCCTTCTATTATGGCCGCTCCTTCGGAGCAGCCGTGAGTAAGACATTCTGCCATCCGCACCATCCCTTCACCTTCGGCAAACAGGTGTGAGCATGGCTCGTAGTTGTTTTATAGATGTACATGTTTAATTCCAGATTACTCACGATTATATAGAATTCCACGTTATTCTTCAGTTTTACTGTCATGTTAGTCATACCTACTGTGAACATTTTTACTTTTTGAATTGCTATTATAATTTATTTTTGCAGTTCAGCAGACTTCAACAGAACATGCTTTGTATATCATTGTTTCTGAAAGTTCAGAATATGTGAAACATTTTTAGATGGTTTTTGTCTTTCACAATTAACGTAAAATGGTGTTTGAATATTGCTTTTAGAACCATAGTTAAGATAATGGCTAAGCACTATCTTAACTATTTGTTGGCGTGGTGAGTGTGGTGTACTTGCCTTGGTGTGTTTTCAAAATGCATGTGTCCTTTTCCCCATTGAAAATGTGAAAATGGGAAGTGGGGGTGGGGGTGGGGGTGGGGGTGGGAGAGGAGAAACAGCATCTTGGATGGACCCAAGTTTGCTCCCTTACAATACACATTATATATGTACACACACAGGTCTACACATGTATCTGCACACACGTGATCTGTTCTTAGGTATATGTCACATTTCTAACATATGCAACAGCTTCCTAGCAGCTCTGGTATCTGACAGTCTGACTTAGGAGAAACCTACCGCCTGTTAGTGTAATTTGTCCTGAGTCCATCCTTCCTGAAGTTCAGTTTTGTGCTTCTGCCTGGTTGATGACTGGCTTCTTTCTGTTTCCCAGCATGCACATATCATGGCTCTCTCTTACTGTGCACACACACCCCTAGACCCCTCTCAGGAGTATGTGCGGTATGGACACGCTGAGCACAGACACCCTAGCGGTACGTTGAGTGTGACCATGTGTGTCGAGCACCCCCTCAGAAGGCACTGAGCACTTCCCGCAGGGTGCAGCGGAGGGTGCTGTGCCCGAGCGAGCTGTGCTGTGGGCGGTGTCCAGGCCTGCCGGCTGCAGGTGGCCAGCAAGTGACAGATGTTGTTAGATGAGTCTCTGTGCTGGCACTTGGAGGAATGCGTGCAGACAGCAGGAAAGGAGAAAGGCAGGGACAGTCGGAGCCACGTGAGCGTCCCTGGCTCCCGATGATCCCTGGGAGCCGCTCCCTGTGATTGGTTCTGGCCGCTTTCTAGGAGGTTTGAGGCAAGGGCCTTGGAGGAAACAGAGCCATCTGGTTGGGAAATAGAGCCATCTCCGACATTCAGAGACGCTGGCAGGCCCTCACTCCCTCCATTACCACTGGAAGACAGTTACTAGGCCTGAGCAACAGCTGCAGTTGGTGCTCAGTGTGTGGAGAGTTGGCCTTTGACATAACACCAGGTTTTTCTATAAGAGTGAGACTACAGAAAGTCTAATAGACCAGTGTGCTTCTTTGGGCACATTATTCCGGGCCTAGAGTAGGTTTTCAGCCTAATTACCAAGTGGGTGGTGGTTTTTGTTTTTTCATGAGACTGGTGCATATGATAGAGCGCAGGTAGAACTTAGGACCCAGAGGCCTGTAAATGTGGTCACAGCGGGGGTGGGGTTGGGGGTGGGGTGTGGATTAGGACAGGGCTTCAATAAACTTTAATAACCTTTTAAAAATGCGTTAATAAAATATGAGAAGCCCAAGTGTTATCTTGCAAAACGTATTGCTAATATCAAAAGGCCCCATTATTTATTTTCTTGGAAGAGAAAAACTTGAAAGTAAGTCTGGAAATGTTTAAATGCAAATTTTAGAATTTGAACTCAAGGTTTCTCCCCTCTCCCCCTGGTGTGTAGCATGCTGTGGCTGCCTATGATTGTGGAATTTATTCAAATCAGCCCGCATGTGTCAAGACAAAAATATATTTGATACTTTACAGGCAAGAAACCACCCGAATGTGTGGGTATTGTCATGCTTTTGAGTGTCATTTTTAAAACTTTTCCTGGGGAATTTTATCCTCAGAGAGGGTGGCACTGGTCCGCTCCTCCGCACTCACACCCTGCAGCCGCTGATCATGCTCTTCCAGCTTCCCCACAAGTACGCCTGCAGCTGGCTTAAAGCACCAAGGTGAATTTCATCTACAAATGTTTCTAAAACTTAAGGACTCCTTTAAAAAATATCTGCTGCAAGAAAACGCACAGCAATTCCTTAGCGCCACCTCTCCCGTGGGTGCGCAGCCCCCTCTGCCCTGACCTCTGCCGGTCACGCGCAGACTGCTGCGGGGGTCAGAGCAAGCGCTGCTCGCACTGCTGCCTCTGCCCGCCAGGCTGGCCGTCAGGTCTGACCTTTCCTTCTCTGATAGCAGGTTGCTTGCTGAGGGCATGGTCTGGCTGCTCCATCTCTGCTGTCATGCTGGCCCCTGCATTCCTGCCTTTCCTCTGAGCTGGCCGTTAGGATCCAGAAAAGTGTGATCAGAGTTGGGGTTAGTGGTTTGGCTTTTTTTACAAAACTACATCCTGGGTGATGCACATGCCCCCTGGCTGTCTTTCTGCGACATCCAGAGCAATTGATGGAGTTGTGTGTACGCTGCATCTGTTCTAAAGCTCCTGTGAGCATGTCCTGATGGCTTTAGCAGCTGCTGACCGCCATCCACGCCTGTATTCCATGAGGGTTGGTTGTGTAGCTGGCTATGTCTGAGGACATCTTTCCCTCCTCAGCTGCTCCGTCACACTGAGGGATGGTTCTTTCCCTCCACCCACCAGGTTCTAAAAGAAGTTGCCTCCCTTCCCAGATGAGGTTGTTCAGGGGCTCCTCTTCCTGAGCCTCCTGCGGAGTTGATGGGTTTTAACATGCTGAAGGCAGGACCGTGACCACCCAGGCTGGAGGATTTGCCAGAAGGACTTTTTTTTCAGAGCTCAGGGCTGAGATCAAATTAACGTGGTTAGCACTGAACCATCCTGTCAGGAAAGGAGTGGGACTGAGAGACCTGGTCACTTACGTGACTGAAGGTCAGAGGACACACTCACCGCGTGGACTGGCCTCGGCATCCCCCGCTGCTGCGAACAGTATGCTCCACCTCCCAGGCCTCCCGGCTTGCTGATGGCCAAGGCTTGTTGCCATCTGGACCCTGACATGGGCTCTTCCTGGAACCACACCTCACGTCCTCATCTTTTCTTTTTCTTTTTTAAAATAATTCTTTATTGTTGAAAACATTATTACATATATTCCCCTTCTCACCTCCTCCCCCATTGACCCACTCCAGCACACCCCTGCCCTCCACCGCAGGCTGTCCCCACTGCCCCTCGTCTTTCTTGATGGGTACCTGTGTGTTTGCGGTTACGTTTTCTTGCCTCTTCTGTCACATGTCACTGCTCCATCTGAAAAGGCTGTGCTGTGTGTCCCTTGTTGGTATTCCCTGTGACATGCCTGCTATTGCCTGCTCTACTGCAAATGCTTCTCTGTTTCTCACTGTGCTGTGAGCTCCTGGAGGCTGGGATGTGTCTTGTTGATCCAGCAGGTGCCTCGAGAGATAGCTGACTTTCAGATGAGCTGTGAATGTGTGAATAGGGGAATGAGTGCGTAAATGATGCTGGTGGGTAGAGAGCTTGGCAACCTGTGTATTCAAACATCCTCATCGCCAGTGTACACAAGCGGTCTGTGAGTCTGTCTTTCTGGTGATTTAGGGGGCATTGCCAACAAAGCTCTTTCACAGACCAGGATCTGATGGGCCAGTTCCTGCACCGTTTTCTTTGTGGTTGAATGGTAGGTGTTCGTGAGAATCTGGAATCACGTGTTGGTCTTCACTGTTCATCCTGTTTTGTTTTGTTTTTGTTGTTTGTAAAGGTGTCTGTGCCTTCACTTGGCTGACTGCAGGTTCCTGAGATTCTCCTGTGTCTTGCTGGAAGTTTCTGTACCTAGTGCTAATCTTTGCCAAAAGAGGAAATTGCATGTTAAAATATTAATTTTTTTCCAAGCCCAAGTTAATCATAGTAAGAAATTATGTGTCAGTAGTCAAAGTTTTGCAATTTTGTGTTTATTTTATAGCTATGTCTTAAAAATGTTTCTTTTGTATTGAAATAATGTTTCTGTTTTTCTCTTTCTCCCGCCTCTTTATAAAGGAGTGAGTCCCTGCCAGCATAAGGCTAAGAAACCTAGGCGCTTTCTCCCCTTGCTCTTCTGTTCCCACGAACCTCCCACGGGTACTGCACCCCTGTTTGCACAGGCCCTTCCCAGCCGCAGCCCGCAGCCCGCAGGCGGCATCTGCCGGATCGTGTAGATGGGCTCGGCAGAGCGCATCCTCACAGGGTGCCTGCCTGTGTGCCGCCCTGCCAGCGCCACATGGGCGAGTGTTTGTGTAAAGGTCTCCGGGCTGCTCTGTCGACAGCAGACTCTGTTTGCCTGTTTGCTGATGTGTGCATGCATGGCAGGGCGAGAAGGAGCTTCCGGTTCCCGGTGGGGGTGGGGGTGGGGGTGGGAGCGCAGGACTGAAGCTGCTGTGTTTGCACCGGGGTTTCCTGACGGAGCATGTGGCTGGATGCAGGGCGTGGCCATGCGGCGAGATGCTTCCGGGCTTTGGGCCGCTGTGGAGGGATGCCGGGCAGCAGAGGCTGCCAGGCCCCGTGGAGAGTGTCCAGGAGGCAGATCTAGCGAGGGAGCAGGAGCTTCTCCCAGCACTGGCGGATCCAGTGGACGCTGGCCCGAGCCCGCCGAAGAGCCGCCGGGCCGCCCTGCTTCCCCTGAGCACACACACCAGTGACACTCGCTTTCATCCGAACCAGAGGGTCCCCCTTCCCTTCGGGGACTGGAGCCATTTTAACACTTAATTGTGAGAGGCAAGCCGATTAACTTTGTCCGGTGAGGTAGAGACCGACTTGAACCCTACCGCACCGCAGTGCAACTGTGTAACGTGCTGACAGCCGTGCCTTACGTCAAGCAGACACACGGCCACGTCTTTCCTGTGTCTTCTGAAGTAGACCTGGGGGGGTGGTGATTTTTTTGTTTTCCTTACACTTTGATTTACTTGTCATTTTAATAGTGTTTTCCCTCTCTCTCCTTCCTCTCCTCCCTCCTCCCACTCCCCCTTTCTTTGCATGCCACCTGGATCTGCAGATGAAGTTAGTGGGGACGGTAATGTTTTTTACATTCATGTTACTAATGTGAGATGGCTGTTTGCTGATGTCATGTAGCTCAGGACTGAGGGGAAGGCAGAAGGTGGTTGTGTGACAGCATGTGTGCGGATGCTGGTGTGAGCTCACATCTCATGGGAGTTGCTTAGAGTATCGATGTGGAAAGAACTCCATTTCTTCACCACGTCTCCCAGTACATTGACTTGTAGTGCATATTCATGGTGTATTTTTCAGCGTTTGTTATTCAAACCCAAGTTGTAGAAAAGTGGTCCATATGTATCGTTCGGCAAGACTCGTCCCCCTCGAGAGCACACTGCCCCCAAGTGCAGGATCTGAGCCGTGCTCCGTGTGGGAGGGGGCAGAGAGGAAGGAGGAAGGACTAGTCAGTCACACACACTGAACCCTTAGGGAGGTGTTGGCTGTGTGACTGCTGTTTCCCAAGCCGCTGAGGAGAGCGCCAGGCACCTGGAAGTCTCCTGCCCGGCAGGGTCTCCTTTGCACACCCGTGCCCGCCGGGCGGAGGAGGCAGAGTGCGCCAGGACACTGAGCGAGGGCACTTTTCCTCAGGGGCGGTGAGTGGCTGCTGTCCCGGCCACTCTCATCTTCATCCCCTTTGGGGACGGGGCGCTTGGGGGAAGCTCTCACGTCAGCGGGGCTGGAGCAGTGCATCCTGGCCCTGCAGCCGGAGCGCTGCGGGGAGGCTGGGGGCCCGCTTCCACTCAGGACAGTTCCTGTGCGGGCGATTCTGTCGTGCAAGTGTGGCCACTGATGACCGAGGCCACCAGGAGAGGAGTGCCGGGTCCCAGGCTGCAGCCGCTGTGCCCCCTCTGCCCGGGCTGTCCTCAGCTCCTCTCCTGGGTCTCGCCTCTGCTTGGTCTCCCCGTCTCCCCTCGGCTGTGCAGTTGCTACGGAAGCACAAGTTGGTCGTGAAAGCATCCTCACGGGTGCTCCCGCATCTGGATTCTGATGCTGTGAGGTAGGCAGGGCCAGTGCTGTTCTCCCCAGTTACAGACAGACTGACCTATGCCTTCTGCCACGTAGTCTAGCCAGGGGTCCACAAACCCAGGTCCACGGGCCACACCCGGCCGCCTGCTGTTCTCACATTGCCCCGGAGCTCAGAGTGTCCCTGCGTGTTCTAACGGGGGAAGAGACAGAAGTAGAACACTATTTGTCGCATGGAAACCATATGAACTTCAGACGCCAGTGTCCATAAGCCGGTTTTATTGGAACAGTCACGTGGCTCAGCCACATAGTAGCTGTGCTCTTACCCATGGGTGTGAGCCACCTGGGTGAGCGTGACCAGCAGAGGCGGTGTGAACAGCATGTGGCCTCTTAGAGGAAGTGCCGACCCTGGCTGGGTCACTGGCTGGTGGGCAGGGAAGAGCAGGTGGGTGGAAGCTGTGAAGTGGGTCAGCCCCCCTGAGTAGCTGGGAACCTAGTCACTGGGCAGATGTCCCCTGTGGGACGGATGGCTCATCACTCCCTGCGGGCCGAGGACCAGGCTGTGAGAATGGCAGGTGTTCAAGCCACCATGAGGGGAGAGGGCCACCGTGTCCTGCCGGCGAGCAGAGGGGCTGGTGACAGGCCCACCTTGTCTGCAGCCTGTGGGCGCTGGAGAAGTCGGGAGCCTGTGCAAACCCCCCCCCCCCCCCCAACTGTGAGGGGCTTAGCGCCACTGCCACCCTCCCGGAGGCCGGGGCGTCGGGCTCTTCCGCTGCATGTCCGTAGCGTCAGGAGGGGCTCCCATGTCTCCCGCTTCAGACGAGAACCTGGCACTCCTCTCAGTGTCTGAGCTGCTGCTCTCTTCCTTCTACGTGTCTTTGTATCACCGTTATTTTCTCACATACTGTGATACCAAGCCTTTCCAATCACAATGCCTGAAGTTTTACAAGTCCCCATTTTAAAAAGTTGTTTATTTCAGAATGGTTAGCTCCTGTTTCTCACAGGTGCCCGCTGGCTCCCTTCTGGCCCCACACTGCATTCCAGAGTATCTTTTGTTAAGCTATCTCACACAAAGGAAGTAAAGCTGTTGGCCTAAATCTGTGGTCGACAAACTCATTAGCCAACAGAGCCAAATGCATCAGGATGTGTGTGAGCGCCGTCCGCGTGGAGACGGAGGCCAGGGCGCGGTTTTCCAGTGTTGCCGGGCTGCGGAAGCTCTGCGTGGTTGTCTCATGTCTTTCTGTTTCCCAAGGGCGCTCTGTGCCAGCTCTGCTGTTTGCTGAGAAACAGTCTGCCTTCTGACATAACGGGGCATGATGTCGTTGTCACCTCCAAAATGACTCAGGGGCAGCAGCTGAGGGACTGTGTTAAGAACACGACAGCACAGAGGGGTCCAGGCAGGCCATTGCCTCCTCATCCGGTCCCACAGGCCCGGAGGCCGGGTGTGTAACCTCCGCTGACCTGTCTCCCTCCCTGCAGAAACGGACGACTATGCCGAGATCATCGATGAAGAGGACACCTACACCATGCCCTCAAGTAAGCGGCCCGCCTGCTCGGCGCTCATGCCACAGGCTCACCCAGCGCTCAGACACTCACTGTCCTCCGCCGAGCTCAGTGCCTCCCTGTGACACAACACTCCCAGCCCCCAGAATTCCACACTTGATGTGCCTGAAACTCAAATGCAAGTTCGTTTAGTTACAGGCTTTTTGTCATCTTGCTTTCGGGCTCTGTGATAATGTGATTTTATTGATAAGAGTATTTCCTTTCTAGAGTATTATTTAAAATTTAAAATATCTGTATTTAATTTTTAAGTATGTCTGTACAGCGACTTGCATTTCCTCTTGGAATTAGTTTTTCTTTTTCTTTTTTTAAATAAATTTTTATTGATTTTAGAGAGGAAGGGAGAAAGAGAAATATCAGTGATGAGAGAGAATCATTGATCAGCCGCCTCCTGCACATCCCCTACTGGGAATCTCGCCCACAACCCAGGCATGTGCCCTTGACTGGAATTGAACCCAGGACCCTGCAGTCCACAGGCCAGTGCTCTATCCACTGAGCCACATCAGCTATGGCAAAATGTTGTTCTTTACTACCCTTGACCAGCCAGCTACAAAGAGCTGCTCTGATTCAGCGATGCAGCCGGTGGGAGGTGCGGGAAGCTGAGCCCCGCAGCCTGGGCTCAGCAGCATCCCGCTCTCTGCTGAGCTATCTGCTGCCTGAGGAGGATCTGGAAGCCCGGGTCTGCTTGGAGTCTGTAGTCCCAGAGCTAGAATTGGAGATGCCCTTGGAGAAGCAATCCCATTTTAAAACTGGACTCTCCCTCTTACTGAGGCCCCGTTATGGCTACATAACTTGAGTTGACATCCTGATTTCAGTAGAGCTGTGCATATTTGTAGCATGTTTGGGTGCTTTACCCTGTTGTGTAAATATTTTAAAAGATTTACTATATACATTGAAGAGCTGTTAACAAAATACAGAGGAAACCGCCGGCCTGCTGAGGCATGCGCAGTCCCGGGTGGCCCTGGGCCCTCTCAGCCCTGTGTTACTGGAGAGAGATGTGGAACAGGTGGGCGGAAGCCACACTTCTGTGAACTTCTGTTTTGACTTACAGCAGCAATTCGGGAAAACGTTAATTTTTGTTTAGCATTTGTTATTTGCACATTCCTGCAGAGAATCCAATTTTTTATTTATATATTATTCAGAGTTGACTAGTAAATGCCCAAATGGCTACTTTCACCCAGACCCCACAAAAATGAGTTCATGAAATAGAACTTGGGAGTGTTGTTTTTATCACACAGAATTAACTGGAGGGGGTTAGTTTTTCCTCGTGTCTGGTCCTGGGTTTTTTGTTTGTTTGTTTGTTTTTGTTTTTTTACTCGTATTCATGGGTAAAGTATTTAATAAAGTGAATATTATTGACATGTACTCTCCATGTTTATTGTTGTTAACTTAATTGCTATTAGCTATTTCTAAGCAAGGTCTTCAATTTTTCTCTCTCTTAATTGCAATACAGAAAGCTATGGAATAGATGAAGGTAACAGGATCCTTTAAAATAACTGCATTTGCTTGCAATTGCAACCTATGGAATGATACGGGATGTTTCTTTTATTTTTAAGCTATTTTTCATTGATTTACCCATGCTGTTAATTGAATGGTACTACTAGCTAAAGGATTTTAAAGAGGAAAATCATCTAAATTTTGGGTTGAATTTCTGCATGATTTATAACTTGACAACCCAGAGGAAAGTTGTCTTCTTCCATCGGTGATCACACCAATGGGATATGTGCAGTAAGGGCTTCGCGGAGGGCTTCCCTGACTGGGAGAAATCAAAATGCATACGAAGTAGTGAATTGATTAGAACCGATCTCCTAGGTTCCTAGTGGATATTCTTTTCCATGTACCTCCAAATCATTGATTTTGTGTAAATCAACAATCTTATACATTAATTTGAGGCATATGCTCTCAAAAATATAAAATACTCATAATTTATGTGATGTGCTCAACCTGATTCCAAGTCATCTAATTTTGAAATTAATTTTTAGAAGCTACCTCTTTAAACTCTTTTATCTCCATGAATAATATTGAGATAGGGTTATAATAAAGTGGAACACTCTTAAACTTTTAGAACATACAATTACGACAACTTTTTTGTTGCTTCCGTAACTTACAAATTTAAGTTATTTGTAAGATCATTGCTTTAAATAACTTTTTAGCCTTCTTATATTAATACCTGAACTAATAGCACTTATTAATAAGCATATGTTAATATTTAGAGAAATTATTTAAAATATCAAATAGATATAAACTAAATCACACGTTAAAAATGTGAAAACAAGTCTGCTTGCAATAGAACTCGGTGTTTGGTAGTTTAATCCGTGTCTGCAGACACGTGTTCCTGTAAAGATGCCGTTTAAGAGAATTCCACGGGGTTGAAAGCGTTCCTAGGAAGATGTGCCACTGTTGACGTTGTTACTCAGGAGTGTTCATGAAATGACTGTGTAGTGTCATTTCCACGTTTGGTGTGGCTGTGCTCGTGTGTTTGACGTGTGGATCCTGTCTTGCAGCCAGAGATTATGAGATTCAAAGAGAAAGAATAGAGCTGGGACGGTGTATTGGAGAAGGCCAGTTCGGAGATGTGCACCAAGGCATTTACATGAGCCCCGTAAGTCCCGGAGTCTGGCTGCTCTGACTGATTAAGCTGAAATGGCCTTTGTTTGTCTTCATAAGCTCTGAGTTCTTCAAGGTATTTGCAGTTGGCTTTTTAAAGCTCATCATGTAGGTCAACTTCCTTAATATATTCAAAAATGACAAAATGGCAAAAGAGCTCCTGGAGTGCTGGGTCTGTCTGTCATCCGTTACTCTTCCAGCCTCTCCATCAGTTCTAGATGCCATGGAAGATGGCTCCATGGGCTGGGGTTAACACACAGCTGACCAAAGTGAACAGCAGCCAGCCAGTATGCCCACCCTACTGCACATTCAAGAAAAGACGGTTAATTTGTTCCATGTTGTCCTCCACTGAGCTGTCAATTTTAAAAATTAGTTACTTAATAATAGCTTTGTTGAGACATAGTTCACAAACTGTCACATTTACTTTCACATGTGTCATTCCATGTTTTTAGCGTGTTCACAGAGTCGTGCAGCCATCACCACAGAACATTTTTTTTTTTTTTCTGATCAAGCCTCAATTTTATTCTCTGAAATGGCTGTATTTATACAGCAGAAACAAAGGGGGGCAGGGCTGCTTATGCAGAGGGGTCTTTGCATAGCATTCCAAGGTACAACATTCCAAGGCTGGGCTATCTAGGGGGGAAGATCAGGAAGGGGAAGCGGCAGGAAGATGCTAAGCGGCAGGTTAATTTATCTTCTGGCCAAGCCCTCAGGGCACCGCATAACTTCTGCTAGAAGGAACTTAATTCTATTTCCTTAAGACTGAGTTGCTTGCCTCAACTCTGCTGGCTCCCAACATCTCCTCCCTTTGTCTTAATTGAGGGTGGGCCTTAACCAATTGGGGGAGTAGTGACCTGGTTCCTCCCGTGGGCTTCCCAGGCCCACCAGTATTAGCGGCTCTTGGTATCTTTTTGGGGAGGAGAGGCAGAGCCGATTGGATTTGTATTGATACCAACCTCTATGCAAACCAGGTATGCTCGCAGGGAAATCCAGAGGGGGTCGAAATTTTCCCGTGACCTTCCCTTGGGAAGAGGGGGTCGGAAAATTTTTTGGACCTTCCCTTGCAATGCTTTGCTCTGCACCCATATCGGTACCCATACCTTTCTCCCAGTGAGGAGTAGGTAAGCATTCCTCTGGTCATCATGCTGTCCCCGCAGGAAGGGAGCGATGGCAAAGTTCATAATCTTGCTCGTGGTTAGCTAAATGGTGTGAAAGGGCAGGGCAGGGCGAGGATGAGCTCCCGACTCTGCCCCACAGGGCGGAGTTATCCCTAGCCCTCAGATTTCTAGGCCTCAGCCTGGTTACATTGCCTCTGAATTTCTAGGCCTACTTTTAGTCCCCCAACCCTCCTCCTTTTGGCTTGGGGAACCACTGGATTTAGAAAACTATAATCTTAACACATGAAACCTTTTTGTGATAGTGTACTGGTTATTGTCTCTCAGCTCCAATTCATCCTTTTTGCCTACTCTGTGAAAATGCATCTGGACCATTACATGTTTTTCCTTTGCCCGCTGGCAGGATGTTGAGCTTCCTCAGTCAAGTTTTTGTAGAGATGCTGGGAGGGGAAAGGTTTTCCTTCCTGGTCTCTGTAGAGGGCCCCTTGGGAATGCACATGGATAACCTTTAAATTAATGACAGCTAAGTCCGAGGAGACTGGCATGGCCGTCCAGGAAACAGCCTCCCAAAATGTTATGAATACAGATTTCTTATCTTTATCCGTGTGCTTTGAATGAGGAACGAATAGGACCTTGACTTACCCAGGACTTGATATGCTAAATCCGAGGAATGAGGGAATGAATAAGACCTGGGCACACCCAAAACTTCTTTGTCCTTAAACCGCCCCCCTGGAAATCAATAATAAATGTGCTGTGTTGTCTCTGGTGGGTGTTGAACTGTCCCTCCATCAGAGTGACAGCCTCCACCCGGAACCCAGCTTGATGAATCTACTTCTGCCTCTTGTCTCTTTCTTTCTTTTATTTCTTAATCCCCAGCTCCTCCACTCAGGAACCCATCCTTCTCCCTTTCTGTGCGGGAGAAGCACCCCACCTGCAGTCTCAGTGTGCTCCCCTAAGCGTGTGTGGCTGCCCCAGGCCCAGCTTGAGGGTGGCTTCTCCAGCTCCAGGCTCCTGCTGACTGGGGGACCAGCAGCACCTAGCAGCCAGCAGCCCAAACCCTCTCCCCCCATCGCCAGTACTACCCCCTGTGTGCTTTCGTAGCAGAGTGCCTCCAGTGAGATGCCTCTTTCTATGAAGAACCTCTTCCAGCATCCTTGCAGGTGGTTTTCCAGCCCACAGGGTGGGTGTCTAGCAAGTTCCACCACCAGGGAGCTCAGTGGACCAAGCCTGGATCTCAACCTAGGGGTGGCGGTGGGGTTAGGTGGGGGGAATTCTCGTAGGGAACGGTTATAGGGTTAAGCCTCGGACTGAACTGGCAAAGTCGCAAACAAGTTTGTAAACTGAAGAGCAATTACTTTTGCAGTTCAAATAGTCTGTGGAAGAAAGTAAAGTGTTGGGAAACCCCTAGCATAAAAAGTAAAATGATTGAAGCTACTTAGGTGAGTGTAGGAACAATTAACATGATAAAGAAGGAATTTGAGGCATCTGTCCTGGTACCCACTGTTATGCCCAGACTTGGTGATCCCCAAGGACCACCAGGGAGCCGAGTCCGATGCAATAAGCAAAAGAGCCTTCACCATGCTAGCATAGGCTCCCCCACTCACGCCGGCAGCATGGCGGAAGAGAGTGACCTCCCAGTCCAGGGGTTTTACTCGGTCTGTGGTGATGTCACTGCCTCGGCTAACCCTGATTGGTTGGGTGAGGGCTAGGGATAACTCCGCCCTGTGGGGCAGAGTTGGGAGCTCATCCTCGCCCTGCCCTGCCCTTTCAGGTGGTAATGTACCTGGATGGGTTTGGCCAAGAAGCTGTCAATATGTTGTTTTACAAAATCTGTTAACCTCCGAAAAGCCCAGGGGCCAAAGGATAGGGCTAATAAGAAACCTATGAGGGGGCCCAGGATGGGGAGAAGGTAGGGGAGAAGTCCATTTAGTCCGCTCCAGAGAGGGTTCTCGAACAGTTCTTTCCGCCGCTTTATCAGGTCTTCCTGTAGTTTCTTGATTTTGTCTCGGACGATTCCAGACTTGTTGGTGTAGAAACAGCAACGTTCCTGTAGGGCTAAGCATATCCCTCCCTGCTCACCACAGGACATTTTAGAACATTGTTTTATCCACAAAGAGACCCTGTTAGCAGTTATTTTTTTTTTTTAATATATTTTATTTATTTTGTACAGAGAGGAAGGGAGAGAGATAGAGAGCTAGAAACATCGATGATAGAGAGTCATCGATCAGCTGCCTCTTGCACACCCCCTACTGGGGATATGCCCGCAACCAAGGTACATGCCCTTGACCGGAATCGAACCCGGGACCTTTCAGTCCCCAAGCCGACGCTCTATCCATTGAGCCAAACTGGTCCTGGCATGTTAGCAGTTATTTTTGCCGCTCTCCCAGCACTTGGCAGCCACACATCTCCTTCCCTTCTTTAAAGTGACCTGTTCTGGACATTTTATACCAGGGGAACCACACATGTGTGCTTTGTGGCTGCTTCCTCAGCACGATGGTGTCAGGGTTTGCCCGTGTCATGTCATGTAGAACTTCACTCCTTTTATCAGCAAATAACACGCTGTTGTGTGGACACACTACTTTTTGTGTACCCTCTCATCTGTTGGTGGGTGTTTGGGTCATCACCAGTTGGGCTGTCACAGTAATTCTGCTGTGGACGTCCATGTACCATTTCTGTGCACAGTTCCGTTTTCCTGAGTTCAAGTCTCGGGTCCCCTGGCTGCAGAACAGCAGCCACCGGAGCCTGCCGGCTGCAGGCGGAGGCCCTCACTGGCATGGTGTGACGCTGTGTTTCCCAACAGGAGAATCCAGCTCTGGCGGTTGCAATTAAAACATGTAAAAACTGTACTTCCGACAGCGTGAGGGAGAAGTTCCTGCAAGAAGCCTGTAAGTTTCTAGAAATTTCTTTGGAACTCCATTTGACTTTATCTGTGAAGTCCATACTGAAGAAGAAAAATAATGTTTTGACTTCTATGAGGCAACTCCTTTTATTAACCTTGCCTTGCAAACTAGTATCTGTATTTGTAGAGGCCGTATCTGCAGCTTTCCCTGGGTAGGCCATGATGATTGGGGTATGAACACAGATGATTTACCGTCCCTTCGCCCTTTGGTACCTTGCACCATTGAAATCTTCGCCCCGGAGTTGGGCAGATAGAGAGTGGTCCCAGCCCACGTGCTGCCAGGCCTGGATTCGGAGGGAGCAGGACGGGCAGTCCCTGGCCCCGCTGCTCTGGGGTACGCTCCTCTGACCACGCTGCCTGGATGCGCACAAGCGGAGCCCGTCAGGCTCCCGCCCTCCTGCCCTTGAGCTCAGAGCCCTTTCTCCTCACACGTCCCCTCTCATCCAGCCGCAGGCATGGTCTCTCCTTCCCACGCACGCATCGCTCAGTGGCCTTGCTTGCAAGTATTGTCGCTCCCGCCTCTAGGCTCTGAGCTCCCTGGGGGATGGGACTGTGTCTGTTTTGCTCACAGAAGGCACTTGGTGTATATATAAAACCTCATATATACCTGGTTGTATAAATGAATCAGTGTCTTCATTCCATGAGCCCTGACCAACTGCTGCTTTCCACTCTCCCTCTCTGTGACTGTTTACCACGTGACAGTCAGTAAATGAATAAATCTGGGCCCCTTCGTGACTTCATTGGCTGTTTAAGCATAGCCTTAGCCCTGCTGGGTCTCTGACTCGGTAGACTGGAGCCTGGGAGGGACTGCTGCCTCAGCTAGTCTGTTACTGGAGTGTAGGCCAAGCAAACACGGAGCGAGCCATTGCCACCTAACAGCCTGGCAGGAAGGTAACTGTGGACACTGTTCTCCCCAGTAACCATGCGCCAGTTTGACCACCCTCACATCGTGAAGCTGATTGGCGTCATCACGGAGAACCCCGTCTGGATCATCATGGAGCTGTGCACTCTCGGAGAGGTACCATGTGCCAGACCTGGCCTGTGGGCGGGCTGCCCTGTGCCGGACCCGGCCTGTGGGCGGGCCGCTGGTGCAGGTCAGCTGGGCTCAGTACTCGTGCAGTCCGCACTGGCTGCGATGTCCTTTGTTAAGAAAGGGAGGTATATGCGGTGTGGTTTTGTCAGAGATATATAGTACAGTGTCTCTTTACATTCCCCAGTCGTCCCCTAACTCAGGCCCAGGCAAAGTTTTGTTAGGACCGGAAGCAACAGTCCTGACACAAGTGGATCTTTTCCTCTCCAGTGCTGGGAGGGTGAGGGAAGCAGTGGCGAAGTAGTGCTGGATTTTGGTAAATCTGAAGAGTTCCTTAAGCTTTTCAGAATTCACATTGGACCACTGACATTAGTCACAGTTTTAAAGATGAGTAATAGTGTGGGCAGCTCTCCTTACTTAACTTTCTCCAGAACATGGAACTACTCTCTGCACACCATTGCCTGGGACCTTGTTCCAAATGCAAATGCTTGTGCCCATCCCAGGCCTGCTGGCTGTTGTGCGGGGGCTGGGGGGCACAGCAGCGAGGGCCCAGAGTCCTGCTGTCATCTGCATGCCGCTTCCGTAGCCGGGCCTGGTTGGGTATCAACAGGTTGATTTTTCAGACACAGTTTTCTGAAAAAGGTTAATGCAGCCTTCGAAAAACATTACACACATTCCTTGTTTTTTAAAGGCTCCCAAATACAGTTTTGCTTGTGATGAATATTGGGGTTACCAGCTCCCAAGAACCGGAGTGTAGTTTGGTCCTTCCTCCGCTTTGCTACAGCATTACCCCACGCCCGCCTTTGAGAGGGCCCTGCCAGAGCTCCTACGATCTTCTCCCCACTTAGGCTAACGGTTTGCTGGCTGGAGCACTTTAAGGTCTCTATGTCTCCCCTCCTCTGCTCTGCCTTTCCGTATTTTTGTGTTTTTTGTTTTTAAATATATTTTTATTGATTTCAGAGAGGGAGGGAGAGAGGAAAGAGATAGAAAGATCAATGATGAGAGAAATCATTGATTGGCTGCCTCCTGTATGTCCCCTACTGGGGATTGAGCCCACAACCTGGGCATGTGCCCTTGACCAGAATCAAACCCAGGACCTTTCAGTCCTCAGGCTGGTACTCTATCTACTGAGCCAAACTGTCTAGGGCTGTTTCCATATTTTTGTACAGTATTTTTCTGCTTTGCTTTTGAAGAATTTGCTAATTCTTTGGGATTAAAAAATGTCTCTCTTTTATATGTTGATTTTGTGGAATTAGAGTATTCAGCTCGTCTGCCTTTCTTGGCTATGTTAGCATTTAGCTGAATGAACGATGACGGTGGTAGGCGTCACTGGGAAGCCCATTGGGTAGATATCCTAAACACGACCAGTTGACCTTTCTGCACCCAAAGCTCCTTGGGAGTAGTGTGTGTGGGGGGGCACTCCTCCTCCCCCCTCTCCTCCTCAGTCTGCAGATCTGCCCTGGATGTGGTGGAGTGAGCTGACCATGCTTGTGTAGTAGACTTTTTTGAGAGGTGACTAGATACTTTTGTTTTCTAAATAATATTATTTAGTAACTAGTGCCCCAGTGCATGGGTTTGTGCACATTGAAAGGAAATTAGTTAGAAGGTGGCCGGAGGGGCAGGACTGGGTGAGATGGGCCAGACACAATCTGGAGCCAGCCCCCTGCAGTCCCTCCCGGCCAGTGGCAGTGCAGCTCTTGAGTGAGCGGGGTCCCTCTGGCAGGTGGAGTCCCTCGGCCTGGCCTGTGGAGATTGGGCCGGAACCAGCGCTCTGACATCCCGAGGGCCCCGGATTGTGAGAGGGCGGTTCTCGGGCGACGCACCCCGGAACCGGACTCCCTCCTCTGGTTCCAGGTGTGTCACCCGAGAACCGCTGCTGCCAAGTCACCATAGCTTGGCAGTTCCTTTGTTGAGTGTCTGCCCCCTAGTGGTCATTGCACATCATAGCTACCAGTTGGATGGTTGGATGGTTGTTTAGCTTTTTATATATATAGGTATTTTGTGCTTTTATTCATTCCCTGGAAACATCTTTCATATTTTTTTCAAAAGTTTGTCTGTAATCATGAAGATTCCAACTTGACAAGAGGATTTAAAATAAAGAATGATTAACCATAATTTCTGAGCCAGTATGTTTGGTTTGTCATGCTTTGCTCTGAGGGGAGAACTGAAGCCATTCTCACTAAGTGCATGTAGAGATGGGCAGCATTGGGTTGGAGTAGCTCTTTGGCTGTGGATTTCTCTTCTCCACTAATCCTTCCATTTTGTCTTGCTCACTATCCCAAAGCTGAGGTCGTTTCTGCAAATCCGGAAGTTCAGCTTGGATCTGGCATCCTTGATCCTGTACGCCTACCAGCTTAGCACAGCTCTAGCTTATCTGGAGAGCAAGAGGTTTGTGCACAGGTAAGGTCGGGGGAGGGGTGACTGTGCTGCTTGGCCCGGTGTGCGGGTGCTGTGTCTGCCCTGGCCGAGTGAGGGGTCAGTTTAGATCAGTTCACTTTCCCTTCCACAGGCTCTGTGGAGAGCCTGGCCGCGGCACCGGGCAGCGGGCACTCTGTCCTGACACATGGTCGGGACCTCCCAGGACACCGAGAGTCATGGGCATCCCTGTGTCCTCTGGGTTTCTGAGTATAACGGGCCCGGTGTGAGGTGAGGGAGGGCTTGGTGTTGTGTGTGTTTTGTCACCTGGCTTTAAGGCGAGCACATCACAACGATGTGCCAACTTCCTTCCTGCCCCTGAGGCCAGCCGGGTGCCGACCGTGGCTGTGGGTCACTGTCAGTCATGCCGCTGCAAAAACCGATTGTTGGCAAAGTGATAGGTGGCTCATTGTGTGAGGATGAGCTTTGCCATCATCATTCACATACTGGTCACCGCATTAACGAGTGAATGTCCTCCAGCAGAAACACACTTAAATGGTGCAGGGTCCCTCTTCTCAGGGTGTGGTCCCTCTCTTGTTTGCATTGTATATAAGCTGTCTTTCCCAGTACCTGTGTGTCTATATAATGTAGATGACTTTGTGGTTCATCTTCCTTGTGTTAACATTTGTTGGCCCAAATTCTTCCTTCTCAGGGACATTGCTGCTCGGAATGTTCTGGTGTCCTCAAATGATTGCGTGAAATTAGGAGACTTTGGATTATCGAGATACATGGAAGACAGTACTTACTACAAAGGTAAGATGGGAGCAATAAATGAGCAATAGGTTCAGGACCTTTCATGGGTGTTATTCCTTTAAAAGGCATGTTTGTAAGAAATAGGTGAGCTGATTGTTGACAGGTGTGAGTGAGTTCACGGAAAGGACAGCCTTCTGACAGGTGCAGTGCTGGAGCACTGGCGTCCACGGGCACGCATGGGCCTCAGCCTTACTGCCTCCATGTCACAGCGGGTCACAGACAAGTACAGAATGTACAGCTTCTAGGGAAAACATGGGAGTACATGTGTGGTACGCAGGGCTAGGCAAGGAGTCCTTGGACTCAATTCCAGAACATCCATAGAAGGAAAAATGGATAGACTGGACCTCATCAAAGTTAAACATCTTTGTTCTGCAAAAGACTGTGAAAAGACAGGCACAGAGTGGGAGGAAATATTTGCCAGCCACATACTATCCAACAAAGAACTGATACCTAGAGTATGGACAAACTCTCAAAACTGAAAGAAAGAAAGAAAGAAAGAAAGAAAGAAAGAAAGGAAGAAAGGAAGAGGAAATGGGCAGAAGATAAGAAAGATTTTACTGCGGAGGATGGGCAGCTAGCAGATGAGCACGTTATAGAAGAGGGCCATGCTGATGGAGACCACAGTGAGATCCATTGCACACCTATCAGAACAGCTAACGTGAACATGGCGATACCATCAGTGCTGGCAGAAACATGGAAACCAAATTCTTGAAATCACTGCGAGAAAGTAAACAGTGCCACCACTCTGGAAAAGAGTTTGCAGAGTCTTTTTAAAAATTATTTATTTATATTATCATTCATTTCAGAGAGAGGGAGAGAGACAGAAACATCAGTAATGAGAATCATCAATCGGCTGCCTCCCGCACGCCTCTCACTGGGGATTGAGCATGGCCCTAACCAGGAATTAAACTGTGATCTCCTGGTTCATGTATTGACGCTCAACCACTGAGCAACACTGACTCAGCTATTTTTTGTGTTTTTGTTTTTAAATCTTCACCCAAGGATATGTATTTTTATTGATTTGAGGCCGAGGGTCAGAGGGGTGTGCAGAGAGAAACATTGATCCGTTGCCTCCTGCAGGTGCTCTGACTGGAATTGAACCCACAGCCTTCCATTGTAGGGGCTGACTGTCCAACCACCTGAGCCATACCAGTGAGGGCAGAGTTTGCAGATCCTTTGGAACCTAAGCATGCAGCTACCATGTGACCCGCAATGACAATCCTGAGCATTTCTCCAGGAGAAATGAAAGCTTACGTTCAGTCCAAGCCTGCATTTAAGGGCTATTGCAGCTTACTTCCTGTGGCCAAGAATTGGAGTGAGCCAGGTGTCCTTGCTCTGGTGGACGCAGTCAGACACGGCAGCATGGGGGTCCCAGGGCTCAGCAGGAGGTGTCTGACTCACACCCCAGGACTTTGGCCCATGCGTGTGAACTGAAACCCAGCTCGGGTGGTTTTCCTTGAACTTGCCAACCTTGGACAGATGGACCTTGGTTCTTCAAATTATTATTGACCAAGTGTTTTTATTAATAAATGTTTACCTTCTAGTGTTTCAGCTAAGGTTTGCATTATAAATTCATGTTATGCTATTAGTGTGTATTTTAATTATTACTACTGTTCACAAAGGCCAGTTAATCAGTTGGTTGACTTTTCTAGAGCTCCTGGCTGTTCTCTTTTCCATCTGCTTTCTGCATACTGCAGCCTGAACCTTAAGCAGTGACCCTTTGGTGTGCGAAAAGGGAAGTCTTTGGTTGTATATTCATTTTGGTTATTTGGTCAGATAACTGTAAAACAACCACGTCAGCTTCCCAGTGTTTTAAAATATAGTCCATGTCCAGCTCAAATCCTAACCAGTCCCAGCCCTAGGATCCAGTGAAGCTAACTCCACACAGGAGGGTGCGGAGCCTGCTGTCATGTGACACTGAATGGCGACGGGCAGCTTCAGCACATGGCGCCTCAGCTAGGTCTGTGCAGAGTCCACTAGACTTAGGAAAACCGCCCTGAAGGTTGGGGCCCTTCGGGTCAGTGCACAGTGGGAGGGCAGTTTGTCTGGAAGGAAGCAAACAGGATTTGAGTTCAGTTGTCAGGAAGGTTCTGGAAGTTAGGCGGGAAGTTATAAATGTAATGCATCTGGTTGTCTCCTGATGGCAAGTCACCAGAGGCGTGCTCCCTCCGCCGCAGAAGGCAGCCAGGCTCGGGCTCATCACCAAGGCGCCCGAACCTCGTGTTCTCAGCAGAGAGCCTCCCGGGACGGGTTAGGACCGAAGGGTTCAGCTGACGGAGATGCGCATGCATATGTGATATTTCCCTGGGCACCGGCTTCCCAGTGCGAGGTGCTTCAGGATGGGAAGGGCTGCTGTCCTTGGCAGGCAGCTCCCACCACAAGGCTCCGTCCTGTGGATGAGGACCTGCTGGGGAGTTGTAAGCTGCTCACTGAGCTCACGAGAATGCCTTCTTCACGGCTCCCTCGCCCTTCCTGCTCCCACGCCCCTGCCCGTGGACCTGCCACCGCGCCAGGGACCTCAGGACGTCAGGGGAAGGGAAAGAAACTCCGGGAAGCGCGGTTCAGGGTCAGATGTCCAACGCTTTTTATCGTGATACTAAACATCTCAGCAAGCTGTAACTGTTAGCTTCCTCAGCAGCTACAGAAAATTCACTTTCTGAAATTCATCTTCTAGCTTCCAAAGGAAAATTGCCTATTAAATGGATGGCCCCAGAGTCCATCAATTTTCGACGCTTTACCTCAGCCAGTGACGTGTGGATGTTTGGTGAGTATTGTGACGGGCTCTGTGTTTTCTGATTGTCCCCCGCTCTCCTAACCGCGCTGCGCCTGGGCTCCGAGCATGTGGATGGCGGCCTCTGGACGCATTGGGCAGAGGGTCGTGGAGTTGCACATGCTAGCTTCCAGGGTGGCTTCTGCGACGACCGCTGCCGGTCCCTTCCGTCACTCTTCCTTCCCTTGGCGTGCTTCTGCCCACAGGGCGGTCACCTCCGCTTCCTCTCTCCCCCTCTCTGCATCTCGCTCATGCCTCTCTGGGAGGCTTGAGTTAACTGTCCCTCTGGCTCTGTGACTGTCCCTCACACCTGGGGACCTGAGACCGCGCTTCCTCCTCTCCGCTGGACTCTCCTCCTTCCTAACTTGTCTCAGGGCTTGAGGTTTGACCCTCGTCTCTGTGGTCCTGCCCCTCCCATGTCTGCTCTGTCCCTTCCTGCCTGGTCCTCCTCCTGCTGTGGGTCCTTGAGCACCTCCCAGCTAGTGTAAGGGGCTCTCCGAGGCCACTCTGCGCACCCCTGTGACTCCTCCCATCTGGAGCACCTTATCCTGTACTCTCTCCCCCAGAGCAAGTTCTGTGTAACCTGCAGGTCAGCTGAAATGTCCCTCTTCCGTGAAGCTTCATGTGGCAGGGGTAGCGTCCAGACACAAGGACCCCCTGTCTCTGCATCTTCTGCTCTTCCCTGTCCTAACTCTCATGTGGAGCTTGCGCACAGTCTAACGTGTCTTTTCTCTGCCGGTGTGTTCATGTACCTTTTCCTATAAATAAAAACAACTTCATCTATATTAAGTGTGTGTCCTTATTTTCTTCTCTTTACTTGCTGTTGACTTAGTAACCACCGAGTGCTCTCACTGACACCAGGTTCAGGGAGGGCCTCTTCATCCAAATAGGAAGTAGTCCGACAGGGTCAAGAAAGGCTCTGGGGCTCGGCCAGTGTGGCTCAGTGGTTGAGTGTTGACCTATGAACCAGGAGGTCATGGTTCAATTTCCTTTCAGGGCACATGGCTGGTTGTGGGCTCCATCCCCAATAGAGGGTGTGCAGGAGGCATCCAATCAATGACTCTCTCATCATTGATATTTCCATCTCTCCCTGTCCCTTCCCCTCTGAAATAAAGGGAAGAAAATATTTAAGAAAAAGGAAAGGAAAGGGGAAAGGGAGGGGAAGGAAAAGAAAAAGGCTCGATCCCAAGACCGTGCTCGTTAGCTGTGCAGCTAGGGAGCAGGTTATTTATATTCGGAAGGAAAGTCCATCCTTCAGAGATTCGAAAGGCCTGTTTCTGTCACACGTTACCGTCCCTGGAACTGGGCTGTGTGCACACCAGGGCGTGGGGTTGTGCACGGGGTTGCGGGGCCTGTTTTCCTGGGGCTGCTTTGCCTGCACTCGTGGGGACCTGGTCCGCTCTGTGCATGTTCCCTTTCATGTCTGGATGAGTTGGAAGAGCTTGCTGGGGAGACGGAAACCATGCTGAGATGACAAAGGCTGTGTCACCATGCAGCTGGCAGCATCCCCCTTTCTTAGTCATACAGTAACTGCGCGCCCTGCAGCCCGCGGCGTCTCCAACATGAGGAAACGCTGTGTTCACAGAGGGGGAAGGTGTGAGGATTGAGGGTGACGTGTGCATTTGAGGAAGGTGTCAGCGGTGTGTCATGTTCTCAGAAAACAGTGCCATTGTTTCCGATGGTGCTGTCCTGGTACTGATGAGCGAGCAGAGGGGCGCTCTGTCTTACCACTCTGTGCTCAGCCTTTGGCCAGCTCCAGGGTCTAAGTAACGCGCTCTGAGAAGATACGGGCCTCCTCTGAGGGACAGACCCTTTAGGAACTGGAGACGCAGGAGGAAAGCCCAGCCGCCAGCGCACCCCCCCCTCCCCCACTGCACGGCGTGTACTCTGGGCGTAGCGAGGAAGTGTTGGGGACCGGGAGGAGCTTTGTAGGAGAGCTCAAAGAGGTGCCTCGAGGAGAGCTGTGAAAAGGGAAGTAAAGGGCCAGGAAGCCGGGGAACCCCACACCAGCAAAGACACGTTTGTGGCACGTTCAGGTGGCACGATCTCCAGGGGCGAAGTGCCGGGTGCTGACCGGAGCCATCAGGAGAAAGCCGCCCTCCTCCTCGCCGGGCTCCGTTCCCCGGTCATTCCGGGCTGGTCCTCATTGTCAGTTTCAGGTTTGGCTCATTTGTTTAACTGAAAGGTGAATGCCAGTTGTTCAGACGGTCCTGAGAAAGCAAGAGGTTCTCAAGGGCAGGTTGAGAGGAGACTTTCTGAGGTTGATGGTGGAGTTTTGGACAGGGGCAGTGATGACCTGTGGGTGAGCCAGGAGACAGTGCCTGTGCACCGCGTCCAGGGACTGCAGTGTCAGCGCAGGGCTTCCGCTGCTAGGCCGCGGGCCAGCCACTGTGCTCATGAGCAGGTTGCACTGGCGAGCGAGAGGCTGAAACCCGTTCCGCTGCCTTTGAGCTTGCTTTTGAGCTGTCCACCACGCCAGGAAGTGCCCTGTGCTGCCAGGCCCTTTTCCAATAGGAGTTCTAGATAAGAAGCCTCATGGGAAAGTTCCGGTGTTTCCTTGGTAACCTAATGTTGCGTTATTCACACTGTATTAAAGTAGCGTTGCTGTTCTTACAAGAGCTCGTCCAATGTGCTTCACTGAGCTGGTGCACATCACACAGCTGTGGCTCGTGCTGACTCTGAAGCGACCCTGCTAAGTCCCCTGTTCTGTTCTCACCCCATTCCACAGGTGTGTGTATGTGGGAGATTCTGATGCATGGCGTGAAGCCTTTTCAAGGAGTGAAGAACAATGATGTGATCGGGCGCATTGAGAATGGGGAGAGATTGCCAATGCCTCCAAATTGCCCTCCCACCCTCTACAGCCTTATGACGAAATGCTGGGCCTATGACCCCAGCAGGCGGCCCCGGTTCACTGAGCTCAAGGCTCAGCTCAGGTAGGAGTGGGGGGAGAGAGGGCCGGGCTGGGCAGGCTCCGCTGCTCCTGAGCGATAGCAGTCACGGTCGCTTTATCAGTGCGTCAAAGGCTGACCCTGTTTCGTGGGCAAACATAATTTGGAAACTTATTTTGTGTTTGTTTATACCTTGCAAGAGTCTTAAGTAGATTACATCTTCAAATCTTCATAAACTTCAAATTACGTTGAAATCTCTCTCCCCTAACTTCTCACTGACTGCGCATGGCATGCGAGCTCCTCGGGAACATAGCCCTCACTGGCCTGGCCGTCTCCTGTCACATGTCAGCCCCAGCCCTGCCCTGCCTGCGTCCGCCAGCTCTGCTCCCTGCCTTCGCCCACGAACCTGTTCTGTCTTTAGAATCCAGCCAGATGTCACCTCCCTGAGGAAGCTTCCCCCTTCCACCCTGCCCCCAAGAGACAGCCACTCCTTTGCCTTTCCAGAACTCCTGTCATCGCGTGAAGCAGTCCACATTGCCATTCCCTGCCAGTTAGAGGCTCCGGCTTCGTGCCAGGCACTGCCAGACTGAACCTTCAGTGGCTCCCAGTCCCCGTGAGGCCCGTTCAGGGTCTTGTCTGTGTGCTGAGCGCTGGCCATCTGCACAGCCTGGCGGCTTCTCGTTTGCTAGTTTTTGTCTCCGGCCAGACTCAGGCTCTGGATGGGTCCCACGGCTCTTACTCGTCTCTGTGCCCGGAGCTTCGGGCCAGGCGCCCATTACGTGCTCAGTAAACAGTTGCCTCATTGAGTAGAATTAAGTCTAGATTAAGACTTAATTCTTTAATAAGTAAGATACTTTAGTATTATACATATGCATGGGGAGTTCAATTTTATAACTAACCAGTGCCGTGGTGTACTGTGAGCTGTGTCACCTGTTTCATATTTGGGGTGCTTCCTTGAGGCTATGTGAGACTTTTTAATCTGCTGCCATTTAGTCTTTTTTTCATAAATAGTAGTCAGTATCAGATCCGGAAGGCCCTGAGCTCATCCAGCCAACCTTCCCCAGTGCTCGCCTCCCTAGCCATCTCTAGCCTCCCCTCCTCCCATGCACTCACCGCTGGACAAGTTTCCTGGGAGGAGAATCAGGCCCCTGGGGAGAAGGGAGGGCCGTCCAGCAGCAGCTGACTGCGGAGCGCCTGCCTCTCTGAGCCGGGCCTGTGGCGTGCACAGCCGCTCACGCTGCATTTCACACACTCGTGGTCTTAGCACTCCAGACGGCCTGCTCCGGACCAAAGTCAAGCTTCTTCGTTTTCCCATGACTTAGGTGCACATTCTCTCACCGCTGGGGATTTGAGCGTGCTTCCTGTTTTGCTCCTAGGCTTGCTTGTTCCTCCTGGGTCTTTCCCCACAGCTCACAGCTTCTGCCCTTGCAGTCTCTGCCCTCTGGTCCCAGTTCCACCTGCCTGCCTCCCTGACTTCTTGCCTCTTGACCTGCATCCCTGCCCCTTAGCTCTGAGCAGAGATAGGTTTCTACTGGCTCTTCCGCTCTGTCCTCCGGGTTCTTGGCAACACTGGGCTTTCCTCCTCCCTCCGCCCGCGTCTGCTTCCGGGCTGTGCTGCCTTTTCTCACAGCCCCACCACCTGCATTTGAAGTCATCGCTGGCCATCACGTTTGTCCAGAGCAATGCTGTGGCCTTCTCCCCTCGGCCCCTTGCCTTCTGGTGGGATAGCGGGGCCTTTGTATTCAAGTCCACCTTGGGGTCATGGGTAATTCCTCGCCCGCCCACTAGCTAACAGCCGAGGCCTTCCTGTGGTGCCTCCAGCCCCACCCTCCTGCCCACTCCTTCTCCACTGTCCTCCCATCTGCCCACGAGAGCTCGTTAGTCCATCCTGCAGCATCGCTGTGGGACATGACCCTGACTCAAATTGTATGGCCTTGACCTGCCAGTTCTCTCCTTCCTTTTCTCACTCTGTAGCCAAGCTAACCCTGCCTTCTGGCCTGGACCACCTCCTTCCCCTGGTGACTCTGCCTGTCCCTCTGGGCTTCTGTGCTGGCTCTTCTGTGACTTCCCAGCTAATTCACCGTGGCCCTCGGAGTCTTCTGAGCACCGTTTTTGTCCCGCCCCCCCCATGTTGCCACACAGACACTGAGCACCTCGTGCTGAGCCTGGTGCTGGTCACTGGGGCAAGATGATAGAGCACTTTTCCTGCCCTCGAGGAGCTCACAGTCTAGTATGTCTCATCCCCTACTAGACTGAAGCTCCTTGAGGACAGGGATCGTCATACTCACCTTGGGGTTGCCCGCACCTCCAGGCAGGAGCCTAGGCAGGAAGGGGTCTCACAGCCCTGAGCTCGTTGCTGAGTGCATGCGAGCTCACACTGACATTCATTTAGGACTGTTCCTTCCGATAAACCAGCCCGAAAACTGTTCAGGGTGGCTTTTTAGAATAAATATAACTGTTTTCATACACACACAAATAAATATAAGATACCTGGACTATAATTTATGGATGTCTTCCTATGCACAATTAGCACAGGTCATTGAGAATTAATTTATCCTGTATTGTCCTGTATTGGTCAGAAATTAAATTTAACTTTGTAATTAAAAATGTATAATAAGGCTACCAAAAAGGCCAGTGAAATTTATAATCTGCTAGCTTGCTTGATCACTCACACGTAACAGTGTATCACAGTCATTAATAGGCTTTACTGAGCTTTAAAAAGCTTTATTATATTCAGGATGCTTCAAAGCAATAAATTTGAAAAGTCCTTATCTCAGGGCAGTTAGTAATGTTTCCCAAACCCCATCTTCCTCATCTGCCTTAAAGAGAGGGCTGCAGAGAGGCTCAGCAGGGTGCCCGCTGCTCACCGCCCGCCGTGGTCATCTGGGTGCCCTTCCTCGCCTGAGCCTTGTCCGGTAGACTGAAGGGCTCGGCCACCCTGTCACGGGCGGGCCTCTGTCACTCAGCGTCTGTCCTTCCATCCTGTGTCTTACGGTGTGAATGCACCGAGGTGCGAATAAGGTGGACTTGACGGACTCCCTCCACGGAGCGCGGGCCGGCCCTCCGTGAACTCTCTCCACGTGTCTCTGGTGTTTCTGTGCTGTGTGACTGACAGCTCATACATGCAGTGTTTTCTAATGAAATGTTGTTTAACCGCTGGTAAGTTCAGTTAATTTTTTAATAGCTACTGTGCCAAGGACAGTAACGGCTTTCATATTTGCTCTGTGGAGCGTGTGTTCCAAGCCCGCCCCACAGAGCTCCGCCTGCCCCGCCGTTCCTGCCGGCACCGCGCGGCCGCGTCGCACCCTGAGGGAAACGCTCTAAGCTGCTGCACTTGGTTCAACCCGTTCTAGACAGACAAGGGCAGCACACAAATAGAATTACCGCTTACAGCTTTATTCCATGTTTTTATATTTAACTTTCTATTGACATACAAAGATGTGAACATATAAACATGCCAAGAAGTAAACGGCTCATTACATTTTCACAACCAGGCACACTCCTGTAACCAGCATCCAGAACGAGACCAGTGCTGCCAGGGAGGTGTGCAGGGGGAGGTGCGGGCGGGGAAGGGTGGCAGGAGAAGCACAGGCTCCGCGTCACTTACAAACCACATGCGCCTGCAGCCTGCGGGGAGGAGAGGAGTCCTGGGCTCAGGCCCTCGTTCTGGGCTGAGAGGAGTGAAACAGCAGCTGATCTCCTCACCTTTCTCCCACCCGCGTCTGCTTGTCTTGTTATGGTGACCCGGGCTGACCTAGCCATGTGTCACTCTCTCCGTCTACTGAGAGCTCGCCATCGTCAACCACCATGGACAGCCTGCCCGCCTCAGCCTGTCTGCGCTGGAGGGCTTGTGTACTGTATTCATGTGTGTTTGTAACCTCACAACGTAAGGTTAGATGTTTTGTGTCTAACACATGACCAGCCCAGTCACTAACACTACTTTCCGCCGGAAGACTAAACAGGCTGACACTTAACGTGTAAAACAGTCTTTTTAAGGAAAAAATACTTTATGTTTAAGTCCATACAGTGCTCTGCACTCTTTCCGGAAGACGTTGGTTAGTTGGCTGGTTTGTTGGTTGGTTGGTTTGTTTTAGCAAGTAGTTAACTCAGCTGGTCTCAGATGGCAGACTCTCTCTCCACGGTGTGGGCAGCACCACATTGTAATTCCGTCCTCTTAGCCGTAGCTGGGCTTCTCGGAACCTGCCTTGTATGTGGATGACTCAGGTTCGCTAGAGATTGGGGCAGAACCGATACTCAGAATTTAAGGCCTGGCTCTCTTCTTACTGGGATTCCCCCTCACCTCCCCTCTCCTGTGGTGACTCACACTCGGGTTCTTCACACCAGCAGGCTTGGGCCTGCTTCTGGCTGCGGCCTCTGAAATGTGGGCCTGCCCTGTGCCGGTGCCTGCCTCTGTCAGCTTCCCAGACTAGCCGTCCGGGGGGCTCTCCTGCTCCCCCAGCCACTTATGTCCACAGCCCCTGCCTGCAAGAGGGTGGTCACCTCTCTTCGGAGTGCTCGAATGTGGCAGATACAAAGAGGTCACCATCTTAAAGGGAGATTTCAGTAGAAATCACTCTATTAATAATTTTGAGATGGGTAACACAATTAAACAAAAGCACATTATTTCCGACAGTTTTAGGTACCTAATAATCAAAGAGAGTGGTTTTAGTGAGCGTGTCCGTGAAACGAGACGCCAGTCTGCCCGGCCTGTCTGTGAGGGAAGAGGCGCAGAGGCTGAGGCTGCCACCCTGGTCAGGGCGCTCACCCCAGGCCAGCCCATCACAGACCCCCGCTCACGCTGGCTCCAGCCTTGCACTCTGCATGGACCCCGGCTGCGGCTGTGTTGGGAGGTCAGCTCCATCCTCTGTGCAGAGGCAGAGCTGGTCATTAGACGAGATCATGTTTCAGAATAAGCAGTTTCCCTCTGGCTTTTCCCTGGACAGTTTTCAGATTAGCCCGAGGAGCTGTGGGTCCAGCCTGATCCCTGTGTCCACGACACATGGTGTGGTGTCACCATAAAAGATGTTGAGGTGACCAAAGTCCAGTCTTCTACAAAAAAACTCATTCAAGCAAATTATATCTAAAAGGAGAACTGCTGCAGGGTTTAGTTTCAAAGAAGAGGAGTGTTCTGGGGGAAAGTACGGAGAGTGAAGCAGATGAAGGCACGGAGCCCCAAGGAGGCTGTAGGCAGGCCAGGGGGAGAACAGAAGGATCCCGCTCACTTAGCAGGGCTCTTCCTCCCATGCCCATCTCCGTCGAGCTCCGAGCGATGGAGAGGCACCCGCGGCCGCCTCTGTGAACGAGGAGACAGGCTGCGGCGCCGGGCTGGGTGTGCTCACAGCCCCGCAAGGTGCAGCGCCTCACGCTCGGTCTGTGTCCTGGCCGGCCTGCCAGCTGCTGCCGCTGTGAGCCCGCAGAGGGGACTGTGTCTGTGTCAGTCCTGGAAGCGAGGAGCCGATTAGCCCACTCTCGCTCTCCGTGAAAATGCCTTCAGAGTGAAGTCATGTTTTGGTGCTCCAGAGCGGAAATTTAATAAGCCCTCCCCGTGCCAGCTCGCCGAGGCCCCGGGAGCAGGCCTCACAGGGAGGGCGTGCTGTGGCGGACCCTGCCCAGAGCTCCCCAGAGCCCAGGGGGCCCTGTCCCTGCCTCAGGTCTTCGGTGACTTCTGTCACAGCTGGGGGAGGAGTGCTCCCCTCCTCTCGCCGCTTCCCAGTGGGGCCTGTGGCTAAGCTGACCCAGCCCGGTGTCTGTGGTGCAGTGAGTCTTGGCTTTTATTGTCCATCTGCTTGCAAGTTTGAGGCTGAGCCATGTCCCCGGAAAGGAGCGAGGGCTCCGTGCCAGTTCCCAGGAGGCAGCCCCGAGCTCCCAGCAGAACGTCTGGCGACTAAAAATACTGGCGTTTGGGAAAATATGTTTAAATCCGACCTCCTGACTTGCACATTCTAGCTCTTGCTCTGGTTCTTCGGCAGCAGCTGCTCAGAGTTCAGAAATGTCTCGCGTGCCCCGAGTCCACCAGTGGAATCGTCTTCCACTGTGAAAACAGGTGCTTTGTGGATTTTTTATGTTCCTGACCACTCTGAGAGCAAGGTGTGGTTTCTCAGGAGCGTCTCGTGTTGCGGTGTGAGAATGGCGTGCTGAGGTTGAGGGGACTGCTCCCTGGTTGTCTGCGTTCGTGGGGCCGAGGCTGGCCTGTTCAGTGGAGGGACAGCGAAGTGACTGTCCTGCAGCTGCCACACAGCTGATGGGAGTGACGGCTGCGGGGAGCCCACCACTATACCCCACGCCGAGCAGAGGGTTCGGACAGCATGTCGGGAGCGGAGAGCAGGGGAAGCGAGGTGGTGGAGACTCCGGTGGACGGAGCTGGAGCAGGTCTGTGGCTGGGACCGCTCGTTAGCTATGTGGTATTGTGGGCACAGTGGCTCCATTTCACCAAACGACCGACACACCAGAAGTTTTCCCAGTGGGGCCCCTTCCCTAAAGAGCATGTCCCACGTGGTCTTACCATAGTTTGCTTGGGTTTTTCTTACTTGAAAAAAGGACTTTTAACTTGACCTTTTTTTCTTGATTTTTATAGGTTTTTCAGTTGTCTTAAACTGTAGGTTTTGGAAATTCTGATTCCCACGGTCAGTTATTTATTTTGAGTCAGGTGATTGAGAGAGGGTGGCTCCTTTGGGGCCAGTGTCTCAGGTTGGACCCCTGCTCCGTGACCCTCTGGCCACCAAATGCTCAGGGAGCTGGTGTGGGACCTGTGGGTCCGGCCTGTGAGGGCGGGATCGGCCTAGTGGGAGCGAAAGCCAACAGGCCATCCCGTCTCAGCGCATCTGACCAGGAGTGATGTCCCCGGGCCCAGCCGCCTGGCGGCGGGCGCCTCCCGCCTTGGGGTGACGCTGTGTATCTCTTCGGTCATGATGACCGAGCTGGAGCAAGAAGCCAGAACCCTGTTTGAGGAGGTGGGATCTTCCACGGAAACAGGAAGCAGTCCCTTTCCTTAGAACCCTCCCTGCGGTGACAGTCCGCTGCGCGGGCACTGTTGACTGTCACTTCCTGCCTGGCCGCGCTGGGAGCTGGCGGGTGAGCAGCCTGCTGCTTGTCAGGCAGGAATGTCTGTCTGAGGCAGCGAGCACATTCCCACAGTAGATCGGAGGGAGCGCTGCAGTGACCTCACTCCATGAGTAATTCTGGGCGCGGACTCTGCATCCACCAGGCGGCTGCATTCCTAGAGCTCAGCCGTGCAGGCTTGTCGGAGAGCCGGTTACTGTCGTACGGACGAAAGAGTCAGACTGCCGCCCGCTGAACCCGGGGCCCGAGTGCAATGGGCAGGGGGCAGGGGCCGGCGTGGCGGCCTTCTGGGTAGCTTCCGGATGGCAGAGAGCAGGACCAGGCCGCCGCACGGCCGGCACAGAGGCGTGTGGGAGGCAGTGAGGCCCTGAGTAGGCGAGCTGTGGTAAGTAGGTGCTGCTGTTGTAGGCGGGGGCACGGCTCCAGGCGTCTAACCTGCGGGTTCGGCAACCTCGGGCCTTGGGTTCCGGCTGGGACAGAACTCAGCTAGACCCAGAGCACAGAGAGCATTTGCTGGGTGACTCTCGGGTAGAAGTCACTCCCAGGAGAACTGGCTCCGCAGACATGTTCTGGAGGAGAGGGAGGGCCTGGGAGCTGGGAGCGAGGCCCTCAGGTAACTGCCTGGGGGAGGGCAGCAGGTTGTGCTCCCGGGAGGAGAGCACTGGCCTCCTCCTCTGGACTTCGGGCGGAGGTGGGGCAGCCCCGGGGAAGGTCCCAGCAGAGAGGCGGCGGCTTCCAGCGAGTCCTCTCAGGGCTGCGCTCCGCTGACGGCATGGCGGCACCAGGCAGGGTCACGATCCAGGGCAACTGGTCCTGATGTCAGCCCGGATGGGTTTGCTGCTGGTCTGGGCCGGGAGCTGAGACACAACTGCTCCCAACACATGTAGGTGTGACCTCAAGGGGAAAGGTCAGGGGTCCAAACCTCATGACCAGCGATTTGGTAGGGGAGGAAGGTCATCCTGGGGCTGAGGTCTCCCCCAGCCATTGACTAACTGTCCGTTGCTAGGCACCTGGGGGTCCCATCCTGGTGACCTGTACTCCTTGCTCTGCTCATGTCCGTCTAACCGCCTACAGCACTCCTACCCACACCTGGCAGCTTAAAGCAGCTGGTGTTTCCAGACGCACTGCCCTGCTGTCACTGGTTCCGTGTTTTCCTGAGGGTGAAGCACTTGGTAGCTAAACGCGAGAAGGAAACGGCGGTGTATGGAAGTCATGGCCATTGCTGAGCTGCCCCATAACATGCCGGCTCCTGGGGCCCAGGTTCCCACGAGGAGTCTGTCCTGGGCGTGTCTGTGGGTGAGGTGCCGGAGCGCTCGAGGCAAGTCTGCTCTGCTCCAAACACATGTAGGCACACACATCACCCGCCTGGGCGCGTCTTGGATCTCCCCCACTTCTTATGTCTGCCCAGCTGTCCTCTGACCTGTAGCTGGGCTGCAGCTGGGCTTGCAGTTTGGACTCAGCTATTTTTGAGTCGTTTTGTGAAGAGTCAGAAACCTGATCCTCTTTCCCACTCTTGATTGCCTTCGGTTAGCCCTGTGCTTCCAGGCAGTGGGGTGGGGCTGGTGTGTGCTGGCTGCCTGCGGCCCCTTAACCCCTGTGTTGTCTCTGCAGCACAATCCTGGAGGAGGAGAAGGCTCAGCACGAGGAGCGCGTGAGGATGGAGTCCAGGCGACAGGTCACAGTGTCCTGGGACTCCGGAGGGTCCGACGAAGCTCCGCCCAAGGTAGCAGCGGCCCCCACCCAACTCGCATTCCTCCCCTGACTCTGTGCCTCCGGGGTGGGCAGCTGCCTGGAGGGGAAGCCATACCTGCGGGAGGTCCTAAGAGTGACCCTCACTCCAGCGCTGGTCTCCTGTCTGCTCCTACTGGTGCGCTCGGTGCGCTCGGATTGGATTCACTTGCTGTGATTTTAAAATGCTCTTTCTGGTTTCCCGCCCCCCCCCCCCCACGCCCCCCAGGCACGGACTGAGCTCCTCATGGGGAGGCTTTTTTCTGTTGGCCTCAGGGACATCGCTCGCTCACATCCAGTCACGGTGGAGGCAGGAGAGGGACTGAGCCTAGGCCCCGTGCTGTCCGCTTTGCTCTGTTTCAGGGGAGTCCTTCCCGCCCGCCTGCTCCCTTCAGGTCGGGTTGGGTTGGAGCTGCTTTCTGGCTCTCGGCTGCAGAGGACAGCTGGGCAGACACCCCCAGCACAGCCTTTGGTGCTTGGGGGGGTGTCTCCCCACCCCCGCCATGGCTGTATTTGAGTAGGCAGGCGAGGCCCAAGGATGCTGCTCCTCAACAACACCCCAGCCAGCCGCCGAGAGCCAGAAAGCAGCATCACTTTCCCTCAAGGCCGATGGCGTGAGCACCTTCTCAGTCTGCGCTCACTGGCCATCGCACGGCTTCCCGGATCCACACAAGTCCTCTGCCCACTGCTAAGTGGGACACTTGTCATTTTATAATTAGGTATGACTCTTCCCAAATAGACGACTTCTAGATATTTCCTTCCATTCTGTGGGTAGTCTTTTCACTTTTCTCATGCTTTCCAATGCTGCCATTTGCAACACAAAAGCTTTTAATTTTGATGAAACGCATTTATTTTTGTTTTGTTGCTTGAGCTTTTGGTGTCATAGCCAAAAAACTATTGCCTAACCCACAGATTTGTCCTGTGTTTTCTCCTGGGAGTTTTATAGCGCTAGCTCTTCCATTTAAGTCACAACCCCTTTTGAGTTGATTTTGTGGATATTGTGAGGAAGGCCCAGCGTCATTTGCTCGCATGTGGACACCTGTTGCTCCAGCATCATTTATTTATTTATTTTTTATTTTTTTAAAAATATATTTTATTGATTTTTTACAGAGAGGAAGGGAGAGACATAGAGAGCTAGAAACGTCAATGAGAGAGAAACATCGACCAGCTGCCTCTTGCACACCCCCCACCAGGGATGTGCCCGCAACCACTGTACATGCCCCTGACCAGAATCGAACCTGGGACCTTTCAGTCCGCAGACCGAGGCTCTACCACTGAGCCAAACTGGTTTCGGCCAGCATCATTTATTGAAAAGACTGTTTCTAACCCCACTGAGATGTCTTGGTCCCTTTTATCATTCTTTCCAAGAAAACTCTGTTAGAGAAATACCTTCTGTTATTCTCAGTAGAACCAGAGTTTGTGATTTACCGAAGTAATCAAAGCGCCTGTTCATGTGATGCTCTGTGGTCTGTTCGCAGCCCAGCAGGCCGGGCTATCCGAGCCCGCGGTCCAGCGAAGGATTCTATCCCAGCCCACAGCACATGGTGCAGACCAACCACTACCAGGTACGCCGTGTCCAGCAGGCACCACTCCGCGGGGCGCTTCTCCTGGGAGCCACGAGTGAGACTCAAAAGTACCGTAAAGGCCAGATGAGCCCCGGCTGGTGTGCTGAGTGGTTAGAGCATTGGCCCATGCACCGAAGGGTCGTAGGTTCAATTCCCGGTCAAGGGCACATAATTGGCCTCAGTCAGGGAGTGGTGGGAGACAAACAATTGATGTGTCTCTCTCACGTCTATGTTACTCTCTCCTCCTCCCTTATCCTCTCCCTCTCTCTCAAAATGAGTGGGAAAAATATCCTTGGGTGAGGACTAACAACAAACAAGAAGTCCAGATGCGTTGCCAGGTGGGCAAGTGTGGAAGGCGGGTGGGCTTGCAGACGAGTTCCCTGCACAGAGGAGTGAATGCTTGAGAGGAGGGGCCAGAGCAAAGCCAGCCATTGTTGGTTTGGATTTCTGAGGGCAGGTGTCAGCTTTTCCTAAGAGCAGGAAGTCGGGCCACAGGGGGCACTGAGCAGGGGTCAGACCCAGCATTGTTTCAAGAGAAGATGGCAGCACAGAGAGGGAGCGCTCGGGTCCCGGGAGCTGGGTCCTTGCCCTGTGACGGGCGCGCCGGCCATGGCGCTTGCAGACTGGGCTCTGGTGCGTGTCTGTTAGTAGTGGGGTCCCCGAGGGCAGGGGCTCACCTGGACTTTCAGTGCCTGCAGTGGCGCGCACAACAGTCAGTGCGTAAAGGACGGCGTGTGTGTTATCCTGGCGGAGAGGGGGAGGACCCTCCTGCTCTTGAGGTGAGCGCAGCGGCGGGACTTGCCTGGCGGTGTTTTGGGCTCCTCTTGAGCCTAACATGCTGTCTGGTCCTGCCATGTGCGGTATGGAGAGAACTGCCTGGGGTCATTCGAAATCTCTTTATTGTGAAAATTCCTAACTGTTCCTTGGCAGCAATATGTCCTTCCAACCAAACATGGTAAGGGTAGCCAGCATTTATGTTCAGCAGAAGTTTTACTGTTAAGTGTTGGCTTTAGTAACCTGAGAGCACTATCTCTGTCTCATTTGACAGTTGAATTCCATATTGTCGGGAGGGAGGTTGGTGTGTCATTGCCTGGAGGCCTAACAGATATGCAAACCTCTGTTGTCATTTGGCTGTTGTTTATCTCATTAAAAACTTGACAGAGAACCGGCCATCCTGAGCTGTGGGAACAGGGCAGGTCCTTCTGTCTTCTCTGGACGGAGGGAGGGCGCGGAGGAAGAAGGCCTCATTTCCCCCTGCGCACGCTGTCTCCAGGCTAGCTGGCTGTCTCCTTTGTTAGAATTGAAGATTGGCCCCCACTGCCAGCCCTGTTCACCAGGGCACAGCCTTTGGGGGCTTAGTCTGTTGGGTTGGGCAGGAAGGGGCTCCTTGGCAGTGCGTGGTGCAGCCTGTGGACGGCTGCTCCCAGTGCAGTAAGTGTAAGGTCTGACTGCAGGCGTGTGCGCGGAGCTGTCTGCTGGGCCTCAGTACAGACTCCCCGGGGCCACTGCATTCCTCAGCCGGTGACCTTCCTCCACCTTGAGAGCCAGCAGTCAGTGAGGATCTCCTGATCTTTACCAGTCAGTCTCCCTCCCCTGCCCCGCACTTCCTTCTTGCATTCTCTAAGGGACCTTGAGGTCACGTCAGGTTCACCTCGGTCTCCAGTTCCTCATTTACATCCATCTGCAAAGTGCCTTTGCCCGTAAGGTGACCGTGAACTGGACATGAGCGGCTGCGGCCGTCACTGGGCCCCCCAGCATTCTCTGCCTAAGCTACCTCCTCTCGGGGCACAGACTGCAGAACTCGTGTGTCCGGACCTGACCCACCACTCACCCGCCCGCAGGTCTCTGCCTACCCTGGCTCACACGGAATCCCAGCCATGGCAGGCAGCATGTACCCGGGGCAGGCAGCCCTTTTGGACCAAACAGATGCGTGGAATCACAGACCCCAGGAGATGTCCATGTGGCAGCCCAGCGTGGAGGTAAGCTTCCGTTCGTTACTGACCAAGCTTTGCCCAGGGGCCTTTCCTCCTCAATCCTGGGGTGGCTTGATTTGGTGACCTACTTCTCAGCTCAGGAGGCTCCTTTACTCAGTGCTTTCTGGGGCCGGGAATCTTCCTTATTAGAGGAGGGACGCCACCGGCATTAGCCCCTTCGTCTGGAAGGCAGACCCCAGATTGAATGGAATTGGCTTGGAGCTGAGGAAGGAGCAGGCAGACGAGCTGCCAGTGCTGTTACCTCTGTCGTGGAGTCCTGATCACCCCCAGATCATCCACTGCCCGCTAGGACTGGCGCATCTGTTCACGGAGGCTCACTTCCTCCGAAAAGAGTCTCCCTCTGGTGGCGCTGAGCTAGAGGTTGTAGACTTTCTAAAGACGCTTGGCATGCATCAGCCTGCAGCCCTAGGAAAGTCACTCCCACAACCGTGTACGCCACCTGTCCCACCACCTTGCTTCCTCCTGGGAAGACAGGGAAGACGTAAGAAATCCCCGGTAGACCTGAGAGCCGCCGTGCCTTCTGCCCTCAGGACCCTGCGGCGCTGGACCTGCGCGGGATCGGACAGGTGCTGCCCACACAGCTGATGGAGGAGCGGCTGATCCGGCAGCAGCAGGAGATGGAGGAAGACCAGCGCTGGCTGGAGAAAGAGGAGAGGTTCCTGGTAATGCGTTTCGGAGATGTCCCTCCGCCCGTAGACCTGCTGGGGCCTGGGGTAGAGGTTCCTCTTTCCCAGAGCAGGAGAGCTGGCCGCCCTCCCGCTTCCTGAAACGGCCGTGTGGGGTTGGCTTTCCTGGAGTCCCTGTCTCAGTGTCGGTGTCTGAGGGTCGCAGTGGCCTGTAGGCTCAGAGGTGGGAGTGTTTCTGTGGCCTCTGTGTTACTACCGGACTGACAGACACAGCTCCGAGGTGTCAGCCTGCGCACAGACAGCCGTCACTGACAGCTGCCTGTCGCTGAGACGGGTGTCTCGTTCTGATCGAACGTGTTGTTGTGTGTTTCTGTGTGTGCACATGCAGTTGGTGGTTAGGAATTGTCTTGGGTGTTCCGGTAAATGTCACATGACATGTCAGTGGCCGGTTCCCTTGGATTTTCCGAATGCACAGCTGTTGCTCCCCGCCTCACTCGGTGTTTCTCAGACACGTGCCCTTCTCTCCTGGCTAACGTCAGTGTGAAGTAGCTCCTTGCTGGCCGCCTGCTTTTGTTTTAAAGGTAGTGCCTCTAATGGTTTTCTCCGTTAAGAATAACTTGGTGTATTTGTGCCGGACATTTTAAATATATTGAAGCGGCGGTGGTGTTTTTAATAAAACTTTGGCCCTGGCTGGTTTTGCTCAGTGGTTAGAGCGTTGGCCTGCGGACTGAAGGATCCCAGGTTCTATTCCAGTCAAGGGCACCTGCCCGGGTTGCAGGCTCCATCTCCAGTAGGGGTGTGCAGGAGGCAGCCAATCAACGATTCCCTCTCATCATTGATGGTTCTGGCTCTTCCTCTCTGAAATAAACAAAAATATGTATTTTTTTTAAAAAGAAAAAGGAAAGAAAACTTTAAAAGGTTTAACCTGAGTTATCTGGAGCGTTTTGCTTGGGTTTCTGCTGGTCCTGCCTCCCAGAGAGAGCGCCCTCTTCAGGCATAGGTGAGCCCTCTTTCCAGGCCGGCTTATTCTGTGTGCGGTGTTCCATTGGGAGTTAGAATGGATGCTCATTGGAGAAGCATTTGTTTCTTGTCACGGCTTCTTGGCTTCAGGACCAGCACAGTGCTGGTTCCTCAGGTACACTGTGATTGCCACACTCCGGATTGGTCTTCGCTAGGGCCGTGTGGCGGGTGGTGGGGCTGAGAGTAGCAGGCCGTGAAGACGGGGCCGCCTGCAGTGACAGGACAGAGAGCGAGGAGATGAGACCAGGAAGCCTTCCTTCCGCCGGGCATTTTAATGGGGTCTCTGCAGCATGGTCCCCCCACTGCCTCGGTGATGTTCCTAAAATGCAAGTCTGACCATGAGTCTCTGGTGTCAAGTCTGCGGGAGCTTCCCCAGGAAAGCCTCCTCCTGCCCCTCCTTTCTTCCCGTCCTCCTGGGTCAGCCCGATTGTGACAGAGCACTGAGCACCGAGGGGAGGGCAGCCCCAGGTCATTGGGGAGGCTGAGCCGCTAAAATGGCAAGAGCGACAGCCCCAGAAGATCTGGGAGGAACATTCCAGGGAGAGGGCATGCCAAGCACCAGGACCCAAGGCGAGCTGGGAAGGAGCCAAGTACGGCTGAGGGGGGGAAAGACAGCCCAGAGGCCAGAGCGCAGGAATGAAGGGGACAGACCACACAGGGCCTCGGGCCATGCAGGCGGGGAGCGGGGAGCGGGCCGGGGGCAGGGCCTGGCTGTGGTGGGAAAACGGAGCAGTTTGGCACTCTGAGGTCCTTCCCATCCTGACTCCTTCCAGCCGGCATTACGAGAAGAACTTAGTCTTTGGAGAGTTAAAAACCCTTGTTACTGGGACCCTGCATTGTTTTCTGTCTTCATGCTTTAATTTCTTAGCCTGTGAAGTACTTCACTCCCGCCACATGTGCGGGTGATGCTTTCCTCATAGTGGGGAGAGGATGACATGAGGCAGTGGAGGGAGAGCACCCCATTAATTTTCAAAGGGCTTTTTTCGCTCTTCCTCGATTTGAGCTCCATCGCTGCCATGAGTTGCATCGATGAGAAGCTAGACTCCTAGGTCATGTGTCCCAAAGGTCCTCCTGTGACACAGCGTTCCTACAGACAGTCCCAGAATGCCGCCTCCGCTCCTGACCCCAGGCTGAGGAAGACATGGAGTGAGAGGTTTCTGCCGAGGAGCCCGAGGGGATCGCTGCTCGGGAGCTGCAGAGCCTTTGATTGGATTTCTCGGCTGTCCTGGGGAACCTTCACTCTCTGTCGTTAGCGGGTAGCTAACGGCCATGGAGTGTGCGTGCCCTGTGTCCTGAGGACGCAGACCCTGCCAGTCGTAAACGCTGCCTCTAGGGCCGCGGGCTTTCCAAGGCAGGCCTGTCCTCTGTCAGCGCGGGCCAGCCTCCGGTGTCGTCAGAGCTGTTGTGCGCCTGCTGCCCTGGCTCAGTAAAATAAACCCAGTTACTGGAAAGGGGACATTTTCAAAAAGATACACCACACACAAGCCAGGCTTTTCATTATGAACTTTAACGGTCCCAACTATTTCAGACTGCTCTAGAAGTTGAGTGTCTTCCGTGACTCATGCACGCACAATACATAGAAAGCTCTCGCTGGCACCCATCGCACATGTGCATTTCCATCTGTCATTGTCAATCATTTGGTGACACTTCTATCATAGAGAAAGGGTGACTAGTGATATTAAAAATTTCCCCCTAATTAATTTCCTTTCAGTGTGCACGAATCTGTGCACCGGGCCACTAGTTGTGAATAGCTCCTGCCTTTTCTTGAAGACTGGTGTGTGCCAGGACCCCCCAGATGTGTGTGTCCATTAGCACACACTCCTGCAGCGGCAGCCTCTTGCCCAAAGTCACTCAGCCAGGACCCACGGCACTTGTGTATGGTGGCGTGTCCACTCCCTTCTCATCCCTGCTCAGCTGTGTCCTTCCGAGCCAGCAGAATGCAGAGCTGGGAGAGAGCACAGTCCCAGGCTGTTCCCAGCACTCTTCCCGGTTGGGCGTGACTTACACACAGAGTACCTTTGTTCCTTATTTCTGTCGCTGCGCGCACAGGAGCTTTCTGATGGGATACTGGGCTCAAGACAGAAGTCTAATTTTAAGTGAGAACGCCTGCCTCCATAAAGCCTGCTTTGTGTCCGCAGACAGGAAGTACATATTTGAGCTGTTTTTCCTCTCAGAGCTGCCCCGGGACAGCCTGTCTGCAGACCACTCTGCTGCTCGTTCTGGCTCTGGCTCTGGGCCAGGCCACATCCCCTGTGCTTCTTCCTGACGTCAGGTGCCAGGTTTGAAAGTGAAGCAGAGTAGTTCAAGGTGGCGGGACTTGGGAGTGAAAGTCTGAATATGAAGTGTTTGGAAGGATAGTGATGGGGAGTCAAGACCGAGATGGACCTGAGGGAGGCCGTGTCCCTAGGACCTCAAGTGCCTTGGCTCTCACTGCTGCTGAGCAGAGGGAGTGTGCGTGCCTGTGTGGTGCCAGGAACTGGAGGTAACCCACCTGCCCCTTGACCACGAAATAGGCAAGATTCACACAGCAGGTGCTGTGCCACCGCCGTGAGGATGGGCTCCACCAGGTGCAGACGCACAGGCGCACATTGAGTCCACACGTGAAGCTCAGCCACTCGCCCCTGTGGCCGGGCGGAGGCAGGTGTCCACTGGGCAGGAGCCTGCTGGGTCATCCTGATCTGGGTGGTGTGTTAGGCAGGGACACACACACACACACATGAAAACGCGTGGAGCTTTACACTGACCATGTGTACACATGGTCATAAATGTTGTACCGAAATAAAACACAATAGATGCTGCACAGTGGGGACAGTAACAGAGAGCCCCCACCGTTATGTGGCACCTGTTAGTGTGAGAGGTCAGCTGGAGCCGCCTCCTTATCGGAGCCGCTCCTGTCCTCCGGTCCGGAGGGTCCTGGGTGGGAACAGGAGACTCACCTCTCCCGGGAGCAGGGAAGAGCCATCTCTTCCCTCTGCGGCCGCTGCTCGAGGCGGCTGGGCTCCGGTCAGGCACTGTCGGCCTGCGGGGAGCTCGGTCATGGCCACTCACCCGTGGACGCATGGTGAAGACCTGTCCCTTCCCACTGAAATCCCCCCTCGGGGAAGTATACCTTAGGGAACTGTTGAGTATAAAGAAATGAAAGCATGTCACTTCATCTTCTTCCCATGGACAGAAAATAGGTAGTTCTTGTAAGTACGTGAAATGCAGCTCCTTATTCCGACAGCAGACAATGGGCTTACGTGGCTCTCATTGCAGTGGAAAAGCAAATGAAACTCCTCCGCAGGTCGAAGGTGCTCCCGGCTCCTGTGTACTGACTGAGCTGCCACACCCTGCCTTTCCGCGCAGCTGCCTCCCTGCAGGCCTGCCTGCCCGGGGGCGTCAGCGGCTCCTGGAGCGTGTGCTGAGCACTGGCAGGTGCGCATTGCTGTGCCAGGCACCCATGGGCTCCGTCTCACCGGTGAGAGTGGGTTAGGGGCGTCATGCAGGTGGCTCTTCCCCATGTGTCCTCCCAAGTCCCAGTGGGGAGCCGTGCCAGGGCCTCTGACCTCATGGGCCGAGCGCCTCGTGAGAAGAAGCAGGTGTTCTCTGCCAGAAAGGGGGCACCCCCAGCGTAGCGTTTTGTTGGTGGACTTGGCTGCGTCCATGGTGGGAGAGACTCGCACCCAGCAGGCAAACTCACCTGCCGGGAGCAGCCTGGCAGCTACACCCAGAGCTTTCCAAACGCTGAAACCTCTGACTCAGTAATTCCATTCCTGCCTTGTCCCAGGGAAGTAATCGGGATTCTGCTCGGTTTGTACACAGCCTCCTACCACATTGAACTTGAAATGGCCCAGATGTTCCACTAACAGGAGGTGTAGGTTTATTGGACGCCTGATGCGGCAATAACTTAGTAATGTGCCAGTGTTAATCCAGTAAGGGTGGGAATTCTGTGGCTTTGTTGCCCTTTGTGCACATGTGCCTTTAAAAGAAGGGTGAGACGGAGCCCTTTCTTCATTACCGGCCGTGCCTGTGGCGTGTCCTGGACCCCGGCCTGCCCGGTGCAGCACTGCGCAGCCGGGTTCGCCAGCTGCCTCCGGGGGGAGCCATCATGACCCGGTCACAGGCCCCTGGGAGCATGGGCCCGGGGGGGCCGTGTGGTGGCAGCGCGCTGGTGGCTGGAGGCTGCTGCCCGGTGGTGTGGACCGAGCCTTTATCCTAGTGTTCGTGCCGTTTCTGTGCTCATTTCCGTTAACCACGTCTGTTTGGTTCTGTACTGTGGGTGCTTGAGGGGAACTTGCCATCGGACCGCTGCTGGGCAGGGCCAGGGCCACGCAGCTCGCCCCGTGGGCGCAGGAAGTACGCTGCTCCTTTTCTTCTGGGGGTTCTGGGTGCGGGGAAGGCTCTGCTCTGCTGGAGGAGGGGCCGGGTGGGCTGGGGAAGGGGGACCGGTTCGGGGGCAGGCCCAGCCCTATTTGTGAGCACGTGGGATTGTCATCTCTGGCTTTTGAGAATTTTTCCAAAACTGGGGCCCAGTCTGCTCCCTTAGTGAGGACAGTGCGCTGAAGAAGGAAGGAACCTAACCCAGACTGAAGCTGTGGTTCTGTTTTCACTCCAGAAACCGGATGTGCGGCTCTCCCGCGGCAGCGTGGACAGGGAGGACGGCAGTCTCCAGGGCCCGGTGAGCAGGGCGTGGGCTGGTGTGTCCTTGTCGTGGCACCTCCGAACCCAGCCACCTACTCTGTGGTCCCGCACCCTGTGTCCCTGCTCAGACGCGGCGGTCCCCACCCCGCCACCAGTGCCGTCTCTTCCGTGGGAGCTGGGCTCTGCGCCCTGGAGCAGCAGGGCCTCGCGCTGATGTTGACAGGCGCACGCTGAGTTCCCAGCTCCCCCTGCACGCTCACAGCCCTTTCAGTCACAGGACACTTGCTGCCGGTCAGGCCTTTCCTGGGTGTGTCGGGGGAAAGCCTCCCAGCTCCCGTGAGGAGCCAGCTTAGGATTCACCCAGTTACTTAGAACCTGCTAGAACTCTCCCTGGTCCTTGGGAGGAGGGAAATGTTTTGATAGGACTCCATCGGCAGGTGTGTGCTTACAAGAAGCACGTAAAGGAGCGCCCAGGAGCAGGGGCCTGTGCCCGCTAGGTGGCAGACATGTGCAGCCAGTGTCACCGGCGGCTCCGTTAGGCAGAGCTATTGGCTCATATCGGCACACAGGCCAGGAGCTGTCGCATCTGCACTGGGACGCCAGTGCCCTGCGGTGGCCTGGGGGCATGGCGTGCTCAGTGTCAGCCCAGGAAGGCTGGTGCGGCGGGCCCTGCTGGCAGAGACGCATCCTTAGTTCATGAGTCAGGTGATCCGCCCACCACCTGACAGTCCCCCTTCCTCCTGTGCGGGGAGCACTCTGTCCTGAATACAGAGAGAGAGGGGCTCGGCAGGATATAGCCCTTGCCCCGGGACCTGCTGTGAGCGTGACAGGAGGGCTTGGTGAGGAAAGCGGGCTGGCATCCGTGTGTGACACAGCACACAGGCAGGTGTGGAAGGAACGAGTAACTGCTGAGGTGGGCCAGCTGAGGGCGAGGCAGAAACACTCCGTGGGACGTGGCACAAGAAGGGGCCACCGTGACCTCATAGCACTGGCTGCACCAGGCCTGGGTGACAGGAAGGGGGTCGTCCTGGTGGGGAAGGCGCTTAGTCCTGCAGGTGCTGCGCTGTGTGCCCCACACTGCGTCCTCAGCACCCCGTGAAGGCAGGCCCTGCCCACACCCACCCCACACCCACACCCACAGGTGGGCGGACCGAGGCTTGTGGGAAATGCACCCAAAGCCGCCCGCTGCCGCGGTTTAGGCTGTGGCTGCTTCCTTCCTGGGGCTGAGGCACACGGGACCGTGTCCTCAGCTACAGGTGGCCCCCTGATCTGCCGGCGGCTGCCGCTCTCCGCCTTCAGGCTGTGACTGCTGAGGGTGCCGGGCGGCCCTTTGGCCGGAGGGCAGTGGTGATCCACCGGCCTGACCTAGTGAGCCCTGAGAACAGGCGCCCCCTCAGCTGTGTGAGGACAGCAATCTGCATTCCCGACTGGGCCCCGGTGTGTGAGTGTTCGCCTTAGTCACTAATGGGACACGGAAGCCACCACAGCTGAGTGAGTCCTCAGGGCCCCAGCTGGAGACACGTCCCACCAGAGCACGCCCGAAGGCGGTGCTCCCGCAGGCCTGCCCTCCCAGGCAAAGCTGCGTGTCTGCCTCGCACAGGGCCTGATACCTGCACTGCCGAGTGCATCAAGGAAGTCCTGAGAACAGAACATTCTCGTTGGTTGAACTTTCCTGCTACCTAGGAATCCACCAGCACACTCTTCCTGCTTCAAACGTGTGCGTGTTACTGCCGGGCCAGCACAGCCATGTCTGTTTCCAAAGGCTGGGCCGCTCACTCCTCCGCAGCTGCTCTGGCCACCGGGCCTTCCACACCTCTGCTGCCCACCCCCGTCTGCGCGGGCTCACGTTCTCAAGGGCCAGCCGGTCCCGGCACACACAGGCCTTCGGGGGACCAGGACATGGCCCCCGGGGGCGTAGACTCCCCTGCTCTGGCATCATGTCCATGGTTGTCAGATGGCAGTCAGAGCCTGCAGGGAAGCTGACTGCACAGCATCTGGCTCCCTGGCGGGGCTCCTAGGAGGATTGCAAATTGGCTGTCGCAGTCCTCTGTCCCCGTTAACATGACTGGCTTGTGTGCCTGCCCGACCCCAGCTGAGGCCTAAAGCAGCTGCCCTCGTCTTGGTGGTGTCTGGAGCCAGCATTCGGCACCTGGTTCCAGGGGGGTGGCTGGTGAGGGCCAGTGGCTGTGACGCTGTCGCGCTGACCCACCTTTCTGTCCCTACAGACTGGAAACCAGCACATTTACCAGCCGGTGGGGAAGCCAGGTAAGTGGAGAAGAAATCCTATCAAGCTGATTGTGTGACGTGGAGGGAGCGGGTTTTCATGTACACGTTTCTGAGCTTTTTGTCACGGTCCCCTCTGCAAGCCACAGCGACTGACGGTCCCCAAAGGCAGCCCACACCGAGAAGGCTGCAGAGGGACCTGGTGCCCGGCACCGGAGGGCCACGCGTGTGCGTGTTCCTTACTGAGACGCGTTCCCTTCTCCAGATCCTGCAGCTCCACCAAAGAAGCCGCCACGCCCCGGAGCCCCCGGCCACCTGGGCAGCCTTGCCAGCCTCAGCAGCCCCGGGGACAGCTACAACGAGGGCGTCAAGGTGGGCAAGGAGGGACTCTGCTCCGGGTCTGGTGGAGGAGCCTGCACTGCGGGTGGGCCGGGGGCTGCAGCTCGGGGTGGTTCCCAACCCCGCAGAGTCAGAAACGCCTTTACCGGGATCCTCCCCTTTCTCTCGGACAGACCCAGGCCTCGCTCAGCTCCTGGCTGTCCCAGCGTCTTCTCTGGCCAGGCAGAGTGTGGCTTTGGAAGGAAGTGGGGGTGGCTTATGGTTTTAAAAACGGATTAAATCAGGACTCGGGGTGACCTGAGGCCCGTCTCCAAGCCCATCACATGGCCGAGTGGGAAGGGCCGCTGTTTCCCCAGCAGAACGGCTTTGGAAGCAGCTTGCACTGCGTACAGCCGCCCGGACGAGGGACCTGAGGCTCCAAACCTTCCCTCCCGCCACCTGCCCGGGGCCGGAGCAGGGCCCTGGTGTGCTCGGCTCCCGGGACCCTGGGAGGGGCTCTCCTGTGGTGCCATGTAAGGGCGGTCCCTGGGCTGGGCCTGGTGCTCGGCAGCCCTGCTGGTACCACACCAGGTGTCCTTGGGGGCAGAGACAGGAGGACACAGCCACAGCCCTTCTTAGCATGGGTCCTTGACCCGTGAGAGGGGGGAGTGGGTGAGTGAGCATCGCTCGTTTTCTTAAGCCTGGAGAGCGAGCTTCCCCAATGGCTGAGGGGGCAGCGTGAGCAGATGAGGTGCAGCTCTCACGGTGGGAGTGGCGTGTAGCAGGGGTGGCATGAAGAAGCCCAAGTCTGCCGGGGTAGCGTGCGTCCTTCCTGTGAATGTGGGTGTGCGGGAGCAGTGAGGGGGGAGCACGCGTCCTGCCGGCTGCCAGCGGTTCGGTGCAGGCCCTCACATCAGCTGAGAGCACGACTGTGGTCACGGAAACACTCGACTTGAGCTGGGTGGAGTGTGACCCGTCCGGACAGCTTTGAGACCAGTGACGGACGTCCGAGCTCTCGCGCGAGCGTCCCTCCGGCACCGGACTGCCGTGACGGGAGTGGCAAAGGCAGCGCAGGGGAGGCGCCGCCCTGCCGGCTGCGAGCTGGTGCTGCTGCGGGCTCTGCCGGAGGCTCCTCAGGGAGCCCTTCACCTCGTCCCGTCCCGGCAGCACAGGTCCTGCCCTCCCAGGGCCCTGCAGGGCGCGCAGCCCCGAGGGACCCCCTCGGGCCCCCCAGCACAGGGCAGACAGTGGGCCGAGACGCGCAGAATCCTGAAGCCCCAGCTCCTGCTTGAGAGAGATGTAAGGAGAGGACGGGGCGCTCCCCCAGTCAGCTTTCCCAGGGCCCCTGCTTCCGGCTGCAGGGAAAAGCATTAAGTCACACTTGCGAGTTTGAGTGCCGGGGCCAGCGCAGCGCTTCCGGGAGCAGTCCTGCTGCAGGACTCGGGCCCGTGGGCACTGCTGGTCTTTTGGTTCAAAAGAAGGGTTTCTGCTTTTGTTTTAAAATGGGCTCCTGGGTCTTTAAGCCCAGCCCGGTGCAGTAGTGTACTGTGCTGCGGCCACTTCCGGGGGCTGTGGCTCAGGGTAGGGGTGCGGTTCCTCTGAGTCACTTGGAGGCCCAGGTGGCTCAGTGGTCACAAGCATCCTCCCTCCTTTTTGAAGGCCCTGGTTCTTCTGATTCTTGAACAGCTGGCAGATTGTCCTTCTCGGGCTTTGCATGTTGTTTCCGCCATTATTTTGTGGAAACAGGCGTGTGCGTGGCAGCCCACGGGCTGCGGGGCCTGGGCGGTGTGCGGCTCTGCCCGGACGCGCGGCTGAGAGCAGGCAGACGGGCTCCTGCTCGCCCGCTCGTGTGGACGGGTTTGTCTGCTGCCTGTATTAATACTGTTTTTCTTTTTTCCCTCTCTGATAACCCTTTAACCTTTCCTCACCTTCCGTTCAACAATAGCCGTGGAGGGTAAGCACATCTTGTCTGTGTGTCTGTCCAGCTCTGTATCACACCCAGCGCTCTGCATGTGACTGGACCAGAAATCGGGGTCTGGGGCTCCTGTGCTTGGTTCACAGCAGCAGCATTGGTGGCTCCCAGAGCGAGAGACAGGAGCACCTCTGCAGGGGGGACTACTGTCTTTAGTCTCCAGTCCAGATGGGGCCCCTGAGTCCGGACTCCTGGGCAGCCGCGACTCGGCCAGACCGTGCTGACTGAGTCTCTGGAGAGACCAGTGCTGTGCTTGGGAGATCCCCAGAGGCCTGTGCAGCTCGGTGCCCAGCGGGGCGGCCCCCTTACGGGCCCTGCCTATGCGGGCTGAGCCGCCGCTCCCCAAAGCGCTGCGCTGGCTCAGGCACCAGCACGGCCTCTCCGGAGCTGCGTCTGCACACATGGTGTCCGCTCTGTCACCTGCCAGGAAAGCTCCCCACTAGGCGGCCTGGGGCGCCGTGGAGTCCCTGCTGCAGGACTCGGCCCGTGGGCTCTGACGGTCCCATGCAGAGCGCTTGGCCCTCAGCCCTCTGAGCCGCGGCACGTGCACACGCTTCTCTGGGGCAGTGATTCCGGGGCATCGAATCGCTAGTCGGAGAGAATCGGGCTTTTAGTGTCTTGTGTGATTCCACCGCATCTCCTTTAACTGAGCTCAAAGTCAGAAAGAGGAGGGTCTCGTGTGTGTGTCACTCGGGGTCATGTCACTGTCATCCTCCAAGTGAACTTGACCCCAGAGAACAAGAGTCCGCCTTCAGTCTGCTTTGACCTCTTTTAAAGACGCTCCCTAACCAGCCCGGGGCACGCCGCCCGGGACGCAGAGCGTAACTGCTTCTGTGCCGGCAGCTCCAGCCCCAGGAGATCAGCCCCCCGCCCACGGCCAACCTGGACCGCTCCAGCGACCGGGTCTACGAGCACGTGACGGGCCTGGTGAAGGCGGTCATCGAGATGTCCAGCAAGATCCAGCCCGCCCCGCCCGAGGAGTACGTCCCCATGGTGAAGGTGAGCCACCGCGTGTCCCGCCCCGGGGAGGCGTGTCCTGGCCTCGGCCGGCTGCTCCTGTCCCAGCACCTGGGTGGGATGTCCTGGTGCGGCCGGTGCTCCACAGTTGCTGGCGGACCTGAGGCTGGCCAGCGAGGCCTGTGACAGCCGTGGCACCTCTTTGCCAGCCTCCTGGGCCTAGAAAGCACCCGGGGAGAAGGGATTCAGGGAGCACTCTGCGGAGTGTGTCGCCCACCCTCACTGGCAGGGGGCACGTCTGACCTAGGAGGGCAGGCAGTTGGCGGCGTAGTGTGGGTGGGAGTGTCAGGTGACAAGGAAAACGGGCTCCAGCCTTCCTCTCCCCGCACCTTCCTCACACGAGCGTCTCCGCACCCCGTGCCCCAGGGCAGTCGAGCCCTGGATCAGATCAGAACCTTTGGGGGAACTTAAAAGGTGGGGCTCAGGGAGCGAGGGAAAGAACACAGAAATGTGCCGAAACCGGTTTGGCTCCGTGGATAGAGCATTGGCCTACGGACTGAAGTGTCTCAGGTTCGATTCCAGTCAAGGGCATGTACCTTGGTTGCGGGCGCATCCCCAGTGGGGGGTTGTGCAGGAGGCAACTGATCAATGTTTCTCTCTCATCGATGTTTCTAACTCTCTACCCCCTCCTTTCCTCTCTGAAAAATCAATAAAATATATTTTTTTTAAAAAGAAAAGAAACAGAAATGTCGTAACTGGAAGGGCAGCTTGGTGCTGGTTGATGCCTGTGTGGCCTGACTGTGTGTCCTGTCCCTTAGGAAGTCGGCCTGGCCCTGCGGACGCTGTTGGCCTCTGTGGACGAGACCATCCCCGGCCTGCCGGCCAGCACGCACCGCGAGGTAGGCCCGGCACCCGCTCTGGGGCTCGTGGGCGGGAAGGGGCCAGCCCTGCTGCTGCCCTTTAAACCGGCCGGCTTCCGGGCTGTGTGGTGACCCTCCCAGCTCTGTCCTTGCTCCGGGAGGCCGCAGAGGTGGGCCCCTGACAGCCCTGGGCTCCCTCCCCTGCCTCCAGGTTGAGATGGCCCAGAAGCTGCTCAACTCGGACCTGGGCGAGCTCATCAGCAAGATGCGGCTGGCGCAGCAGCACGTGCTCACCAGCCTGCAGCAGGAGTACAAGAAGCAGATGCTGACGGCCGCGCACGCCCTGGCCGTGGACGCCAAGAACCTGCTGGACGTCATTGACCAGGCCAGGCTGAAGATGCTGGGGCAGGCGAGGCCGCACTGAGCGCAGCCCGCTCCCGACTCCTGTGCACCACAGCCCGGCGCCCGGCGCTTCTGATGACTGACGGCTGGTGGATGAGCTCATCGTTTAACCACATTTTGGTTTGGGGTCATTTTTTGTTGTTTCTTGAATCATGGTGTTCAGAAAAGTCCGGATCCAAAATGTGGCGTTTTTCTAAGAATGGAACTGTCCGGGAGAAGCGTTAGGCCGTGCAGAGACTGTGGCAGGAAATGGCCGGACTTGCTGGAAGCGAGAGGCGGAGGGGCGGAGCAGTGTGCGGACTGGCCCGCTGTGGGCAGACGCCCTCCGGCCGCACATGCTGCCACACCGCGTCATGAGGGCGGCTGAGTGCGTGTCCGGAAGGCGTGTCCGAGGAAAGCGCCACCGCCCTGGCGCCTGCGGCCTCGCGCTCGCGGGCTGGGCCCGGGGACAGCTGTGGAGCACGGACCCCGGAACGGCGCGCCCGTTTGTAGGGATGTTCTCGGCAGAAACGCTGTGCCAGCGCCGCCCGCGCCTTTTCTATAATTTATACCGAAAGAGGAAAGCCATGCTGACTGCCCGCCGCCGCCGAGTACTAACCTTCCTCGTGTGTCTTCCCGGGGCAGCAGGCCGGGGCGGTGGCCTCGGAGGACTGCCCTCCCTGCAGTGTGCCGGGGGATGTAAGTTATTCTCAGGAAGAACATGACCTGTACAGTGACTGACCTATTAAACAGGTGTTACCGCAAAGGCTGTGTGCGTGGCCTTTCTTTTCCTTCAGACACGAACAGTCCCGGGACTTGTCAGGGGAGGTCCCCGTCCTTCTCTCCGCCCCTGCAGACCCTGGAGGCTGCTGCCAGGGGGACGGCCGGTCTGAGTCACCCGTCCGCAGCCAGGGCGGCCCGGGGGGTGCTGGTGTCCTGGTGTTCCAGCCTCGGGGCCACCTCTTCCTGAGGCCACGGGGAGGGGTGGTCAGTGTGTCTCCCAGACCTGCCCTGGCCGTGGGCGGGGCATCTAGGGCGGGATTGGAGGGTCAGGCCGGAACCAGGGTGCCCAGGTGGGGGGCCTGGAGGACACACCCGGTGGGCACGGTGTTCCTGTGTGCACACCTGTTCCTGCAGCTTCTGTGACGCTGGACCCATCTGGACCAGTTAGACTGCGTCCTCCAAGCTCTCCTCTCTGGTGTTCCTCTGTCTCCGAGTCCGTTTCCTCCTCACAGAAGCCACGGGGGCTAAGACAGCGGGTCCGAGGTGACTGCCCAGACGTGACCAGGGCTCACAGGGGGCGGCCCTGTGGACTGCGGGGAGCCGAGCAGCTTGCCCGGCCGCCACTCGCTAGCAGCAGGGCCCTCTCCCTCCCCGCTGTGACAGCCTCACCTCAGGGCTCCGGGTTGGCGAGGCCCGGGTGGGGGAGAGGCCTCTCCCAGGAGCTCACACTGGCGTCAGTGATGACTGGAGTCGAGCTGCAGTGCTCTGGACCCACCACCACCTCAGGACACAGCGCTGAAACCCGCTCCCGCTTCCTCGTCCTTCCGCACTGGATGGGCATCCGTCAGTCCTGTCTCACTTCATCTTCTCCAGTACTCAGCGTCAGCCACAGCGGCCGTGGGCGGCTGCTGGGTGGGCATCGGCCGTACACTGAAGGGTGACTGCGGGGCGCTGGCCGAGGGCGTGCACCCAGGTTGCAGGTGTGATCCCCAGCCTGTCGGGGCGCATGTGGGGCGGCACCCATCAACCTGTCTTTCTCACATGGCTGTTCTCTCCCTGCCCCCAACTCTTTCCCCTTCCACTCTCCCTAAAAAATCAATGGAATAAGATATCCATCCTCAGGTGAGGATTAGCAGCAGCAACTGGCATGAGATGTGAGCTTCCCGAGCAGTCGTTCTTCTGTTTTTAAACATTTGCTTAAATTCCACAAGATTTCTTTAAATCCATAAGAAATCCAGTCATGGTGTGTAACAAAATGAGTGGAATTACTTGGTTTTTATACTTGATTCTCATGTAATTGATCTCTAAAGCCCAAAGCACACGTGAGTCCTAGCAGTCGCCCTCATGTACCAAAGGAAGCCGCGCCTGCCCTGGCTTCGTGCTGACTGTCCTGGTGCGTGTCCCACGGTGCTGTTAGCGGCACTGCCTGCATCCTAGCTCTCCCAGCATACTGATCCGCACATTGGTTACCTTGGCCCCTATCAGCTTCACCCGGACTGCCTCTAGAGCTGTCTTCTAAACGTTCATTCTGAATCTAATTCTCAGTAGATTCTGTAATATTCCTGGAAATGCATATTAGCACTTGAGTTATAAAATGAAGTCACCTTCCAATCAAAAGTTTGGCCCTCACCGGTTTGGCTCAGTGGATAGAGAGTCAGCCTGTGGACTGAAGGGTCCCAGGTTCAATTCTGGTCAAGGGTATGTACCCTGGTTGCGGGCACATCCCTGGTGAGGGGTATGCAGGAGGCAGCTGATTGATGATTCTCTCTCATCGATATTTCTAGCTCTCTATCCCTCCCCTTCCTCTCTATAGAAAATTAATAAAATATATTTTAAAAAATAAAAACATTTTATTGGCAGTGGTGTAGATGAATTAATATGTTTATATGTCCCCAAGCCTTTCTTCTTGTATTGGGTGGCACATGTGGCTCTAAATGGACATTCTATATCAGTTGAGTGTTGACCTATGAACCGGGAGATCATGGTTCAATTCCCAGACAGGACACGTGGGGTTGCGGGCTCAATCCCAGTTGGGGGGGCGTGCTGAACGCAGCTGGTTGATGATGCTTCTCTTTCATCAATGTTTCTTTCTCCCCTCCTCTCTAAAATCAATATAAAATCCATACATGTTTACCAGGAAAAAGAAACTAAAGACTTCAGAGTTTAGCTTTGTGGGCACTATGACTACAGGAGGGCGCTGTGGGCCCCAACCCTTCCCTTGACCTCCCCAGCGTGTTAAGGACTGGACAGCAGCACCGGAGGTGCAAACCTGGGGCTGACTAGCCAGGGGACCCTGCAATCTTAGCAGAGGGGCCCCAAATCCAGAGCAGTGAACGAATGAGCCAGGGAGCGAGCCTGGGCCCCAGAGGACCCGCCCGTCGGTCCTGTGGGATAGCATCCCCGTTGGATGAGGACGTGGAGGGGCAGGCGGAGCGGGGAGAGGTTAGGGCCGGTGTGCGGACCCCGGAAGTGGGTTAAGGGGACCGCTGCGGCGGGAGGCCACGCAGGGACGGGGAGGAGGGCAGGTCGGGAGGAGGAAATGGGTTTGACTTTATGGCCCCGGAGCTGTGGGGGGGAGTGGGGGCTGAGGAAAGAGCCGTGTCCACCCACCGGCCTGGAGGCTGCGGTCCGGAGGGGCGGGCGCTGGCGGACAGTCCCCGCAGCGGGTGGGAGGGCCCCGCTGGCGCTGGCGGGCGGGCCGGGCTGCGATGGCGCCACTCCACCAGCAGGGGTCGCGCGCGTCCTTCTAGGCGGGGAAGCGACACAAAGGAGCGCCCGGGATACTGTGCAGCCTGACCTTCCGCCAGGGGGCGCGGGGCCCACGCCGCCCCACGTGTGAGCTCAGAGCAGGGCTCCCCAAGACAGACGGCCGGCTCTCCGTGGGGTTCAGAGGCCAGAGGTCACAGGAGCAGCCGCAGGCCAGGCCTCTGGGTCTCTGGGGGGTTTCCGGAGCAACCTTCACCTCGTGGCACACATACACTCAACCTGACGCTAACACCAAAAACATTCTTTTTTGCCGATCTGACAGAAGATAGGTATCATTTTCATTCATTCGCACGGAGGGCCTCTGCTCTGTCGGCTGTTGTGGTTTTTTATCTGACGACCTAAGGGAAAGGGGTCAGTGCCCGGAGCAGGCGGGGTGAGAGCTGAACAGTTCTCGCAGCCGCCGTGGCTGGAGCTCTCTGGCCTGGAGGTTCGCGGACAGAACAGCACATGAAAACGTCTCGTTGTGAAATACAGCGAAGGCACAGCAAGTACCCCAAACTGATGCAGCCTGAGACACGTGCAGCCCGGGGAGAGAGACACCCCCCCACCCCCACCCTTCCCCGCCCAGAGCCCACCCATTGCTCTGACTACCTTGTCTTTACTTTTTACTGTCAATTACGCAGCCCTGAGCCTGGGTTTGGAGCCTTTAAAAATATATATATATATATTTTTTATTGCTTTCAGGGAGGAAGGAAGAGGGAGAGAGAGGAACATCAATGATGAGAGAGAATCATTGACCAGCTGCCTCCTGCATGCCCCCCACTGGGGGGCCCTCAACCCGGGCCTGTGCCCCAACCGGGAATCAAACCGTGACCTCCTGGTTCACAGGCTGATGTTCAACCCCTGAGCCACGTTGGTGGGGCCCGGGTTCGATTCCTGTCAAGGGCAGGTACCTGGTTGCAGGCTTGATCCCGCGTGTGGGAGGCAACCAATCCCCGTGTCTGTCACATCAACGCTTCTCTCTGTCTCTGTCTCTGCACCTCTCTTTCGCCCTCCAAAAACCAGTGGAAAACACACCCTGGGTAGGATGGTCAGAGGAAATGAAGGGAAAAGGGGAGGTGTGGGGGGGAGGCAGGCGGGGAACGTGGCTGAGGAGCCCTGGCAGCCGTGGCGCTGTGGCCGCGCGAGGGCCGGCCGCGGTCAAGTTCGCACTCTGGTCGGAAGCCAGCGCCCCGACATTCCGATTCCGTTAGTAACTTAAAAAAGAAAAGAAAGAAAAGCCAGGCGGAGATCTGGGGTCCGGCACCGGCAGCTCCGCGGCCCAGCGCGCCGTCCGGGCGGGAGACGAGGGGAGGGTGCGCCCCGCCCGCCCCCACCGAGCGGCCAAACGCGCTGCCCTCGCGGGCGGCTGAGCCTCCGGGCTTCTCCCCAGCTCCGCGGTGACGCCGCCCGGGCCCGCTCCGCCCCGAGGCCACGTCGCCCCTCTGAGTGGCTGCGGGGTCCCCCCATCACAGCCTCTTCCCGCCCCGCCCCGCCCGCCCCGCCCGCCGCGCCCGCCGCGGCCAGATCGCCGCCCGCCGGTCTCCAAGGCCCCGCGGGTCCCCGCCCGGGCCCCGGACGCGCGCGCGCCTGGCCCGCCCCTCCTCCCAGCCCCCTGGCCCCGCCCTCCCCGTTCCCTGGCCCCGCCCTCCCCGTTCCCTGGCCCCGCCCTCCCCGTTCCATGGCCCCGCCCTCCCCGTTCCTTGGCCCCGCTCTCCCCGCCCCTGGCCCCGCCCTCACCGGCACCTGGCCCCGCCCTCCCCGCCCTGGCCCCGCCCTCCTCCCTCCCTCCCTCCCCCGCCCTCCTCCCCTCCCCCGCCCGCCGCCTCCGCCGCCGCCCGGGCCGCGTCGGGTAAACCTGTTTGGCGAGGCGGCCGCGCCGGGGCGGATCGAGCGGCCGGGCTCCCTCGCGGCTCGCGGCGTCGGGGCCCGTGGCGCGCGCGCGGCCGCCCTCGGCCCCGGAGCCCTCGGCGGCGCCACCATGTACGCGGGAGCCGGCCCCGGTGAGTGGCGGTTCGCGGCCGCTCGCTCCTCCCGCGGCGGCGGCGGCGGCGGTTGGCGCGGGCCGGGCGGGCGGGCTGGGGCCGGGCCTGGGCGCGGGTCCGGGTCCGGGTCCTGGTTCGGGTTCGGGTCCGGGGGCGCGGGCCGGGCCTGGGGATCGGGCGGGCCGCGCGGACACGCAGACCGGCGGCCTCGGGCCGAGTTGTCGGGGCGCCCGCGCGGCCTGGGCCTCCGCTCCCGGCGCCGCGGGGCCCGCGGGCGGCGCTCCCTGGTCCGGGGCCGCGGGCGCCTGTAGGCCCGAGGCCGCGTCCGCCCCGCCGCCGGAGGCCGGATCGGGGCGCGGGCGCCGCCGCCGGAGGCCGGATCGGGGCGCGGGCGCCGAGGCGCGGGCCGGGCCGGCGGCGGGGCGGCGGGGCCTGGGTGTCGGTTCGCTGTCGCCGGCCGTTCCGCCGCCGGCCGGGCGGGTCTGAGGAACGAAGGCCGGCGGGCGGCCGGGCCGGGGGCGGGAGCGGGGGCGGCGCGCCCCCAGCCCAGGCTGCGAGTGGCCGCCGGCGCCGGGACGGGGAGCGGGGCGGGCTGCTCCCGGGGCGCCCCCGCCTCCTCCGGGAAAAGTTGTGGAAACTTCAGCGCGGAGCCAGCACCTCCTTTGTTTGGATGCGGCCGAGGCGCGACTGCGGGCCGCCCGGAGGGTCCGCCAGCACGTGGCCTCCGGCTCCCGCGGGCCTGCCACTCGCGGGGCACCGCCTGTCCCTTTGTCCCCAGGCCCGGCCGGCGGCTGCCCGCTGGGGGTGGGGGTGCTGGCCCCCGTCCGGCCGCCCGCCCTGCACCCCTCCCGCCTGCACCCCTCCTGCCCTGCACCCCTCCCGCCTGCACCCCTCCTGCACCCCTCCCGCCCTGCACCCCTCCCGCCCTGCCCCCCTCCCGCCCTGCACCCCTCCTGCACCCCTCCCGCCCTGCACCCCTCCCGCCCTGCACCCCTCCCGCCTGCACCCCTCCTGCACCCCTCCCGCCCTGCACCCCTCCCGCCCTGCACCCCTCCCGCCCTGCACCCCTCCCGCCCTGCACCCCTCCTGCCCTCCGCTGCGCCCAGCCACTGCCCCGGCTGGAGGCCTGCTCTCTGAGGAGGCTTCCCAGGCCCAGCCTGCCCAGCGGTGCAGGGAGCTCAGCCAGCGATGGAGCCGGCCTTGAACCCTACCCCTGGGAGGTGCCACAGGCTTGGGGCAGGTTTGACTCCTGAGGGGCAAGGGCAGTGCCGCCCCTCCTCGGCCCGGGAGGGCCCCAGGGTGGCCACCCCCCCGAACGTGGCTCGGAGGCGGCGTGGGAAGCTGATGGCGGAGAAGGGAAGAGCCCTGAGGGGAGGCCAGGCCCACGGGGACCCCGGATGGCGGGCGCCGCGGTGGCACTCACTGCTCAGAGGTCAGCCCAGAGGCCAGGCTCTCAGGTCCCTCTTGGACTCTGTCCACCCTGAGGGCACTGGCTGTGGGCACTGTGACCTTGACCCTCAGTAGGAAACACCTGTTCCGTCTAGACAGGCGCCCACAGGTAGCGCTGAGCGGGCGCAGTGGGCTGGGTTCCGCACCCTGACAGCTGCCTTCTCTCCTCTTCACCCTCCTGCGCGCGGGCTCTGCCAGCGCGTGGGGACGGGCACCTGCCCGCTCGGGACAGCGCGGCTGGGAGATGATGGGTGGGTGGGCAGTGGGGCCGCCGGGCCTGTTCACACACTAAGCCCTCTAGTTCTGTCTGAAAGGAGTTTGCGGGCTCAAGGCTCTTTGGTGAAACCTTTGAATGTGTTTCCTGACTTAGGGTCGTGAGAGGACATGGGATTGTGTGGGAATTACAGATAGTGCCTCCAATTTTAAGACACTAAGAAACGTCCTAAGCAGATTGATTTTTATTTTTTTTTTAATTTTATTTTTTAATTTTTATTTTTAAAAAATATATATTTTATTGATTTTGTACAGAGAGGAAGGGAGAGAGATAGAGAGTTTTAGAAACATCGGTGAGAGAGAGTCATCAATCAGCTGCCTCTTGCACACCCCCTACTGAGGATGTGCCCGCAACCAAGGTACATGCCCTTGACCGGAATCGAACCCGGGACCCTTCAGTCCCCAAGCCGACACTCTATCCATTGAGCCAAACCGGTTTCGGCCGCAGATTGATTTTTAAAGCGAGGCTCCCAGTGGCGTTTACAGACGGGGTTGCAGGTGGGACTTGCCGCCCGGACCGGAGCGGGCCGTTGCTCTCCCCTCTCCTCCTCCGAGCTCCGGGAAGGGGTGGTGGTCGGAGGGGCAGGGTCTCCTGTGGCCCTGAACCTTCAGAGGCAACAAAGTGTTTGTTTAAAACAACAGCAACACAAACCCACTCACAGGTCTCAGAGGGCCTGGCAGGGCCTGGCTGGGGCTGCCGGACGCTGAGCTTGCCCCGACATCCCCCGGGTCCCACAGTAGCCTGTGAGCCCGAGGCTGGGTGGAAAGTTGTCTGAGAGGATAGTGACTGAGAAGAAACATTTTCATGTTCAACTCGGGCTCCTGCACCCCCTCCCGCCCCCACCTTATCTCTCTGAGATGCGCTCGGGCCCTCTGCCCCGGAGGCACTGAGTCCTGGCACCCCCTGACCCCTGGAGAGGAGGGGGTGGAGGGGTGAGGAAGACAGAAGCGGCAGCTCTAGGCCTGGACGGCGTGGAGAGCAGAATTCTTTGCAACTTCTGGTTGCACAACGCTGGCTCCTCCGTGCGGCCGCTCCGCCCGCGGACAGCAGCACTTGTGGCCGGGAGCCTTCGAAGCGTCGAGCTCCGTTTTTTAAACTACTTTTCATTGTAAACTGATTAAGATACGCCCCGTCTGCCCCGGCCGGTTTGGCTCAGTGGATAGAGCATCGGTCTGCGACCTGAGAGTCCCGGGTTCGATTCTGGTCAAAGGCAGGAACCTCCGAGGCAGGCTCAATCCCGTGTGTGCGTGAGGCCTCTCACATCCACGTCTCTCTCTCTCTTCACCTTCCCCACTCCCTTCTCTCTCTAAAAATAATGGGAAGACATCCTAGGTGAGAATTTAAAAAATAATAAAACACAGAAAGTCTGTGGCTAGTACGGCCCCTCACCCACCTGCAGCCTCGGCCACAGCCAGGTCTCCCACGTGCGCTGCGCCCTCGCTCCATCTGCAGACCTGCCTGCAGCCGGTCCCAGACCGCCCCAGCCCCAGCCCCCGCCGGCCGAGTCCCCGCCAGGCCGCCTTCCTCGGATCCCGGTGTCAGTGAAAGTTCACATCCGCTGCTTTTACTTCTTTGAGGCTCTAGGCTCTAAAGCTAGGGGGCTCCCTCCCTGCCCCCCATTTCCTCTCTGGACTTGGGAGAAACCCTCAAGTTTAAGCTTCTCCATTGTAACTCGGCCTGGAGCTTTGGGGTGAAGTCCGAGCGCAGGTGGGGGGGTGGAGGTGGAGGTGGGGGTGAGGGCTGGACGCTCACAGTCGGGCTGTGGCCAGAGGCCGGCGGGGCCTTGGGATGGTGGTCAGTGCAGGTCCTGCGGTGAGCTCAGAGCCAGGATTCTGGGGGGACAGGTGAGATGGGGGGTTGCGAGGGGTGGGAGGGACTTGGAGCCCAGGGGGCGCTGAGGAGGTGGGTGCAGGCTGGGGGTCTGCCTGGGGCGGCCCCGGGAAGGTGGGAGTAAAGGACTGAGGAGCCCGCAGCATCTAACCTTCCGTTTCTCACATCCCGGCCGACTCCATGGCCGCCTCAGCCTCTTAGAAAATTTAATTCTTCTTAAAAATATATTTTATCAGTTTCAGGTAGAAAGGGAGAGGGAGAGAGAGAGAAGCATCAGTGATGAGAGAGAATCACTGATCTTGCACCCCCCCCACTGGGGACCGAGCCCATAACCGGGCCTGTGCCTGGTTCAGAGGCCAGCGTGCACCCACTCAGGCCGCCGGGCTGAGAGACAGGCTTAGGCCTCGGTGAGGGGCGTTCAGACGCACGGGGTCCCGGGGGGGTGTGTGTGTGTGGGGGGTGGTGTGTGTGGCCTCGGTCCGCCCGGTGCTCTGCCCGGCCTCCCCCCCCAACCTGAAGTGTTGCGCTGTTGCGTTCACCAACATTCTTTTAACCATCTCGTTTGAAATGACTTTCTCTTTCTGGAAAAACGGCCAAGGAGCACGGAGTCCCCGGCCCAGAGCTGTCCTCCGTGAGCCGGAGCCGGGGACGGCGCGGCGGGAGGCGGGACGGGCTGGCCGCCCGGCCCCCTGCGTCCTCGCTCCAGCCCCGACGGCTCCGTCTTTGCTGTGACCCTGACCCGGGAGCTCTCAAGGGTTTTCCTCGGGGCCTGTGGGTGCTCCAGGCTCCCCTGTGCCTGCGGCCTCGGCAGGGCCGTGGGGAGCTGGTCCCTCTCCCCGGGGCTGGGCGGGCGAGGAGGGCGAGCGCTGGTGGGTGTGTCGCGGCCGGGAGTCCGTGTGGCCGTCCTGGGGCCGTCCAGTGCCCGTCCGTGTGGGTGACGTGTTTGTAGATGGAGGACCGAGTGTTTGCTCAGACCCTGTGCGCGGTCATCTGGGGATGGGACCCGTGTCCCACCCAGAGCGGATGGGCCTGGTGGTCGGCGTGGCCACGGCATTGCCTTCCACCTCCCTGACCGTCCGGCCAGCGTGCAGGCCCCACGCGTGCCACGCAGCACTGCCTGCCTGCTGTCCTGGCTGGGCCGGTGTGAGGGGTGTGTGTGTGTGTGTGTGTGTGTGTGTGTGGAGTGAGCCCCGGCCGCAGCGGCGGTAAATCTGAGGCCCGTTAGGAGCCAGGAGCCCGGCTCCTGTTACCGAGCTCCGGGGAGTGCGTGTTTGAGTTGCTACGAAGTCGCTGCCAAGTATGTGCTGAGCGGGACGCGGGAACAGTTGCTCCTAAAGCCGCGGCTGCTGGCCACACTGAGGCTCTGTGCTGGGGCCTGGCGGGGACGGGAGGATGGGGGGGACAGGGGAGGGCCCAGCTGTCCCTCCGAGGCCGCCCGCCCCGCCCCGCACGCCCCGCCCCCGGC